AGTGAGCGTGGCCGTGCTGCACGCCTGCTGCTCTCCAGCACCTGGCTGCCGCCACGGTGTAGGACTAGCAGAGGGTGGGCTTGAGCTGGGCTGGGATCGCGTTGGCCGGGACGCGGGCGTGCCGGCGTAGACACCGGGCTGGCGTTGGCCTGTGCCTGCTGGGCACGCCGTGGTGGTGATCGAGCCGGGGCACCCTGGGTTCCAGCCTGTTGGTGGCGATGTCCCCGTGCCTCGCGTGGGGCCGAGCTGGGGAGGGTGAAGCTGGAGGGCAAGGAGGACGTGTCCGATTCACTGTTTGTGAATGACGGGGAGGTGCTTCCGTCATCGCCGTGCTCATGGCGGTGTTGGTGCTGTCCAGCGTGCTCGCTGCTGCCTTGTCGGCCTGTGGGTGCTCGTGATGGGGGCCTTGTTGGCCAGCTGGACAGCTCCCTGCCGCGCACCTGGATTGCACCGCGGTGCTGGCTTTCGGGGGCGTCGTCGTGTACTGGGTGGCTTGGTGCCGCACTGACGGGGCGTGTGCGAGGAGTAAGCGGGTCGGTCCAGGAGTTGCATTGAACTGCCACAGTGGCTGCTGTGCGCGTACACTGGTGTACAAAGCTTAGGCTTGGAAGCAGAGCTGGCTTGGGGCCGCGTTCGAATTGCTGGGCACTGGCAGGTACGCCTTCTCGGCGAAGCATGTCTGAACTTGTCTGACGCCTTGCGGTCAACGTGAAGAGCGTGGAGCTTGCAGTGGCGTGCTCGCGTGGGGTCCGTGGGGGTCTTGTAGGCCATGTCTGTGAGGGGCGCCATGCAGCCTCCTCGGCCTGGCTGTGAGCCTCGGCGTCGGTGCTGGCGGCGGCCTGGGCGGCACCCTGGCCGGTTGTTTGGACGCACTGCATGTCGGCTTGGTTCAAAACGGTAGCTATGGCTGGGCTTGGCTGTGGTTCGACCTGGGCGGCAGCTTGGCGCGAGCGGCGCGCTGCCTCAGCCAGGTTGACGAGGTCGTTGGTGGCCCCGGGGGTCACTTTTTCGCTGTTGGATGAGTCGTGGTTCGGCGAGAATCGAACTGGCTGACGCCGGAGTCGTTCAGATGTACGCGGCGGGATCGCCGGTAGGCCTGGGGCTTGTTTGGGCACGGCGTCAGGGGCCGAGCCCGCGTCCGAATCGCCTGCTTCCAGGCCGTCGGGGCCTGCTGTCAGAGCCTGACGCGCTGGGGCTTGGGGACGCTTTCTGGTTGGCGCCATTTCCTTTGTTGTTGTTTGGGCTGGTGAGCGTCGCTGATTTAGCAATCGGCTGGCGGGTAGCCGCGCCGCGCCAAGAAAGACGGTTGGAAAAGCTGGAACTGGTCCGCGCTTAGCGACGGGCCCTCGGCAGCGAGTGGGCAGTGAGCGAGTGCCGGGTGGCGGTTTGGCGGGAAAGCGGAGCGCCGGCCTAGCAACAGTGGCGTGGGGTCGCGCGTGTCGCGAAGGCGAAGGGTGGTCGCAAGGAGCTGGTACGGGTCCGCGCTCTAGGACGGGCTCTTGGCGGCGAGCGAGTAGTGAGCTCGGTGCTGATTTGGTGGGAGGCCGCGACGCCGGCTTAGCAACAGACTGGCTGGAAGCCGCGCCTGCCACCTAGGGAAGCGGTTGGGCAAAGGGTAGCCGCGAGAAGCTGGTGAGAACCACGCTTTGGGACGGGCCCTGCGAGTGCTCGGCGAGTGTTGGCGGGAAGCCGCGATGCTGGCTTAGCAACAGACTGGCGTTAGCGTGGCCGCGCCTGTCGCGAGGGGCGAGCGTGAGGAGCTGGTGCGAATCCACGCTCCGCGACGGGCCCTAGAGTGGCGAGCGGGTAGCAAACACCCTGTGGCGGTTTGGCGGGAAGCCGCGACAATGGCCTAGCAACAGACTGGCGTGGCCGCGCCTGTCGCGTCGGGTGGCGGTCGGAGTGTGGCCGCGCGGAGCTGGTCGTAGCCACGCTCAACGCCGGGCCCTCGTCTCGGCGAAGAAAGCCCTAACCCTAATACGCACTGGTACGCGGTTCTAACACTGTTTCACTACACTTGCTTCAAAAACTTACCAGTAGACACAACATGCTGGGGGACGCTACGTAGGGACGCGGGGAAACTAACCTCCGATCGGGTTTGCTACACGGCAGCGGGTACGCTGGCTTACGCCTCGCGTTACCGGTCAAAAGTAACGGTTTTTTCTCGTCAGGGTGGGACTGCTGGCCTAGGCCGCGCAGTTCCCGGGGTGGCTAGGCGACGCTGGCTTACGCCGCGCGTTGCCGGGGTGGCTGGGCGACGCTGGCTTGCGCCGCGCGTTGCCGCCTCTGTGTACCCGGAACCTAAGTTCTCGCTGACCTAAGTCGCGCGTGAACGTTAGGAAGCACCGTGCCGCTGTCGTAAAGACCCGCAGCTAGTACTTGAAAAGTGCGGTGGACTGGCTCTTGCCACGCCCTGCACCTTCCCTTCTCCTCTCTCTCCCTCTTAACCGCTGCCACCAATGTGAGGGTGCGGGTTTGGGGGGGAGGTTTCCGAAGAGAGAGTAGGAGGTATGGCTAATAAACTCAGGGTTTATTCAGGTACACAGAACAATCAGTAAGCATTCAGAACAAGTACAAGGACAGTACGCGGGGCGAAGGTCTGAGAGACGCGACGCGTGGACGAGTGAGACAGAGGACGACTTGTCGCTGCTGCTGCTGGACTCAGAGTGACGAGCTGCTTGGCCGCGGGCAGCGGCCCGGGCTTTCGGCTTCGGCTCCGCGGGCCCGGCGAAGGACTTCGGGTGTCGCTTCGGGAGGAGCCCGGCGGACCGCTTCGGGTCCCGATCGGAGCTCGATCGGGTCGCCGTTCGGAGCGCTGCAGCGTGGCAGTAGCAGCGCTGTACACTGCTAACGCTCGGAGTATCGCCGCCGCGCGCTAGTTGGCCTGCTGGCCGAGCGCGGGGTATCTCCATCGTGAATAAGTGTGGGTTCTGACTTAGTGCACAGAAAGGGTGGTGGAGGGCTGCAAAGCCGTATCACCACAATATTTTGAGCTTATTCAAGGTACAAGCTAATAAGTTTTAAATCCGAAGAAATATTATGCAAATTACAAACTGATATCTTTGTCGGCTTACGAATGCTGAAAATACTTAGTTATGTGGAGCCTCTTTACTTTGTTAAACTTAAACAGATAGTAAGGTTTTTCAGAGTGTAGCGCATTCTTGCCAGGCACGCACAAACTAGTGCAAACTTGTGCACTAGATATGCGCTTCATTAAGCGCGTAAATGGCAAGTATGCAGGAGTTGGTGCCTGCGGCAGGTGTGCGCTAGCTAGAGTGTGCTTGCAGGTAGCTTCAATTAGTGCATGCAATGTGAGCTTTTCGAATCGTGGCGTGCACTGTACAACGAGGGATAAAGCGACTGGCATCACTGAGAATGAAAAAGTCATGATCGATACCCAATTTTGGGCGAGGTTCACTTTGTCACCCCAATTTGGACGCGGGTGTTTCCTCGCCCAAATTTGGGCGAGGAAGCCGAGGAAGCCTTCCTCACCCAAATTTGGGTGATAAAAAATTCCTCGCCCAAAATTTTAGTCATCATCATGACTCTTTCATTCTCAGTGGGTCTAGGACAACTCGTCCTGGTCGACTCGTTCCCGAGCCAATACGGTCCCGGGTTATCTCGTCCCAAACCCAGCTGGGCCCGTCCCAAATCGCCCCAATTTTATTTTTTTTAAATGGACTTCATCAATTTTATTGGTATTTGTCCTGAACCCTCCCGTTTAGAGGTGCACACTGAAAAGTCAAAGGACGGAATTCGTTCCATCCTAGGGGAAACAATGGTGCCGGGGACGAGTTGGCCCGGTCGGGGGACCGAGTTCAAACAAGCTAGGGCCCGCCCTTCCGTCGAACCGAGTTGCCAGCTCCGCTTCGCTGCGCCGGCAACTCGGTTCGACAGGGGGCCGGCCCAGCTTGGCCTGCCGGCGGCCTTTTGTCGGGCCTTCGGCCCTCGCATCAGACCCAACTTGGCCAGTCGAAGGCCCGGACCTTCGGCCCGCTCGCATCACGCACACCGTGAGCGGGTAAAGCAAAGTTATCGATGTACCATCGTGACTTAGCCCGCCCTTCTCTTCACAATATGCAATAGTCCTTACACTTTTTACTCCAACTGTCCTTAGAATATGCCCATTTCATTTGTCTCTTCGCCCTCATTCCGAAAATACCCGTATTTGCCATGCTACTGCAACTCCTTGCAATAGAGGCACAGCAGGAGCGCAAAACGAGTCCGTCGCACTTTTTCCCATAACTCATGAAGGCGGGCGCCTGGACCCCCCTTCCGACCCCTCGTTGAAGAGGTCTTGCCAAGACCTATCGAAAACTTAAGTAAAAATTTTCAGTCGGTCGACCCCCTTTTTTCAAGATCCTGATGTGACTAATAGACGAAGTCGGGCTCCTGGACCCCCTTTCCGACCCCTCGTTGAAAAGGTCTTGCTGAGACCAATCGAAATCTGCAATAAATTTTTTTAGTCGGTCGACCCTCTTTTTTGAAGATCCTGATCTGGACAACTGGTAAAAGCGGCCGATGGGGTCGGGACCAGGTCCATTCATCTTGTCTCGTCGCCCCGATTCCAAAAATACCCCTATGTGCCCTGCTAGCACCAATAATGGCGGAAATCCCCCTCCCGCTCATGTAAACCATGATGCACCTGCAGCAGCCCTTGTGCGACCCGGACAGGATTTGCACCACCGGATTATTTGTTTGGACGGTACTCCTAAAGTACCCTCCAAATCTGGTTACTCTAGCTCAACTCCTTCCTTGTACACAGACGCCAACAACAACAACAACAACAACGACAACAACAACACACAGACACAAAGGCAAATGCATAGGCCCTCCCCCTATTTTTTGAATAGAAGGGCGGGCCAAAAACAGCCGGGAACGAGATAACGTTGGGACCAATAGGGTTGGGAAGGAGTTGGTGGGGACGAGCTGTCCTGCTCCTTTCTCAGTGATTTCTGTCCCACGCTTGTTGTGTTTGAAGCAGTGATTCCTCTGTCCAGGCTGACGGCCTTCGTGGCCAAGTCCTTCCGCCTGGCCAGGTCCCTGGTGGCGGTGGAGGAGCGCGTCGTGGACGAGGCACTGGAGTGGCTGTCGAAGCAGCAGGCCGAGAACGGCTCCTTCCCGGAGGTGGGCACCGTCAGCCACCGCGACATGCAGGGCGGCGCGGCCAAGGGACTCGCCCTCACCGCCTACGTGCTCACCGCCTTCCTGCAGGAGAAGGTGAGCGCCGCTCAGAGAGCCTGCACTGTGGGAAGAAATCACAGTAAATCCTGTAGTGATTAGTACTGCTATCACTGTAGTTCCGAGTACAGGATTTACTGTGCTTTTTTACACTGTACTTTGTACGGGATTTACTGTACCACAGGAGTGGATACGGAATATCCTGTACCAGGTACAATTAATACTGTCGCCAGGCACAGTAAATCCTGTGTTCTGAAGTATAGTAATGCTTGCACAGGGCACTTTAGTGTGTACTAAGTACACACACACACACACACTAAATGTTATGTACAGTTTTGTGCTCAGTACACACTGACCTATGGAGGCATTTTTTTTTAAGAAGTCCGATCGTGGAACACGACCGATGCCGATTTCCTCCATTTTTTGGTCAAAGGTAGTCCTTGTGGGTCTAAGAAAGGCCACAAATTTTTTAGGCCGAAATATGGACCGTTCAGATTCTATGGGCAATTTTCGTTTTCTCTGACAACTTTTCACATAATTTGGCCAAAATTGAAAAATTACCTTTCTGAGGCCTCTATGCACTCGATTGAGCTCAAAATGTGGTATCTTATGTAAAATCTTGCGAGGAACACGAATCCGGTGCCCGTGTGTTGATAGGACAACCCAAACAGATGTTATGACTGTTTTTCAGGTTTTGTAGTGATTTTTACTTTTCTTGGGGTTTTGGTGTTCGGCATCGATTTTCGCCAATCCGATGAGTGGATTTTATAGATAAAGGACCAATCTGTCATATCACGAGATAAAAAGTTTGTGTACGCCGCGTGAAAAGCAGTGGCGCTGCAAAAATTGAAAACCCGTCATTTCTGGGTAGTTTTAGATCAGATAAGCCACCTTTCGCGTGACCGTCTCCGCCCCATATTCAGTCTAAATATTGTCCCAAGTGATGTCAGAGTTGGTGTGAAATTTCACCGCTGTAGCTCAAGTAGTTTGGAAATGGCAGCTTTCTAAAGTTTTGCAATCACGTAAGGCATTTACTTTAAGTAGAATTGCGGTAAATGTGAAAACTTGTCACAGATCGGGTAATAAATGAGATAGATGAGTGCGTCAAAGTTCTCTAAACGTAATTTTGGACAAGAAATCCGATTTTGCGGGTACGGAGACCCTAGGCAAACTCTTAAGTCGGAAAAAAGGCCATTTTTATGTGGTTTGCACGAAAACGTAGTTTTATTAGAGTACACCTAGGGTCTTCGTACCGGCAAAATCGGATTCCTTGTCCAAAATTACGCTAAGAGAACTTTGACGCACTCATTTATCTCATTTATTACCCGATCTGTGGCAAGTCTTCACATTTACCGCAATTCTACTTAAAGTAAATACCTTACGTGATTGCAAAACTTTAGAAAGCTGCCATTTCCAAACTACTTGAGCTACAGCGGTGAAATTTCAAACCAACTCTGACATCACTTGGGAAAATATTTAGACTCAATATGGGGCGGAGCACTGGTGAAACAAAGGCATAAAAATTATGCCCTTAAAGGGCGTAAACGATTTACGCCCTTAAAGGGCATAAATCGTTAATGCCTTTGGGAAGGGCATTAAAATTTTGCTTGAAATTCCCATACCATTTACGCCCTTCCCAAGGGCATAAAACGATTTATGCCCTTGCAAGGGCGTAAAAGAGCATTTATGCCCTAAAGGGCGTAATTTTTATGCCTTTGTTTTACCAGTGAGACGGTCACGCGAAAGGTGGCTAATCTGATCTAAAACTACCCTGAAATGACGGTTTTTCAATTTTTGCAGATGATAGATTGGTCCTTTATCTATAAAATCCACTCATCAGATTGGCGAAAATCGATGCCGAACACCAAAACCCCAAGAAAAGTAAAAACCACTACAAAACCTGAAAAACAGTCATAACATCTTTTTGGGTTGTCCTATCAACAAACGGGCACCGGATTCGTGTACCTCGCGTGATTTTACATATGATTCTACATTTTGAGCTCAATCGAGTGCATAGAGGCCTCAGAAAGGTGATTTTTCAATTTTGGCCAAATTATGTGAAAAGTTGTCAGAGAAAACGAAAATTGCCCATAGAATCTGAACGGTGCATATTTCGGCCCAAAAAATTTGTGGCCTTTCTTAGACCCACAAGGACTACCTTTGACCAAAAAATGGAGGAAATCGGCATCGGTCGTGTTCCACGATCGGACTTCTTAAAAAAATGCCTCATGATGAGTGTACTCGGTACACACTTAAGTTTTCAGTGCGGAGGCGGCCAATACTCTAGGAGAGCGTGTTCTGAGTTCACTCTTAATTTTTCAGTGTGGTTTTCATCATAAGATCCTGCAAGGGCCACGCAGTGCCACGCACGTTGCTGGTCTAGCCTATCATGTTTATGTCGCAGGATGCCACGTTCAAGCACCAGGACGCGGCCAAGAAGGCGCTCGACTACTTGGTGAAGAACATGGACAGCCTGGACGACCCCTACGCCATCGCCATCACCACCTACGCCCTGCACCTGGCCGGGCACCCTGCCAGGGACGAGGCGTTCAAGAAGCTGGACGCCAAAGCCCAGTCCGGACGTAAGAAATGCGCTGGAGATCTACGTCTTTACGGTGGTGTTGCGAGGGTTTGTTAACCACTAACCGAACTGTCGAGGCCTACAAAGAACACTGTGAAAACCTGACAAACTATTTTAGGCCCAACAAAGAAAATCAGTTTGTCATAACAAAGTATTTTAAACATACACACATAAGCTTACAAAGAAAATACTTCGTAATTTACGAAATATTTCGCTTCATATAACAGAGTAAATTTACCTGTAAATTTTGTGGCAAGCCAACTGGCCACAAGACATGCAGTGATTGTGACGAAAATAACGTCTTATTCGGTGAAAAAACCTCCAAAAAGAATTGTGCACCAAAATTCATGGAAAATCTTGACTTTTTGTCAAATATCTTTATAATTCATGGAACGTTGTGGAAAGTCACGGAACTTCTAAACAAGTCATTGAAGTTCATGCCGAAATTCAAGCAAATTTGGCTGCAACTCATTGAAATCCGCCCGAAATGCGTTTGAATCTAAAGATTTGTACTGAATTTCGAAGTTATTTCCCATTACTGTAAAAAGAAGTCTGAAAATTCAGACAACTTTTTTCAGACTTCCTACTCTGAAATGGGGATTCAGACTCAAGTCTTAAAATTCAGACTTTTAGTATAAATTTAATATAAACGAACGGCGTGGCTGCACTTTGCCCTCCACACTGGTAAAACTGAAGCGTAGTATTACCCTCCGTTTTCATGCGTAATAAGTGTATGCTTGATATCAAGCGTAACAGGCTCATCGGCCAAGATTCTCCCTATCTCAATGCATGGGGGGAATTTCCCAAGTATGCTTCATTTCAAGCGTAACGTCTTCAAGCGTAACTTTATGCTTGACTCAAGCATAGAGTTACGCTTTAGTTTTACCAGTGCAGTTACGTGAATGGTCATTTTCCCCGCAGGCGGACTCCGGTGGTGGAGCAAGACGGAGAAGGCCGACCCCGACAACCCCTTCTGGAGCCAGCCCAACTCCGTGAACGTGGAGATGACGGCCTACGCCCTGCTGACGTACCTGGAGCGCGGGCTGGCCGAGGAGGCCTTCCCCATCATGCAGTGGCTCATCGAGCAGCGCAACTCCAACGGAGGATTCGCCTCGACTCAGGTGCGCTACACTGTAAATGCCTTGCAATGAAAATGGAGCTATCACTGAAAATCCATCGGCGTGACTTCGTGCCGCTGTAGGAGCGTGAATAAGTGTCACGCCAAAAAACGGCGTGACAGAAAAGTCACGCCACAAATCGGCTTGACTCAAAAATTCACCTTAATTTTTTGTGTGAATTTCTTGTCATGCCGCTTTCTGGCATGACTTGTCTCGTAAAATGCGTTGTCATTCACGCCACATGAGGGCGTGACTCACATGTCATGCCGTTTACCGGCGTGAATTTTGTGTCACGCCAATTTTCGGCGTGGCTTTTTGCCACGCCATAATTTGGCCATGTGTCCGACCATTACGTTTTCAGTGTACTTATGTTGCGGTGAATTGGGCGAAAACACTATACGAAGAAATATTCCTGTATGATACACACTCATTCGAGGAACGAGACATCACATCACAATGAAACGACTGTGACACAATGCTCAAAGGAATGTGACATATTGTCACATTCGTTTCTGTAGCAGAGTGCTTGTTAATCACGTGCCTAGTAAATCTGGGAGAGTAATGAACTCGGTAGATTCAGTAAACAGAAGAAAAGATTTATTCAAGAGGGCTCCATCATCTATACACTAAATTCTTATGGACTTTTTAATGCATAGCTATGCATGTACAGATACGTCCAAATGTTATGTATAATATTATGCATTACTGTGTACATTTTATGCAGGAAAATGCATAAAATGTACACAGTTACGCATAATTTCATACATTCCTTATGGACGTTTCTGCGCATGCATAACTATGCATAAAAATGCGTCCTTATGCATTTAAAAAGTCCATAAGAATTTAGTGTGTTATAAGAATTATTGGCAGTCAATGCATATGTACAGAAAATCAGTTTAGCCAACTTAGGAAAGACAGATCATCAGTCCATTTACACGATAGGTAGCAGACGATACTATAATTCACAACAGTTTCAACATGACGTAACGTTAGAGGGTACGAATCATTTTAGTATTTTCATCGTAAGATACAAAGAAAAACTTTCGTAATTGTGAGAAAAACCACCTTCCTACGATGGGAAATTTGCTTCGCAAGTCATTCAGAGCGTAGTGTCGATCCGCAGACCTGTGTAAACATGAGTTGTAATTACACGTGTATTCCGTAGCACGTCAGGAGCAGGTCATTTTTAGGGGTTCCGACGAAGGAGGACCCCTATTGCTTTTGACGGCTCAGAATTCTTCTTCTACGGACCCTTGAAAATGCACATATGGCTCCCGCCACATCACTGTAAAAAATTATTGTGAATTTACGAAATTTTTTTTTTACAAATTCTCTGTGAAGTAACAATAACATTTCGTTGATTTATGAAATTTATTTGTAGAGGCCGTTTTATAAATTATTCATCACAGAAATCTTCTTAATTGTATGAAATTTGTTCGTTAACACCGCCTTATGAAATGGTATGAACAAAATACATCTCAAACGTGACTAAAATACTACAACAATGTCACAAAAACATGAAAAGTTTCCTAAAATTACAACAAATGCTTGGGTAATTCCGTTGCACAAATCGCTTGTAAGATTACGAGATATGGTGATGCCTTCATCATTTTACAAGATGTTTCATAAAGCAAAACAAAAACGCTGAAATAAGTTAATCTTCATTTAATCAGCGTGACAAGGTAGAACAAAAGCGGTCCACGTAATTTGGAGCGTGTAAAAAGTTTGTAATTTTACAAATTACTGCGTGAAGAATAATTCATAAATCGTTAAGAAACAAAAAGACGTTGTAAATTTACAGATAATTTGTGCAACGAAATTACCCATAAATTGTTTGTAAATTTACGAACTAATTTTTTACAGTGCAATAATCCTTTTCATAATCTAATAAAAAGTCCAGAAAATTTATCGTGGAAATTTTCCGTAAACGACTAAAACATAAATTTGCAACAATCAAGCACCCTTATCCGTTCACATTTTCCAGAAACGTTTCGAAGAAAAAATGTGCCACTCCTCAAAACTAAACCTCCTGCCTCATCAAAGTGACAAGAAATCGTCTGTCTTCTGAGAAAATGGTTAAAACATGAAGACAAAGTCTCCATGCCAACGTCTCACTGCCATCGTACCAACTGTCAAAGTTTAAAGTCCCTGATAAAAAGAAATGAAAACGCCGTAAAATTCGAAAATGCCAATGTTCATTCATTGCAGTGACAAGACATTTAAACATCTTTCAAATCTGTCATTAGTAAAAGGTTCGCAGCAGAAAAGACAAAATAAATAGATTTTCGGGGGTTGGCAACCATTTTCTCGGCGTCAGCGCCCTTTCGAAAATCGCGAGGCTGAAAGAACGAGTAGTCGCGTATTGAAACTGCCCCTCCATCGTTGCTGAGGTTGGATTGTTTGGCTTGCTTTTAAAGGCTGCGGTTCTCTTCTCATGTTTTCCTCAATTCTGTAACCAGCACAACGGTTGGTTTGACAAACTTTTTTAACTCGGGAGGGGAGGTTTCGGAACGCGGATGACTTTCGTTTGACGAAAATGAGCGCTGTAAATCGCGAGATCGCGAGATAGACTGAGATGGTCATTGTGTTAACTGAATCAGGTTTGGGGATGTAAAAATACCGGTAGGATTCAAAGTTACGTAAATAATGGTAAAATTAACGTAAGTAACGTTTAGATGACAGATTTCCAATTGATTTCCACAACCGGAACACCGTGCAATGCGTAAGCATTGGAATTTTTCACTATTCTCTGGCCCGTCGCCGGGAACTGAGCGCGCCTTGCGGGGGGGGGGGGGGGATGGGAGAGGAGAGAGAGAGAGAGAGAGAGAGAGTACACCTCTCTACACCTAATTGGCCATACTGCGAGTGGGGGCTTGCAGTCGCTTGAGGCTCTTCCCTGCCGGGATAAAGTGTCACCTTAGTAAGGACGGCCATGTCTCGCTTTGCAGTGCAGGCAGGGGGTGGCAACGCCCTACATCTTTCTTAACGCCATGTTCGACCCCCCCCCCCCCCCCCCCCGATGCACATTAATTTACTTCGACGAGATCCAAAGTACTAAGTCCAGTAGAGCTAAGCTGTTTTGTTATTACGATAATATATGAATTGAGGAAGTGTTAAGGCCAGGTTTCAACTCAAAGACTCAAAAACTTTCCAAGATTAACGTTTTGAAAATATAAGAAGCAACTTTTCTTGTAGCGTTTTTAGCGAAACCCCATTTTTCTCTTGTTTTTGCGATGCGGTTTCGAGGGATGCACTGTTAGAAATTCTGTCGTAAATTAGCGACAAAAATGTCGCTAATTTTCATAGCGACGGAAATCGTTCTTAAACTACTTCGTCGTAACTGAACGACTAAAAAATCATTTCTCTACGACAATGTCGTAATCCCAATTACATATATTGACACCTGAAATCCCCGAAAAGTTGGTGAAAAGTTACAATTCTGCTCACTTATTTACGATTTGCGTCGTTCATTTACGATTCATAACGCAAATTTACGACAAGAGTCGTAAATGCATGACTTAAGTCATAATTGCACGACATGTTCCAAAGATAATTTACGATTGTTCGTAAACTTACGAATAAGTCGTAAATTTACGACTTAATTCGTTTGAAAACGAAACGTGTCGCTATCAAAATTAGCGACAAATATGTCATACATTAACGACTCAAGTCGTATATTTACGACTTGAGTCGTAACAAAATATGTCGTTTAAAAACGACATAATTGTTCTACAAAATGTCGTAAAATTACGATTATTTTTAACAGTGCATGACACTCTTATTCCAGGAACGTGACATCACGTTCAAATGTCACGTTCATTTGAGCATTGTGTCACATTCGTTGGAATGTGAATAAGTTAATTTAAGGCTGATTCACATCGAAAGGAATGTGACACAATGCTCAAACGAACGTGACACTTTGTCACATTCGTTTGAACGTGATGTCACGTTCCTGGAATGTGAGTGGAATTGATCGTGAGTGTGGTCACGTTTTGTTATTACGTTAATATTATCTTTTAACTTGATGCCGCACTCAAGTTTCATGCGATTCCTCTGGAGGGCTCAGAGAGTATCTCCTTGAAAAGTACCATGATTTAAGGGGGGGGGGGTCGAACATGTAGTCAGAATACGTGTACAGCGTTGCTACCCCCTGGTGCAGGCGGGCATGTGTCGGGCACGAAATGGCATACGATCACATGTGGTCTAGCCCTTAATGGTAATGATAATGAAGAGTAGGCCAGCCCGCAAGACACCTTAGCTCAACGGGTGGCCTACCCTTACCATTACCATTACCACTAAGGGCTAGACCACATATGATCGTATGCCATTTCGGGCCCGACACTTGCCCGCCTGCACTGCAAAACGGGACATGGTCGTCCTTACTAGGGGAGAACTTTACCTCGGCGGGGAAGAACCTCAAGCGGCTACATGCCCCTGGCTCGCAGAGTGCCTTCCCCGCGGGTTAGTGACAGGCCTTTCCCGTGAGCGTTGTGCCGTCCCTACCCTGGGCCAGCCTCTTTTGAGCTTGACCGAGTCCGGATCCCGCCTGCTTCGTCCCTTGTTCTCGGGAACAGTTGCACTTTCGGTGTCTTCTTCTCTTCTTTCTTGACGCGTCTTGGCAATTGTTACTTTGCTTCACCCCTACCCTTTTCTTGGTGCGACCTCTCGGCTGGAACAGGACTCTAACCCGAGGCATCACTGAGAATCCAAACGCTATGAGTATAGCGTCAATTGGTGCAATGCAAAAGCATTGCACATGAAGTGCAATGCCTCCCCATCGCCATCCATTAGCATACGGCATTTTCGGGATGCATTGCACGTGAGGTGCAACATGGCTATCGCATTGCACGTGTGGTGCGATATGTCAGCTGCATTGCACCATACGTGCTATACTCATAGCGTTTGGAATCGCAGTTATTACGCCCACCCCATACTCGTGTTCGGCCGCCACGGCGTCCGTCGTCCCGATGGGAGCGCCCGATAGGTAGGCAACCCCTTGGAGCCCACCGTTGTTGGTGCTGCCTACACGCCGGGCGCGTGGGTGGTTGGCGCCGCACCGCCGCTGTGACCACGACCTCGGCAGCCGGCAGGCCGTGCGTCCCCTGTTGACTGCAGCGGTGGCGGCGACGGCGGGGAGGGGGTGACCGCCCGGTCAGCCAACCGCAGAGAGGTGGACACCAAAACCAACCCACAACCAGCCCAAGAACCATAACCAAAACTAAAATCGGCACTCATCCATAGGTGTAGGTGTCTGTCTCCTTCCTTATGACTCCACGGCGTGATGTTATCCTGGTGCGCCCCTCCGGGTGCGCAGTAGTTTGTCTGGTGTCTGGGAATGTGGCAACACGGGACGTTGTCGCGCTGACCTGGCAATCTGCATTGCCTGCCACTGCACTGCATCTGGTCGGCGCCGTCGGTGCGAGTCGAGCTGTCCGAGCCTAGCCGAGCCCCAGGAGACGCGGTCGGTGTGCCGAGCCGGGTAATCCCCAATCCTCCGGCAGGTCCCTGCTCGGCATGGCCCGGCAGGCCAGCCGGTCCACTCCGGACACCGCCTCGTCGCGCCGTCCCTCTCGCTCCCTTTGGGGGAACCCACGAGTGCGAGAGAGACGCAGCAACAAAGGCACACCCCGGACTCAGCCTGCAGGCGGTGCACTGCACGTGCGCCGCCGTGCGCGCGCTCGCTCGCACAATGATGGCGACCTTTCCCGTCCGCTACAGGGCCCCGCCGAGAAATTTCCCGCGCAGTGAATGCTTCTCTGATCGCCTTGTTGAACACGGGTGAACGGCACATCGGGTCAGCATGGCAGGTAGGGGGGCGACGCAGGGGACACACAACCGCTGCACTGGTGGATCCATGGCCGGGCCGCTTGCACAACGGACGCAACGGACTGGGTGTTGCACTGAACACCGCACTGAACACCGCACTGAACACTGCACTGAACACTGAACACTGGGCACTGCGCGGACACCGGTTGGGGCACTGGCTGCTGGTTTTTCGCGGTACGTCAGCCCTGCGACCGGCAGGTCGGTGGACACGGTCGCCGCTGTAGTGGCCTGGCTGGACGGACGCTGCCTTGTAAACAAGGCGCCAAAAACTAATTTGCACAGAACTCGGACACTGTTGCACCGATCACCGCGACACTTCGAGCCTCGACGCACGGCGTCCACACGGACCGACTGGTACCACGTTCGACCCGGAAAACCGACTTTGTACCACCGAAAGTCAAGGACAAACACGGAGCGACGTGACCCGCGTTGAGTCGACTCGAGCCCAACATGGCGACCCGGCCTACCCTTAGTTCGCAGGCGCTATGAATACAGCAGTCCCACTTAGGAGGAGAGGCGTCTCTCGCCACGACCTCTGATCATGCTGTTCATTTTCCTGCATTAAATGTTCACAGTAATGCATAATACTATACATAACATATGGACGTATCTGTGCATGCATAACTATGCCTAAAAAAGTCCAGAAGAATTTAGTGTGTTGTGAGCATGTTGTTATCTAGTACCTATAAAACTAAGAAAGCGACAATATCATGTGCGGCAAATACTAATTGGCTGAGTTATAACCCAGCAAAGTTTGGAAGTAGAAACATGAATTTGGGGATTTTGCCGCTAAATTGTTCAAAGTACAAGATTTTGCGTGAAGAATGGTCCTGTGGTAAACATTTCTTGGCGACATGGCAAAGAAAAGAAATTCAATGTGCGAGATCCTAGGGGTAGGTTGGGTAAGAAAAGTACACTCCAGGCTCGGGTAGGAAAAGTACACCCGTTATATCTCTGAACTGAATCTACACTGAACCATCACGTTAGTGGTTTTAGAAAGATTGGTCATCCCGCTGACCAAAAATAAATTCAGCCCAGTTCTACACATAATATTTAGAATCAAACTGCACGTTTAAAAAAAACATTAAAAATAACTTTGAAAATCTTTTTTTAAAATGTTTGTACTTTGAAGTACAGCTTCCTGCAGGATCAGCCGACAGTCCAATGTGTACCACCTTATTGCTTAGACCATCATCTTTGAAAAACAGTGCCGTTCGATGCTCTTAGGCTTCAACACAATTTTTTATTAGTGTAAAAATGAAATGGGGAAGAAAAGTACAGTCGGCTGGGGAAGAAAAGTACAGGCACTGGGGAAAAAAAAACATCCTCTAAGATACTAAAAGCGGGATGAAAATTGAATTGATCACGGGAATAGATTTGATGAGGCGAGACAAGCAAAAAATGTCAACACAAGTTATAGAATTAGACTAGAAATAAACAAGTTATTGGGCATTTACGTGAAAAGGGGAAGAAAAGTACAAAAATGCTGTACCCACTTATCTCTGAGAAAAAGGCTTTTTGGACCTTCTGTGATGAGTCCATGTAGAACCAGAACCAATTGACCGATTTTGACAAAACTTGAACTAATGGCAAGTGAAAGCTCTCCACTTGATGAGTAAACCTGTGTTGAGCCAAGATTGGTGGTCTCCTGGTTCGAAATCGCAATTCTTTTCGTTGTACTTTTCTTCCCCGGTGGTGTACTTTTCTTACCCTTTTCGAGGAGTTCCGAAATCACATACATTTTGGCATGATGTACGTAATGTACGGAACTATAATCTATGAACAGTGATCCATTTCATTAGGAAGGCAGGACTACAAGCTCACGAGAGCAGAATAGTTAATTCCTCATTTGGAACTTCGGCACAGTGCAAAGTACGCGTTTTGTACTTTTCTTCCCCAACCTACCCCTAATCTTTGTGACTTTACAAAAATGCACATTTGCAGGAATTATCGTAAATTTACGATGCGTTCTTCAGCAACAGAGGTGCCTGCGTGTAAACCTCGGAGATTGATTTAAACAGTGTCGAAATGCCGGTCCCGCAGGACACCGTGGTGGGGCTGCAGGCGCTGGCGGCCATGGCTGAGCGCATCGCGCTCCCCTCCGGCGACATGCGCGTCGTCTTCTCCTACACTGTGAAGGGCGCCAAGCAGGACACGCCCATCATCGTCAACAGTAAGACCGGCATGTGGCTGCAGCGCCACGAGGTGAGGAAACACCGACAGTGAAGAAGTCCTTGAATTTCAGGTTCAGTGTACAAAATTTTCAGTTCCATGTGTATATTTCGTATAAAGTTCAATCAAGTGCAGCGAAATTTCCATGAATTTGGAAATGAATTCCACGAGTGTGTGAAAAACTTCAATGATTTTTTAAATGACTTAAATTTAAGGTTTTCTATGCATTCTGATGTTCAAATATATTTTTTAAAATCTTTTCCCCTTGACCAGGACTATAATTTTGGGTGATGTTGCTAGGTAGCTTTTAGGTAGCAGACATAAACCCTTCATCAGCCAACTTGTCATGACAAATTATACCTCACCCAAAATGGTCTTAATCAAAACTGTTTCATTTTCAGTGGAAGGGAACTCTTATTTCAAAAAGACAGTTAATTTATTCCTACAATAATGCATGTAGTCCCACGCAATTTCTGCATGCCAAGTTTTTGTACAAATTGCTTCGAATGATTTCATAAAGTCGTGCCAAATTTCGTACATTTCGTAGAAAATATAGACTTGGCGTTGAATTAACCAATCATGATAGTTTTATGAAAGTTCAAAACTCTTGTCAGAATTTCGGAACCTAGTAATTTCAGATTGGGCTGGTTACAGGTGTCAGTTCAGGGTTGAGGAAAGAGCAACTCATGAACTTCAAACACCTGTTTAATAGTCAATGTCTTGGACGCCGAAGAGGTTCTTGTATCGAAGCGTAGAAAATGTTTAGAAAATCTAAAGAACGAACACCACTGCGTACTCCTTGTTCCAGCTGCCCCGTACCGTCCGTGAGGTCGAGCTGGCGGCGGACGGCGCCGGCTTCTCGCTGGCGCAAGTCTCCTGGAGCTACAACGAGGCCACGGTGGGCAAGCACCCCTTGTTCAAGCTGCGCGCGGAGCTTGCCGACAGGACGACGCCCAACACGCTGGTGCTGCGAGTGTGCTCCAGGTAAGGGAATAGAGTGGAATGCATGGTCGGTGTAAAGGCAACTCTGGAAACTCAACCTAGCGGACTCGGCACACTATTCAGCGTGTACTCACAAGCTCACTTCCACGAGAGTATTGAGCACACGTCCACCAGAGTGTGCTCAGGTGAGTACACACTTGGTCTGGACTGGTAACATGTGGTCTAAACAAGTGGTCTAGATGTTGTCACTGCCATTCATTTGTTCCATTAACTTCAACAGACGCGTGGAAATGTAGCTAATTACCTACTGTCCCAAGTCACCCCTGGTCATGGGGTAACTTGAGACACTCTTTCCGGGCCGTCTATAAACGATCTAATCGAGGCAAATGAACCAGACCAGCATGATGAAATCGTAAAGGAAGGGTCAAACTTTAACATAGTTAGAATCCACTAGTCTGGGTCGACAATCTTGCTTCTGGCGTAAAGACAACGTAAAAAAGTGCCCCAAGTTACCCCCGTTCCCGTTGACGTTACCCTCGCGGAAGTGTACTTAGGGTACGTAGTATATGGACTCCCCTTTATTTGCGTGGTGTCGCCTCGTCTGCAGCTTCATCGCGGGGCCGTGGGGTTCCGAGAGCAACATGGCGGTGGTGGAGGTGTCGCTGCCTTCGGGATTCACAGCGGACCAGGACGCGCTGCCCGCCCTCAAGGAGAACCCCAACGTGAAGCGCGTTGAGACCAAGGACCAGGACACCGTCATCGTGCTCTACTTTGACAAGGTGAGTGGTGCACTGTGGGTCAACAGACTGGCGCCAGCGGCCAAAACTTCATTCGCGTTTTCAGCTTCAGAGTCGTTAATCATGACTCGAACCGAGCGTGTGACCCCCACCGAGCGAATCATTGGTGGGGTCACACGTTCGGTTTGGACTCGGGAGCTGAAAACACGCCGAGGATTTGGGCCGCCTCCACAGGTCTTCTGGCCCACTGTGCGGTGCCATTTGCTATCCTAGGATAAGCTTTATACTGCGTCGGCGTCGTATTCAAGAATTAGATTTGTTGAAATACTTTATCAAAAATCTCAACGTGGAAAGCACCAACCTATTCTTATCATTTTGTGGAGAGTCCAGGCATGATGTTATTTGAAAATGATAAGAAAAATGTACGAGAAGTTAGTTTGTGAGCCAAAATTAGAGAAAAATCTCAATGCGCAGGATGGTGAGCGTTTAATTGGTTTGATGATGGTATTTACCATGTGGTGCACCTTTCCAGATGGAAACCAAGGAGTACTGCGCCGAGGTATCCGCCATCCGTACCCACGTCGTTTCCAACCAGAAGCCGGTTCCAGTCACCGTGTACGACTACTACGATCAGAGTATGTACTCACGAATTTTATGGGGGAATAAAATGGCTTCTAGCTACAAACTATACTGCAAACCGGTACACTTTTACACGCATACTTCACTGTAAAAATTAATATCCGCAATAAACGACGGGTCCTTCGGCAAAAAAAATTGCCAACGGTTCCTTCGTTAATTTACGAAGCTCTTTGTATATTTACAAAAATCTTCGTTAATTTTTTGAAAGATCTCTGCCGATTTTCCAATCACAATGGAAATTTACGAAGCACCTTAGTAAATCTACAAAGATTCTTCGTAAATTTACAGGGAACCTTCGTTTATAAACAAAGAACCTTCGTTAATACACAGAGATTCTTCGTAATTAAACGTCTGGAATTAACGACGGATCCTTCGGCAAAAAAATTGCCACCACCTCCTTCGTTTATTTACGAAGGCCCACCGTAGATTTACGAAGACCCGTCGTAGATTAACGAAGCCCGTCGTAAATTTACGAAGCCCTTCGTAAATTTACAACAGAATTTGTAAATTTACGATTTTTCTTCGTAAATTTACAAAGAACCTTCGTCAATAAACGACGAACCTACGTTGATTTACAAAAGTCCCTGTAGGAAAGAAACATTTACAGTGCACTTTTGGACATTCCCAAAAACCCTTCGGAAAACATTCCGTCGTAAATTCACAACATACTTTTTACAGTGTTGGCCTAGTTCACACTAAACAAGTTCCAACTTGCCAAGAACGCATGCTTGGCGCCGTACAACTCCATGATACGCAGAGGCATTTGTAAAGTGTGCGAGCTTGTCAAGCAAAGCATGCATTAATAGCTGTACTTGGCCAAGTATGCGCTAGTAAGTGTAAGACGGTTCGGTTTGTGGCATAGAGAGCCTCAGGGCGAACAGGCACCCAGAATGTTGGCGGGACAAATTAAACTTCTTTTAAGTCAATATTCGTAAGTCTTGTTGCACCAATTTATTGAGGGCTTTTATTTTCTGGTGTTGGTGTTGTTGGTGGTTGGTTGTTTGGGGAAAGGGGGGGGGGGAGTATTTGTTTCGCACCTGTGTTTGTTTATCTCCTACATGTTTTCGTGCATGCGCAGCCCGGCGTGCTCGAGTGTTCTACGAGGGCCACTGAACACGAAGCGACGCACCGAGAGCAGTCTTCGGGTGCGGCATTCTCTTCTGATTTCATGAGGGAGTGAAATGTCAATTGAAGCGCTTTCGCAATCACGGAAGCCAGCAGGGATCCTTAAGTTACCTCGGAAGGGCACCAAAACGTTCTCGTAATATATCAATTAAGAAACCGTACCTTATAACTTCCTTTGAATAGGAAAAAACATTTTTCCAGCTTCTTGAATTTGTATTTAGAATCTTTGGAAGTACTTCCTTAAGTCCACACCTTTAACCTTTAGTGAACATTGTATTTTGTTACGTTAGGAAAGCAGTGATAGTTAAATGTTTCGTTAAGTTACAGATCTTTGTAGTAGGAGCCCGGACTTTTGTTCAATTTTAAAATACAAACTTATTCAAACTTTTTAAGTTTATTTCTCATTGTTGCCCAGCGTGCACAGATCAAACCACAAAAAATCAATCAACTTCCTTCAGTAGTCAAAAAAATAAGAACTGCGAAAACTTCTTTATATGTCCTGAATAAAAGTATTTAATTTGTTTTACTTTCACTAAAAACTCAGTGAAAATGCTGAGGTTGCGGAAAGTGACCATCTTGAGGAAAGTAAAAGTAACATCTGTATTCGATTGATATTTCAGTTTTGGGTTGAAATGGAGAAGGCTAAGCGGAACCCCAGTGTTTCCCATTTTTCTTATAATTCGCTTCACTCTTGCCACAATTCCGTCTCTCTGGATTGAGCCTCGGACGCGGGATTTGAAAATTTCTCATCAGAACACAAGGTCTAAACAACGGGCATGCGAAAAAACTTCATTTCTGAGTTTGTTTTTTGCAATGGCAAAAGAGACAGTCTTTTTAACCACTTTTTTCACGTTTCGATGGCTGCTGCTCACTCCCTTTTTATGAGATGTCCATTGCTGAGACTAAGACCATAGAGGCGAGCTGAAGAAACATTTTGCCCTAAACCACATTCAATTATCTCATATTTTTTGACCATGAGAGTGCTGCAAAGGCCCAATAATGGTGTTTTGAGATAGGGCCAGACTCTCTTCTTTTCGTGATGTTGGTGGGGAAAGTCCTAGTTCCAGTGCACAATCCTTCTGAGGCTGTTTTGGTGCTGTTATTATCCTACTACATTTTCAACATAAGCTACCATCCAAAGCTCCACAGCAGCCTGGAATTCTTTCAAAGGTAATGGCAATGCTTCTTCAAATTTTTAAAATTAGGCAGTGTATAAATTCAGCTTGCTTATATTATTCTACAATTTGTTTCAGGTTCTTCCTTCAGGTAAACCCACCACAAGGAACCAAGCGTGCAAAGAAGAAAAGAACAACGGATCCCATTGATTCGAAAGTGAAAGCTTTAGCATCAAAATTATCAAGTTTCAGTTGGAGTGTTTGAATGTTGGTGTAATGAGTAATGTTTCATTAAACACATGAACAGTATTCACTGCTTTCATCATTCTTTCCCAATGAAACAAGCTATAGCATTTATTAGTTAAAAATCAGATATTGTTACACCAATGATTCTGAAGTCTACAACAGTGCCGCAGGATTTAGAACAGGTTTAAGGTTTTTGGAACTGACGGTAACAGAAGCAAGGATCACAAACGGTGCTTTATTTAGAATCAATGTTGCACATTGCTGTGACACGTAACAAATTTCTGTAACATTTCTGTTACACATATTTCTGGAACAAGTAACATATTTCTGTAACGCATTTAAGATTTCTGAAACACGTTACAAATTTCTGTAACACACATTTCTGTAACACGTTACAAATATCTGTAACATCACAACAGGATAACAGAACGATGTGATACAGAGAACTGTAGCGCTCCTGATACAAAATACTGCAACATTTGTAGTGGAAATTACTGCGTAACAATGTTACAGAATTTTGTATTGAAATTTTTTAGAGTGTAGATCTAACGCGTTATACCCGAATACAACTTTTCATGTATTTTAGTTCGGTTTCTTTTCTGAACCCTGATTTGAAAATTCACGGAACAAACTCATTGAGCTCTTAGCTCCAATTCTTAACACCAACCATGAGAGGAAGATATACTATTAAAATCAAGTCGAAATCAACTTGAAAAATGTGCCCAAGCCAAGGTATTTTGAATTTTGAGTATGGGTTTGCGGCGTTCGGTTCGACACGGAATAATACGAAGGTAAGATAAAAAAATTCAAAAAAGTTGACGGTTTTAACTGGTGTGCCCCCCTTTAAAGCATATTTTAAAGCGGTCTGACTGTGCCGAAAAATTCACAATTGCCAAAATTCTAAAATTGGCTCCACTGTAAAAATCCCGAGGAGTCACCTCCCAGGTTGGTCCAAGAATAAGGCCCGCCACGCCACGATTGCAAGACGAGTTTCATCACTAAATAAATAACGGCGGGACTTCGTGCCGTTTCAGAAACATAATTTAGGGGTAGGTTGGGGAGGAAAAGTACGAAACGCATACTTTGCACTGTACAGAAGTTCCAAATGAGGATTCAACTATTCTGCTCTCGTGAACATGTAATCCAATGCCTTCCTAATGAAATGGATCACTGTTCGTTGATTTTAGTTCCCCACATCACGTACAACATGCCAAAATGTATGTGATTTCGGAACTCCTCAAAAAGGGTAAGAAAAGGAACCAGGAGACCACCAATCTTGGCTCAATACAGGTTTACCCCTAAAATGGAGAGCTTTCACTTGCCGTTAGTTCAAGTTTCGTCAAAATCGGTCAATTGGTTCTGATTCTACATGGACTCATCACACAAGGTCCAAGAAGCCTTTTCTCAGAGATAAGTGGGTACAGCATTTTTGTACTTTTCTTCCCCTTTTCACGTAAATGCCCAATAACTTGTTTATTTCGAGTCTAATTCTATAACTTGTGTTGACATTTTTTGCTTGTCTCGCCTAATCAAATATATTTCCGTGATCAATTCAATTTTCATCCCGCTTTTAGTTTCTTAGAGGGCGTTATTTTCTTCCCCAATACCTGTACTTTTCTTCCCCGGCCGACTGTACTTTTCTTCCCCATTTCATTTTTACACTTATAAAAAATTGTGTTGAAGCCTAAGAGCATCGAACGGCACTGTTTTTCAAAGATGATGATCTAAGCTATAAGGTGGTACCTTACATTGGACTGTCGGCTGATTCTGCTGGAAGCTGTACTTCAAAGTACAAACATTTAAAAAAAATGATTTTTCATAGGTATTTTTAATGTGTTTTTCAAACGTGCACTGTAAAAATTAATATCCGGAATAAACGACGGGTCCTTCGGCAAAAAAATTGCCAACGGTTCCTTCGTTAATTTACGAAGCTCTTCGTATATTTACAAAAACCTTCGTTAATTTTTTGAAAGATCTCTGCTGATTTTCCAATCACGATGGGAATTTACGAAGCACCTTCGTAAATCTACAAAGATCCTTCGTAAATTTACAGGGAACCTTCGTTTATAAACAAAGAAACTTCGTTTATATACAGAGATTCTTCGTAATTATACGTCTGGAATTAACGACGGATCCTGCGGCAAAAAAATTGCCAACACTTCCTTCGTTTATTTACGAAGGTCCGCCGTAGATTCACGAAGACCCGTCGTAGATTAACGAAGCCCGTCGTAAATTTACGAAGCCCTTCGTAAATTTACAACGGATTTTGTAAATTTACGATTTTTCTTCGTAAATTTACAAAGAACCTTCGTAAATTAACGACGAACCTACGTTGATTTACAAAAGTTCCTGTAGGAAAGAAACATTTACAGTGCACTTTTGGACATTCCCAAAAACCCTTCGGAAAATATTCCGTCGTAAATTCACAACATATTTTTTACAGTGTGCAGTTTGACTCTAAATCTTTTATTTAGAACTTTTCTAAATTTATTTTTTGTCAGCGGGATGACCCATCTTTCAACAACCACTAACGTGATGGTTCAGTGTAGTTTCAGTTCGGAGATATAACGGGAGTACTTTTCTTACCCGAGCTTCGAGTGTACTTTTCTTACCCAACCTACCCCTAACCGACAGATCATGACACGCAAACCAGAAAACTCATGTCAAAAATTGGCAGGCCTCAAAAGTCACAATTTTCGGCATGAATGTTGTCATGAAACATAATTGCTATCACCAATCCTTGTTGGAAAGTCATGCCAGAAATCTGTGCTGTTGTGTGAAGGCAGCTTATGAAGATTTGCAGGATATACACGGTGAATCAGATTTCACATTTTCACCCCTCTTGCGCGAAGCTGCAAAAAAGTAAAACAGTGATGTTATTTACAGGTATCCTTTCAGCTCGGGCCATTCTCTGGCACAACAGTATTAACATTTGATCAATACATTCAACAGAGGTCCGTTACAAATTTCCACACCGTCGTCACTCGCCTGGACGCTAGAAGACCATTCCAACTATCCGGGGCGCTGGGAGACTAACTTTAATTGATGGGTTTTAGGTGAGAGTTAAGTTGGTTTTCCCAGCGTCCTGGCGAGTAACAGTGGTTTCATTAGGAGGGACGATATTTTTTTGTTCGATTTTGGAATGCAAGCGTTTAAAAACGCGCAAGCGACGCTTAGATATCACAACTCCGCATTTTTACTAACGTCGGTCTGACGCTTGTGTCAATTTTGGCTGAGCGATAGCGAAGCCTGTTACTCCAGTGCGGTTGAAAAGTTTTTTCTGTCTGTCTGTCTGTCCGTGTGTGTGTACACTACTCCTCCTGAACGGCTCGGCCGATCTGGCTGAGATTTTGCAGGCTTATTAGGTATGTTCTTAGCTCGGCACACGCGAAATGTCACTGTCACTATCCTAGCTCAAGTGCAGGGGCGCCCACAAGTTTTGAGGACGGTGGTGCGGGGACCTCGTACCTCCCTCCCTCCCTCCCGGGCTGAAAACCTCCCTCTTTTCTGACCCGTTTCGCATTTTTCCAATAGAAGGTCAGAATTTCCTTTTTCTTCTCTCTTCTTCTTTCCCTTTCCTCTCTGCTCTTTCCTTTTCTCTCCCTCCCTTTTACCTCCCTGCCTCCCACTCCTCCTCCTAACCTCCCTCTTTTCTGAATTTACGGCCCGTGTGGGCGCCCCTGCTCAAGTGGTTCAGTTTTTATAGCCGAAAAACACCTAAAATACGGCGAAAAATCGAGTTCTCTGCAGACAGATCACTTCTCTCTTGAAGAAAGGGGGGTCTGGGGGCGGAGCCCCCCAGCCTCGACAAGTTAAAAAGTTTCAAGGGTCAAGATCGTGTTATCTGTAGATGAAGCAACTCTATCTGGAATGAAGGGGGTCTGGGGCCCCGGGAAGAAGCAACAAGTAAGAAGTAACCGACGATGGAGAAGCCAATGCCTGCCGAAGGCAGGTTAGCGCCGCAGGCCAAGGTAGGTACGCCAGGCGCGGATTGAAGGAACAGGCCACGAGACATCGCGAAGCCTGTTACGACAAGACGCGGTCTGGCGTAAACCTACCTTGTAATCCGAAAACTCAGAGACTCCGTAGTGTAGATGGGGAGTGTTGGATGAAAAAATGACAGTGCTTACCAAATTTTTCGATAGCAGCCATTAATAATTTAGACAGTGGTGCTTCAACGCAGATATACAGCAATAATCCCGCTAGAAAGGACAGCACAGTGTCACTGGCCACGGATTTGAGCTGAAAGCACAGAATTGGCAGATCTTAGTCTTTAAACAGTGACTGTTGCTTTGAGAGTCGTGCAATTTTTTTTTCAAAATCGTGTTTGAACAGGACAAAGAAACAGCAAGGGACATGTCGTCCTCAACTCATTCGGAGGCAACTTTAAGCCGCTGTAGGGTAACGTGATAGGTGTGGTCGGACCTCACAAGGGACTGGGACGGTCCCACGAAGGATCTTTTCACGTGGCATTTAAGAGTCAAAATTAAGGGATCTCTTTGAAGGACCTAATTACTACAAAGCTGGGGCGTGCATAATATGAGAGAAAAGTCACCTCAACCTGGAACTATTTTTATTTTTCAAATTGCAATCACTCTTAGACAGCGGATGTGACGTAACATTCATGAGAATGTGAATTTTCCCACGTTCGTTTGAATATGATGTCGTATCGTTTGAACGTGGAACAAACGTGACAAAATTCACATTCCATCGTATATGACATCCCATTCGTTGAATAACAGTGATCAGGCGGCAGTGTGACGCCATTATTAAACGTACAAACGTAAAGTCGCTGGTGTACACAGGCTGTCGAATTGATGCGGTGCTTGCGAGAATAATCGTAAGGTGGACCAAGTAAACGGAGTACGTCAGTCTGCCCAAAGCAATCATCGGGGTGCACGATAGCACTCGGTGCAGTATACCTGCGGAAGGGAACATACATTCAGGTGAAATGGAAGAGAAACGACTGATTTTCAAAGCATGGACATGCAGCCTTTGCACAAGTAAGTCAAGTCCACTAAAGGGCTTCTTAAAACCCATGAAAAGGGAAAATTCACGTGGATGCAGCGGCACGATAAAAGGGCGAAATATATGCATTAAATAAACTTTTAGGTAACTTAAGATCTGGGCAAGCCAAAAAGGTGCGGATTTCGAGGTCAGTTATTTCCTCGAAAACAACTCAGAATGATTAGTAGAAAACGAAGCTTAACTAAACAGAGGTACAAGAATTTTGCAATTGCCACTGGTGGTGTGCCTCCTAACGGTCACTGAGAATGAAAAAGTCACGATCATGACTAAAATATTAGGTGAGGAATTCTTTATCACCCAAATTTGGGTGAAGAAGGTTACCTCACCTAACCCTTCCTCACCCAAACTTGGCCAAGGAAAGTTTTCTCGCCCAAATTTGGGTGATAAAGTAGACCTGGCCTAAAATTGGGTATTGATCAAGACTTTTTCATTTTCAATGGTCCCCTCAGCCACGCAGAGCACGCAACTGCAACGCGACATAACAACATTGTAAATTCATTACCTCCTGCCCCGAAGCTACACGCGAATATGATGTAAGCGATGGGCACGGAGAAGGAGACCATTCGTGCTGGTGCGTACATCGACTCGAGCCACAGATGTCTTCCTTCAACGAAGAGGTAGGCAGCGCCCGAGAAAATGGTTGCAACCTGTACAACCAGGCCGAACACTACCCCCAAAAACATGTTCCGCTTCGTGGCCTGCAAGATGCGATGCACACTATAGCCGAGCTAAAGTCTCATAGTAGGCCAGAAGGCCGGTGGAGGTGATCAACATCCCGGACGCCTTTTGAGCTTCGGAGTCGCTAAATGGGACTCGAACCGAGAGAGTGAACCCACCACTAGATTTCTTTCCGAAAAACGAATTCATTATTGGGGCCACACGTTGGGTTTACTCTTTCGTCAGGAACGCGCCATAAAGTTGCAATGAATGTGACAAAATGTCATGTTCCTTTGTGCATTATGTCGCATTCATTTGAACGTGAATCAGCTTGTAAACGCTGAAATTACTGTGACACAATACTGAAAGGAACGTGACATTGTGTCACATCCGTTTGAACGTTGTGTCACGTTCCTGGAATACGAGTGTTCGAGTTCTGTTTAGCAATTCCAGAGCTAAAAACGGGTCAAAGTTTTGGTCGATGGCTCATGGCCCACTGTGCTTATACTTCGGCAGTGGGGATATGTTGAATAGATTGAAGCTCACTTTGCTGGGAGTCCATTCTCGAGACTGGATGACATGATGGAGCGCTCCGAATATGAGTCCAGCGGCATACGGTACTAGATTTGTATGCGTCACAATGTACTGGTTCAGGAAGTTTGCGTTGGTTGCAAAGTTGCCGTGACGGAAGAACCTACGCATACATTGTAACGATAAACAATACCGAGTTACCTTCTAATGTACACTACTCCTGCTGATAGCGCCGGTGCTGCGAAGGAATGTCCGCTGAAAAATGTCCTGCGAAGTATGGGCCTTTATTTTTTTGTCCAACACTAAAATGTCACATACAAAATGTCCCTTCCCTAAATGTCCTTTGTTTCAATGGCCTTTGTATTTAAGTCCGGTCCCCATTATTGGCCGCGGCCGTTCAATAATAACAGAGGCACTTGCTGAGGCACTTGTCCCAGCAGTCTGGCCGTACCAACCGGGCCCAACATGGAAATCATCCCTTCAAACAAGGGCAAGGCAACCCTTTGCCTGAACGGATTCACATACACTGAACATTCGCGGAACCTGCGCCTGAGGAAGATATACTGGCGATGCACGGAGAGGGACCGCTGCAACGCCCGCACCCACACCAGCCTCGACCTGGAAGAACCAGAGCTCCTCAAGGACGGGACGGAAGCTTACATTGGGCACGAAGCAGACCATCGCGCTGTCATCGCCAAGAAAGTCGTGCAAGGAGTCAAGCGTCGGGCAGAAGAACACCCGAATCAGGGGGCGGCAACGGCCTAGGAGGCGCGTGAAGCCATGCGCGAGTAAGGTGCAGGGGTTACTTATTATGCTTCGATTGTAAGATCTAGGCCGTTGATTGCAAAACGCTTTGCACAGATCGAAAGAGCACAAAATTTGGGGTGCATTAGGCCTAGTAGACTGCCCGATACTTCCAATTCAACGGAACACAAGGGCAAAATCATTTACACCAACATGGCGCATTCGAGTTTTTTCCTAAATTTTATGATTTTTGTGTTTTTTGGTGTTTTTACTGCACCTTAATATTAGGTAAGGGAGGAGTTTCGAGAAGGGCAATTAGCCTAATGCACCCTAAATTTCAAGCCCTTTCTATCGGTGCAAAGTGTTTTGAAAAACACAGTCTAGTTTTCATAATCTCGAACAAGTTCGCAACCTCTGCACTGACGGCGCGAGCATCGCTTCACGCTCTCCCTAGGCCGTTGCCACCCCCTGCCCGAATGAACCACCGCAGCAGGCGCTGCGCTACGCAGTTGGCAATGTTGACGATCCGGAGGTACTCGCCAAGCTGCCAGAGAGGAACAGCATGAGGAGGGTGATCAACCTTCATCAAAATATTGGCCGACCAAGAAACCCGGTTACCGTGCAAGACATTCTCATGGCGGCTCCATATACAACCACCAAACGAGGCACGCGCTACCTCCTGTTCGATTCAGGTAAGTTCCCTGATGCGGGCTGTTAGTCTCTGCATGTGGAATGCATGTAAAATACATGTCGCCGTTTTATTTTTGTTGTAGGTCAAGATGATGCTGACCGAGTCCTCGTCTTTTGCTCAGAGGAACAGCTTAAGATTCTCTGTGCAAGTAACGAGATATTTGCTGACGGCACGTTCAAGACGGTCCCGAATCAATTTGGCCAGCTGTACACCATCCATGGCACAGTGGTGGACACAGCTCAGAGAAAACCAGTCTTTCCCTTGGTCTCCTGCATCTGCGTGCGAAAGAACGAGGCAACTTACCAGCAAATTTGGGAGGCCTTTATCGACGAGGCGGGCCGACTCAACCTGCAGTTCAAAGTGAACCTGTTGATGACGGACTTCGAGCTGGCTGCAATGAACGTCCACCAGCGGGCGTTCCCCTTGGCCGCCCACAAGGGGTGCCTCTTCCATTTCAACCAGGTACTGGGACGATTAGACCGCGACCGCGATATGGCCTCTTGGAGAACCTCTTTAACCTTAAACCTTTTTAACATTTTTAAGGCTCTGTGGCGCTATGTGGTCAACAAGGGACTTCGAGTGCTGTACATCAACGCGGAGCAGGAGGACCACACCGTGAGGAGGGACGTGCAGCGGCTCATGGCGATCCCCTTCGTGCCCCCTGACGACGCGGAGCCGGTCTTCGACCAGGTCGTCGATGAGCTGGACGACCGCGTGCTGGGCGTGGCCCCATGGGCGTGGCCACCCACTTGGAGCAGAACTACATCCGAGGGCATCGTCCGCTGCGGCGCCGCAATGCCGTACCGCCACGTTTCCCCCAGGAACTGTGGAACGTGCATGAACAGGCCGTGGACAACACCTTCCGCACCAACAACGTGGTTGAGGCCTACCACTCGAAATTCCAGAAATTGATTGTTGTTCGCCACGCTAACGTGTGGAAGTTCTTGGACGAGCTCCGTGCTGAGGAGCACGACTTCCACCAGGTGCTCGCGCAAGTACGGGCTGGTCATATAAATGTAAAGCGGCCGGTAAGCAAGAGGTATGAGATGTCTCAGCGGCGAATCCATCGCCTGGCGGAAGATTACAACAATTATAAAGACAGGGATGACGTCATGACGTATCTGGAGGCAGTGGCCTACAACCTTAAAATTCATGATTGACAGGTTGGGTAGGCCTATTGGTTGGGTTCAAATCGGATGCAAATAAATATATTGAGGACATTATTTCTTGTGACATTTTTGAGGAACGGACATCAATTCTAGTGGACTTTCTACACGAGGACTTTAGTTTTAGTGGACATTCCGTCCGAGCGGCCTTAATTTGAGCGGACATTTTTTCAGCGGACATTCCTTTGTGAAACCGATAGCGCCATGGCAAGTTAGGATGGTTTCCTGGCACCTCCAAGTCAGAATGGATCTTTAAGAACCCGTCCAAATTTTTACAAAGATGTTCCACTGTTCGGTTAACAGTGTCACATATTGAACCCCTTCCCTAAATCATTTAAAACTTCTCAAAATTGTTTAACATTTAATATGGTTTTACAATGAAAACTTGAGTGTGATCTCCATTTACATACACTTTCGTACCAATATAATGAACACTCAGTACACATTTAAGTCTTAAGTGCAGTTTTAATTTGACTTCACTCTGTCAATGTGAAAGAGTCATGATCCCAGCTAATACGAGGGACAAGAGATTATTTTCTCTGTCCAAATTTTGGCGAGGCAATCTCAATTACACGATCTCGGGACCAGCCCGAATTTGAGTTGTTTACAACGATGCATCCTTCATCGCCCAAATTTAGGTGCTCAAACCTTCCTTACCCGAATGTACCCTCACGAGCTTTTGCGAGAAATGTACCTTGCCTACAATATTTTTTGATCATGGCTCTTTCACCCTCGGCGACGACTGATGACATAAGCTTACATGGGGATGATGAGTGTCACTGGGCGAAGGTCGAAAGCCACCGTGCAGCCGTACAAAACCCCTGCCGACACCAACAGCAAGGACCCTAAGACAGTGCATCCGAGAGATGTCGAACGTTGCATGCACCGGTGGATGATCCACATCACAATAGGCGTCCCAAAATACATGTGCATCGCTGCAGCCAGATACCACGTATGGGGCATGCACTGTAACAAGCGAGGCACAACATCAGTATGAATCTCCCAGTCAAAGGCGTTTTACGTCAGCCCATATAGTTTGGGTTCTTTCTTCACAGGGCGGTCCATTATCAGGCCGCAAACTGACGCAATTCAGTGATGTGCTGTACTCAGTCTTAGGTATTGACAAAGGGTCGTTAGGACCTTCGCTACGCATATTTTCGACTGTTGAGGACCGGTAAGTCCTGTAGACACATGTTTTAAGGCGGTAGTGCACTACGCAAGGTCAAAAATATTGTGTTTCCGCAATTTTTTTAGCGGACGCATGACATATAAGGGACGTCAAAACTGATAACGGTATCTTTTCATACTGTAACTAACGATCAAAATCACAAATAATGATAGGTGTCCTAAGATGCTATTGCGAATTTCTCCTAAGCACTGCAAGCTATACTTAGGTCGTTGGTTTGCGCGATTTGGACCTAACGGTGGGACCTAAAGGGTCCAAATTTGGTGTGGATCATCTGAAAACATGTCATTCTGGTGTGAACTAGGGAAAAAATTTGGAATAATTAATTGTACCTCAAACAACACGGCAAAATGACAAGTTCCGAAAGCAGCATTTTTTTAGCCCATCTTCTTCCAAAAACTTAAGTTCAAACATAGCTTAACAAAATTGATCGCAGTTATCCTAGTTCACACCAGAATGACGGGTCTCAAGGTTGTCTGTGCGAAATCTCGTCCAAATCGGATGAAAATTGCGGTCTGTATCACGCAAACCGTGTTATTTTTGCACTGGTTTCGAAAAATTCGTGGAAGTCTTAACTGCTGCCTTCAACTGCGCTCCATGTGATTTTGGTCCGTAATGAAAGTTAAATAAGGCCTCATAGTAAGTTTTGACGCATTTTACCTCTACCCGCAAACAATTTTCGGAAAAACACACTGTTAAAATTTTTTTCTTAAAATTCAGACTAAATAGTCAAAAGCAGATTTTCATAACGTTGGTCTGAATATTCAGAGTAAGAATGGCTCTGAAAAATAAGACTGTGAAAATCTGAAATTCTCGACTTAGTTAGTCTGATAATTTAGACAAGAGAGTAGTCTAAAAATTCAGACCGCAAATTGTTTTTTATCGTAAGAGCTTCCGAAATCAAAATTTTCTTCGTCGGTCTAATCAGTAAACCTTTCCACTGAGAGAATGGCGCCCCGAACTGTACCGAAACTTGGTACTGCGACTGTGACTCGAACCCCGGACCTCCGGGTTACGAGGCAGCCACCTTATCCACTAAGCCATGTGGCGCTTGTGGGCGTCGAGGAGCGTCGAGCCGAATACATGCTGCGACTCGGCGCAGCCGTCCGACAGGGGTCCTGACGGTCCATACCGAAGTTACTCATCGGATTTCAAGTAATCCACATACCATTATTAAATGTTGTGTTTCAAGACATGATTTTGACTTCAGAAATACAGAGATTACAAATTGTATTCAGACCAGGCGATAAAAAATTTGGACTGCGGTCTGAATCTACAAGAAAGACCAAGGATTTCTGAAAACTAAGAGCATAAATTGTGAATTTTCATCTCCTCGGTCTGAAAACGCATTTCAGACTGTGCACTCAAAAAATTTATACTAAAAGTCTGAACTTTAAGACTTGAGTCAGAATTCCCATTTCAGAGTGGGAAGTCTGAAAAAAATGGTCTGAATTTTCAGACTTTTTTTAACAGTGCACAATTTTTTATACCTTGCGAAGTGTACTACCCCCTAAATACACCTCCTGGAACCCCCCAACTTCGGTAAAATTGACCGTTCGGCCCGCCAAACGCCTGTTTTCTGGAAGGCATTGTTTCCACCTTCTAATAGTGCTGTCCGCATTTGGTTCAAAGTTAAGTAAAATTCAGTTTTCTTGTATTCAAACTAGAAGTATTCTTATCAGTATAGCTTCTACAAAAAAAAAAGAAACAAAAAAACTTTTAAGAGCCACAGCTGTGAGACATATCCGTCTCGGCGTTCCTGCCCACATTCGAGTCATATGTGACCAAATTCGCAGACAGTTGACTGACATCATGAGAATGGACCATAAACCGCCCTGTGGATAACAAAAGCAACAATAATCTGAAACGAAAAAGTTTCTGAGGGATGAATGTACTTGTGTGCTCGGATTGAAGTAATTGTTGATGAATAGTAGATGCGACCACCAAAACGTTTTACACATTTCCACCTCTCCATTGGTGATAAGCTGATTCCATAGGGGCCCCGAACCGAAATGTTCCAGCCACAGTGCCTCAATAGCAACAACGACGGTTAACGCTGCAACAAATCTTTGGAGAAGAACACTGTATTAGACCTTGCATTTAACCTTGAAACGGGCAATGACGTTCGTTGGCAGTTTGGAGACCACACGTTTGTAAAATCTCATAAGTATAATATCTTTATAAAAAACCAGTGGTTTCCTTGAACTTTTAGGCTGGATATGCTTAACGATTTCTTGGTTCAAGTTGTCCCAAACGATCAACTTTGAGTAGAGGTTGCGCAGCCCAAATTGAAGAAATCGTTTTAGAAACAAGAAGGTTTTGCTAAGAAATACACTTGTTACTACACATTTTCAGCAGAGAAGTCCGTGTAAAAATTACGCCGCCGGTGTCTGATTCGACCGTAACTCGAATAGCATGTATTTATTATTCCCCAGCTATCACTTCAGCGAGGCCCCACACTGTAAAAATTTGTTGTCATCACCTTATGACAAGAACGCGGATGACATTTTCATCACTTTCAAATCATGACAATCTCATCACAAATTAATGACATTTTTATCAAAGCTCCTATACTTATTGCATGGGCGTGACAACAATGTCACAATTTCTTTGGATGACATTGTCAGGAAAATTAGCCTTGAAATTGTCATTAATTGACGACCCGAATTTTCACAGTGCATGCCCCCCTTTCGCTGGGATTGACCCTGGAGTACAGACCCTTCAAGCTTTTGCACTCCCAGGTGCAATACTCGTGGGACTTACCTGAGGTAACGGTGCATGAGTTGGAGCATGATCGTCTCTAAGTTTAATTTGGGAAACTTATCATACAGTTTCATGCAACGGCGAGCATCAAGAAAGGCACTGATGACGAAGAACGCACAGACGATAATGTGGCCGTTTATGAAGTACATCTTTGTATACATCTGCGATTATCAGAATTCTATGTTAAGAGTCTCGTTCATTTCACAGTGCTACATTTCCGACTCAGCAAGCAATTCCTTTCATGACGAATTTTCAATACTTGTCTGCTTACTCTTTCAAACCCCTCAGGGTTCAGCACTGGCCCCCCAGACGGAAACATGGCCCTGTGTCCAGCGATAACCCCTATCGTGGTGATGACACGCATTCCTTCTATGGCAGACAACGAGGAACTTTGCCTTCTCAGGAGATCTTTGCAGTTGGTTTGCATTGCAAAGCAATCGGTCATTGATTGCAAGCAGCCTGCAATTGATTTCGCGTAAAAACTGTAGACGTTTCGGCGTCAATGAAAAGCTGCAAACTAAAGGAGTCTCCGTACGGTAAGTACCTTTGTTGCAATCGGTGTTCATCAGGGCACCTTTTTTCAGCGCGTATCGAGTTGAAGCGACGACGACCAGTAGAGGAAATAGCAAAATGAAGGAGCTGTAAGGTTGACACGTTTGTTCAATCACATCGGACTGAAATAAGAATAAAGTTCAGTTTAATGTCGATAGCTTTAGAGGTACTTGTGATGGTGCTGAGTTTGTGGTTAAAATACAATGACTTTAGGTGATGTATTTCTGGATAGACCTTAAGGTTAGGAGCTGTAGAGGTTAACGTAAATCTTTGGTCGTTTCTCAAAAATTCTCCTCACGATAAAGCAAGAAGTGCCCCAAGTACCTGGCCCACCATGGCAAATACCTCAGAGTTACCTGGAACCTCACCTGCCAAATAGAAACCGGGGCTGGCTGTGAAGACTTCGCAGAGAAAACGAACCTGCTGCATCGTTTTTCTTCGAAGTGGAACAGTATGTAGGGTTGAGATTCACCCGTAGGTGGACACCCAACGATTGAGCCATGCCACGAAAAGTTGACGCCAGCAAAACGCCAAGCTGACTGCTCTCCTCGATGGTAGCGTCATTGGTTTCACATCGCCTAAATGGACAACGATTCACAGTACAAATACACTGCAAGAAAAAGTACGAATATGTAGTACCACAAAAGTACAACAGAAGCTGTGTCAAAAAAAGTACGAGGCCTGAGCTGGACTGCACTCGTCATGCCGGTTCCAATGTACTTTGATTTGTTGTACTCTAAAAGAACAATTTTCCCGAGATTTTTATTTTTGTTAGGACTCTTGTCAGTTTGTTGTGGTTTTTCCAGTTTTTTCCTAGCAGTGCGAGTTGGGAAAAATGGTATGGCAGAATGCATATTTAGCAGCACACAAAATATTTTGCTCGACACTACAAAAAAATGTCCTGTCAATGCCGTTAATTTATTACCAATATTTGCTATTATGCAATTCACGGCGTTTGCTGTGAACTAGTTCACGGCGTTCACTGTGATCTCGGTCACGGTGTTCACTGTGATCTGGCTACAGTAAACGCCGTGAATTGGAGCCTGATTTGCTGTTCTTCGGTGCTCAGCGGCGTCAAACTCACAGTGTGTACTGTGGACCAGATCACAATGAACACCGCGAACAAGATCACACACTGTAAAAATTAGTTCCAGTGGCGCAAACAGAAATTTTAACAGGGGGCGCGAGTCTTTACAGGGACCCACCCACTCCTAAAGACACCCCCCCCCCGCCTTCTTTTTTTCCCAGGCGTATTTTTCGTTTCAGATTCTTTAGACGGCCTTTTACAGTTCAGTCTACATTTGCGAGCGAAGCGAGCTAAGAGCCAACGCTTTCAGAATGCTCCGTGCAAGTTTTTGCGTAATTACTTCAACTAATGCAACACCTTCTACTCAAAATAAAGAGCGAAATGAGCAAGAAGCCAATGTTTTCAAAAGCTCTTTTTTATGTCCGTCATTGGGACGTTTTTAGGCACGATGTAGCCAATTTATCCCCCAGGATTCAGCCTCGCTGGGATTTGATCGCGTGGCCCCTTATGCAAGTCGAAACCTCTCTGTACGATTTTGATGAGATTTTGCAGACTGGTACAATTCTGAGACGTGATTTCAATTCTGGAATATGGTTGAAATCTTAGCGATAAATTTTCAGAAAATTGCCGTCAAAATCACTGTTTCCATAGCAAAGCTCGACTCGTCAACGAAAAGGGAAGAGAGAGGGGGGAGCCGAGCCAAACCCAACCAATAGCATGGCTCCTTTTCGCTTGTGTACAGGTTACCCCAAAAACGGTCGCTTCTTTGAAAAAGGACGTTCGAATAAAAAACTTTCTGTGACCGTGACAGAACAGATGTAACAATAGCACAAGAGGGTTTTTTGAACGCAGTCTTTTCGTTGGCACTGCCTGATGAAAATTTTTAATGGGAATGTCTTTGCTCATGCGCGGAACAGTACACAGCCCCGACGGGCAAGGTTTGATGAAGTTACGTTGCTACAACGTGCTTTAAGTTGCCGTTTCGATGTGGCATTGGCCGCTCGGACAACAGAGAGATCACAAAACAACAGTGAGCTCCGTCTTTTAAAAGACGGAGATCGCTGTGGTTTTGGGTACAGAGCGACGCTGTGAAAAAATTAACAGGATTCCCTGTTGTTTTTTCTCGCAGTGATATTCACTGGTAAAACTAAAGCGTAACTCTATGCTTGAGTCAAGCATAAAGTTACGCTTGAAGACGTTACGCTTGAAATCAAGCATAGACGAGAAATTCCCCCCATGCATATTTAGATAGGGAAAATCTTGGCGGATGAGCCTGTTACGCTTGATTTCAAGCGTAAACTGATTACGCTTGAAAACAGTGTTCACGAACAAATTTCATAAAATTAAGAAGATTTCTGTGATGAATAATTCATAAAACGGCCTCTACGAATAAATTTCATAAAATAACGAAATGTTATTGTTACTTTACAGAGAATTTGTAAAAACACTGAAAACGTAATGGTCGGACACATGGCCAAATTATGGCGTGACAAAAAGTCACGCCAAAAATTGGCGTGACACGAAATTCACGCCGAAAAACGGCGTGACAGGTGAGTCACGCCCTCATTTGGCGTGATTGACAACGCGTTTTCTGAGGCAAGTCACGCCAAAAAGCGGCATGACAAGAAATTCACGCCAAAAATTGGCGTGAATTTTTGAGTCACGCCGATTTTTGGCGTGACTTTTGTGTCATGCCGTTTAATGGCCTGACACTTTATTCACGCCCCTGCAGCGGCACGAAGTCACGCCGGTAGATTTTCAGTGAAGAAATTCGTAAATTCACAATAATTTATTCCAGTGATGTGTTCACATGAACCTGAACCGAAAAACTCCTGCCCCCCCCCCCCTCCCACAAAAAGGAATAGCTCACAACTTGTCTATGACCTCACTGAAAATCTATCGGCGTGACTTCGTGCCGCTGCAGGGGCGTGAATAAAGTGTCATGCCAATAAACGGCAGGACACAAAAGTCACGCCAAAAGTCGGCGTGACTCTAAAATTCACGCCAATTTTTGGTGTGAATTTCTTGTCATGCCGATTTTTGGCACACGGTAAAAACGGTACCTGGTTTTCCCAGGAGCCGTATGGCGAAGACATAGGCGATTTCGATGGGGTTCCTGGGAAAACCAGGAACCGTTTTTAACGTGCACGACTTGTCTCATAAAACGCGTTGTCATTCACGCCATATCACTGATACTTTGACAGAGTGACGAAAGTCCAAAATTTTGTTAAAATGAGATTTTTGGCTGCGTTCTAGAACTTTTGATTTTCTGTCGACTGGTGAAAAGCATATGTCGATATCTCTAATAGATTCAGCGTAGGAAAATACTTCAAAATGACGAAAGTCCAACTGTACTTTGACAAAATGACGAAAGTCCAGCCGTACTTTGACAAAATGACGAAAGTCCAACTGTACTTTGACAAAATGACGAAAGTCCAACTGTACTTTGACAAAATGAGGAAAGTCCAGCCGTTCTTTGACAAAACGACGAAAGTCCAACCGTACTTTGACAAATGACGAAAGTCCCAACTGCAAAACCGGTCGTAGGTAACTATTGCTTTCCAATTAAGATAATTATTCATGAGTTCAGTGACGGCATGAACATAAAACATGCCAGAGTTGAAAAGTTTCATTTAATTTGTGTTAGCAGTAAAGGTGGACTTTCGCCATATTGTCAAATTACGTATGGACTTTCGTCGTTTTATCAAAGTACGGTTGGACTTTCGTCGTTTTGTCAAAGTACGGTTGGACTTTCGTCGTTTTGACCTCATTTTCGTACGCTGAGAAATGGCGAATGTCCACTATCTCGGGAACTAAGCTGCCGATTGCAATGGCTCTTGAACCTAAAGAACACTCATGCCTTCAGGATTCTATGGTGTTAAACTCAACCATCAAATCCCAAAACTCTATTTTGCAGCTCAAATTTTAGACTTGTTTTGACTCTCCTGAAAAATAAGAGATTGTGGACTTTCGTCACATTGTCAAAGTACCAGTGATATGGGGGCGTGACTCACAGGTCACGCCGTTAATCGGCGTAAATTTCGTGTCACGCCAATTTTTGGCGTGACTTTTGGTCACGCCATAAATTGGCCATGTGTCTGACCATTACGTTTTCAGTGGTAATACGTTACCCGACTGGAGCGGTGCGATAACACTGCTCTGGTAGGCACACGGCCCACTGCCGGGAATCGCGTCTGTACCGTCGGCGATTTCCAGATGTCTGCAAATGAACAAAATCATTCAACTTAAGAATTTTTAGGTTCTGTGCTGACAGTCCTTTTAAATGTAGTGTTCTTAGTCATTTTCTGTTGCCATTGCATGCCTTTAAGAGATCCCAAAGCGTTGCGTTGATGCCGTTGGGCGGTTCGCGAGGACTCCACTCGTCCAGGCCGTGGCTCGCTGGGGCGGACGGAGGGCGGACTTCTACATCCACCAGACAGTATGTGGCGCCCGTCGAAAGACACGCGTCAAAATCCCCGAGGTGGGAAATGCCGCCCGAAAGTAAGGCGTCAGGTAATACGACAGACGCGAAGTGCACTGAAATTTGTTGATTATTATTAACAGAAAGTTAACAGGATATTCTTGCCAATGAAACATATTCAAGCCCTACACTCAAAATTTGTTCCTTTCCTTTCAGTATCTGTATATGTACGAGATTAATATCGGAGCCGAAAATTGGCGGTGAGCTATATCTGCACCTCGTCAAATTTTTATAAACCTAACACGGTAAAAGCGGTACCTGGTTTTCCCAGGAGCCCTATGGCGAAGACATAGGCGATTTCCTGGGGGTTCCTGGGAAAACCAGGAACCGTTTTTACCGTGAACCTAAAACCGGGGGAACGTGGTCTCTTTTCCTCTGTGTATCACTGGCGAAAAGTTACATCGAATTCGGTTAATTACACTGGTAAAACTGAAGCGTGGTTCACTGCACTGAGAAAACCTTACAAACTATTTTGGGCCTTACAAAGAAAAGTAGTTTGTACAACAAAGTATTTTGAGCATACGTAAGCTTACAAAGAAAATACTTCGTAATTTACGAACTATTTCTTCGTATAACAAAGTATTTTAGTTTGTTATACGTTTGCTCAAAATACTTGGAAGGTTTTAAGAGTGTGGTAAAACTAAAGCGTAACTTATGCTTGAGTCAAGCATAAAGTTACGCTTGAAGACGTAACGCTTGAAATGAAGCATACTCTAGAAATTCCCCCATGCATTTAGATAGGGGGAATCTTGGCGATGAGCCTGTCTCGCTTGATTTCAAGCGTAACCTGATTACGCTTGAAAATAAAGGGTAATACTACGCTTTAGTTTTACCAGTGTTGTATGCTTGATTCAAGCGTACAACTACGCTTGGAGACTTTACGCTTGACGTTACGCGTAGAGAAGCAATTCTCCCGTGCATTTAGATAGGCTGGAGAGGGGCAAAATCGAGAACTCTGCTTGAAGCCCAGCGTAGTTCTGCTACGATTGAAGAAAGGCGTAAAAGTACGCTTGAGTTCTACCAGTGTATTTTCTTGCCAAGATCCTCCGTAGGACCTTTCAGTATTCTCTGTAGGACCGTACAGTATTCCGTGGGCTGAATCAGTCAGCGTTCTGCTGTACACATGAGTACACGAATACGGGTTAGTGCACCGTAGAAACCCCATAAATTTTCACATTGTGGAACTTGTGTCACTTAGTGCACATGAATACATCAGTGGTTGACCCCTCTCCGTAGGATTGTACAGTTTTTTCCGTGGAACCTTACAGGTGTCTGGAAGACTGTATAACCTTACGGAGAACACTGTTAAGGGGGGACCCTGGTGAAAAAATGACCAAAATTGCCAAAAATAGTATTTTCAAAGTTCATAGATAAAAATGTGCATAGAAGGTTTCAGATTCAACAGGTTGAACACCTTTAAACTATGTGGGTGGTTCCTTCATCATTTGGAAAGAAATAACATTGAGATCAGTTGTCGTTGGCTTATACGCTCAACTTCACAGCTTTGCTCAGTCGACAAAAAATTTTGTCGTAGAAAGACTTCCTGCGTTCCTGGTTGACACCTACATGAGTCGTCTTGCATGGACTCTATTCATTGATGACTTATCGACAAATTTTAGTGACGGAATCTTGATATCAGCCCTACTTTTTTTAACACACACCTAAAAGTTTCAAAAAAAGGCAAAAAATTCACTTTTTTTAAATGTTAAAATTTGAAAATTGATATCTCAGGACAGAAGATGAAATTGAAAATTCCGTCACTAAAATCTCTTCTATACATCTTAAGGATAACGCAAAAAAATTTTCAAGACTTTCCGTTCCAATGAAAGACGCAGGAAGATATTTCCCCAACGCTCTAAAAAACACTAAAAAGCCACTTTTCTCAGAGACCGTTCAACATCTTGGATTGAATTTTGTTTTATGAACTCACCATAATGAACCTATTAATCAAGCAAAGTTTCAACTTTCTGGGATTATTTTAAAGCCTACTTGAAAGTTTCACCGGGGTCCCCCCTTAAGTCCCACAGAGAATATTGACAAGAGGGCGACGGAGAATCATCACGTAGTTGGCAGAATTTTTTCGTAGCTTTCTGCGGACATCAGGTCAGAAAATAGGAGGTCGAGTTTTTCATTATTTTCTGCAGTGTTCGGCCTTCTATTATCAAAAATGAGAAAATTTTTCGCTTTCTGAACAGTTTTGCAAATATGCAAATTTAGATGTGCATGCTCAATGTGCACCTTCGGTTCTCCCTTTTGGTGCTCTTCCGCACTGTATGTCATTCATGGCCAGGAAAGTCTATTATACAGGAGAAATGAGCGGAAATCAGCGTCGTTTCTCGTCTTACTTTTAAGCGCCCAAAGTTTCAACTCCGCCCTGCCTTCGATGAAGACGTCCAACGCTTCTCTACAGTTGGCGGACGTGGTGTGCTTCCTCATCTCCAAGAGTAGGTCGAGTCGACGAAGCGCCGATTCACCGATTCGGTCCACGCCTGCAAACCAGTCGCGCGAAGCACAAAATAGCAATCATAGAACTGCCTTCCACAGTGGGCCAGAATATCGACGCCGCGGCGGTCAAAGCTTTAGACTCGAACTACGCGTGTGCCCACGAATGGATTCCTCGTTTGATGAGCAGTCCATTGGAGGGGTCACAAGTTCTCGGTTCGAGTCTCATTTAGCGATTCTAGGGCTCAAAACGCGTCCGGGATTTTGACCGCCTTGACCGGTCTTTTGGCCTAGTGGCGTGGTTACTGACAGGATATTCACAGGTCTACCTCCGACACAACCAGGTGTCATCAATTTTCATTTCGTCTTGCTAGGTTTGAGGTGGTCCGATACGGCGATAAGACGTGCCTCAAAATGGTGATTATTACTGTTACTATTCTTTGAACTCTTTGAACAACACTGATAGAAAAAAGTACAGAAATTACACGGAACATGTCTGGTCAATTTTTTACCTGGACCGTCCGTACCTTGCCAACCACGGAGGTTCTGTACATGTTTTCTGTACCTGTTTACATGAGATCCTTATGGGGACCACAGAGAACCAGTACAGAAGGTCCGTGCCAAACCACGGAATTTTTTGCAGTGAAGCAGGATACATTTTCTGAGTCCACACGGTAAAGACGGAACCTGGTTTTCCCAGGAAGCCAATGGTGAAGGCATAGGCGATTTCCAGGGAGTTCCTGGGAAAACCAGGAACCGTTTTTACCGTGCAATCGAAATAGAGGCTTTACGGCTGAATAATAGGTAATCTAATTTACCACGTTAATATTGAAGAATTGTTCAACAGTTGATCGTTTCAAGGCATGAATTATTTCGAGGTCCACGGAAAAAAAGAATTTATCGTGGCAATGAAAATGTATACTGATTTTGGGATAGCAAAAACAAAGTTGTTAGGCGTACCGTTGCGTCGTTCAGTTCACGCTTCCTTACCTCTCGCGTCCGGGTCGTGACCCCAGACAGAGTAGAGACCGCCGAGATCGCTGAGTACAAATTCTGCTCCAGCTCCAGCCATTCCGTGCGACCGATGCTCTGCTGTCGGCGTGGTAGACAAAGATGTGCCCGTATCGTTCGAAATGTCGCAGTAGGTTCTGCCAGCCACCACGAGGACAAGAGCAGCGGAAAGAATCATGTTGTCGCCTTCGCGCCGTCTTTCAAAGTGCACCGGCATCTGCGAAGAAGCCATTCGCTTTCCAAGCCACTAACCTACCACAAGCACTCCACGTTACTTTGTATGCATACTCGGGGACCAGCCGGTGAGAGGTGACACGCATATTCCTGAAGTAAAATCAAATGGAGCCGCGGACTGATGCCGAGAGTCGTTTTCGTCGCTTTGTCTCTCTTCCACGGCACGCCACATGAGTGAGAGACGGCGACGAAAACAACTCTCGGAATGAAACTGCAGGAAGACGGTCTGAGGCGATTACCCACGACGCTTTGGTTCTGAAGGACAGGCACAACTCGGTGCGCGCGCTGAGCGTTCAGCCGAGCGGAAACGAAGCCACTTTTCCTACACAGTAAATGGAAACGGCAGATTTCGTTAACGATTCCCTACGCAGAACATGTATCAGATTTTGATTGGCACAGAAAAGGCAAGCGTTTGTAGGAGAAGTTCATGGGTTCATGCTAAAAAAAATTTGTGCCACTTTTGAACGTGGTCTTACACAAATTGGCGCATACGTGCTTTTCAAATAAAATTGTACGTGATCTCCCTCGAATTCGGGCGTTTCCATCAACAATTTTCAACAAATAAATTAGCATGGTTAAAATTCTGCGAGAACAAGTACGAAATTGAACAAATATATTTAGTAAGCTCCATCGTATTATGGGGATATTTAGGGAAAGACATTTATAGTGTGTCACTCTCCAGCGAGGATGCGTCCCATCGCGGTGAGGACGGGCTCCACCGCCGTGGCAGAAGCAGCCCACAATACAGCGTCGCGTGTTGGGTGGCCTACCTGGCCGGCGACAAGGCCCATAACGAAACCGCCATTTCCCGGGTTGTGAGACGTTCGCACCCATGGGGTCGTGCACGACCACTGGCAAAACATGGTTTGCTTGCCTTATGCCCTCTTCCCTTCACACTTTTCCCACTGTTTTTTCCCAGATGAGAAAAAAAACGCCCTGTAGGATCATCAGCTGGATGATTCCATGCCAAATTCATGCCCTCTTCAATTTTGATTAAACTTTTTCTTTTTTTTGGGGGGGGGAGGCGGAAGGCAGGGGTCATTATGAAAGGAAACCGTGCCAGAGGGTGTTGGAATATCTCACCCCGTTTGACTGTGACAGAATAAGGGAACTTTTTGGCTGAGCGATAGCGAAGCCCGTTACTCAGGTGGGGTTGAAAAGTTTTGTCTGTCTGTCTGTCTGTCTGTCTGTGTGTCTGTCTGTCTGTCAGCACTACTCCTCCTGAACGGCTCGGCCGATCTGGCTGAGATTTTGCACACTTTTTGGGTATGTCCTTGGCTCGGCACACGCGAAATTTCACTATCCTAGCTCAACTGGTTCAGTTTTTATAGCCGAAAAACACCTAAGAAACGGCGAAAATCGAGTTTTCTGCCGGCAAATATCTTCTGCCTTGAAGAAAGGGGGGTCAGGGGGGCAGAGCCCCCCAGCCCCGGCAAGTTGAAAAGTAACAAGGGTCAAGATCGTGTTATCTGTGGATGAAGCAACTCTATCTGGAATGAAGGGGGGTCTGGGGGGCGGAGCCCCTCAGTATGCAACAATTTAGAAGTAACCGACGATGGGCAAGCCATGGCCTGCCGAAGGCAGGCTAGCGCCGCAGGCCAAGGTAGGTCCGCCAGGCGCGGATTGGAGGAACAGGCAGCGAGACATCGCGAAGCCTGTTACGACAAGACGCGGTCTGGCGTAAACCTACCTTGTAAGTATATTAAAATCACAAAGTTCTTTATTTTCTTTAAACTAAACTGAAAATTTGTAGAAGTTTGTTTTAGAGTAGGGATCGAAGTTTCCCGGAAATCTTCAAAGTTCCCGGAAAATTTCCGGAAAAGTGGAAAATTTCTATTTTGTTTGGGAAATTTTGGAAAATTTGGAATTATTGACTTTATTGCGTTAAAATGTGATATACACTGTAAATCCAAAGGCAATACTTTTAGTACCTTTTTTGGCGATACAATTGAGTATCGCCAATAAACGGCCGTACGGAAAAGTATTGCCTTCAAAACGGCGATACACAAAAGTATCGCCAAAATTTGGCGATACTTGGGAGTATTGCCACGATGTGGCAATAAACGTCGAACAAATCAAGGGGACAAGACCTTGGTTTAATGCCGTGGTTTTGGCATTATCCAAAAGTATTGCCAAATTTCGGCGATACTTTCTTGTATCGCCGTTCTGAAGGCATTACTTTTCCGTACGGCCGTTTATTGGCAATACTCATTTGTATCGCCAAAAAATGTACTTTAGTATCGCCGTTGCGTTTGCAGTGTAAGGAGGAAAAAAATTTTATTCGAAAAAAACAAAAACGGAGAAACAGGTGAAAGGAACCTATTATTTATTTTCATGGTAACTAAGACCACCTCTAAATCGGTCAAAATAGTCACATTAGCGATTGGCATTTTCACTTTCTAGACCTAAGATTCCGCGTCGGCCTGATGGGAGTTGGCTGATGGCCTACACTGCAAATGTCTTACTGTGAAAGGCTGCACGAACTTATCATGGTGGAGATTTTTTCCATAATACCAATGAAATTTTTGTGAAAATATCTATAAGGTACAGAATTCTCAATGGTATGTTATGAAGTCAGCTGTACCACCATAGTATGGACCATTTTCACCATAATATGGAGAATCTTCATGGTTGGCTGAGCGATAGCGAAGCCCGTTACTCAGGTGGGGTTGAAAAGTTTTTCCTGTCTGTGTGCGTGTGTGCGTGTATGCGTGTATGCGTGTGTGCGTGTGTGTCCGCACTACTCCTCCTGAACGGCTCGGCCGATCTCGGTGAGATTTTGCACACTTCTTAGGTATGTCCTTGGCTCGGCACACGCGAAATTTCACCATCCTAGCTCGACTGGTTCAGTTTTTGTAGCCGAAAAACACCTAAAAAACGGCGAAAAATAGAGCTTTCTGCAGATAGATCACTTCTGGCTTGGAGAAGGGGGGGTCTGGGGGGCCCCAGCCTCGACAAGTTAAAGTGACAAGGGTCAAGATAGTGTTATCTGTAGATGAAACAACTCTATTTAGAATGTAGGGGGGTCTGGGGGCAGAGCCCCCCAGCATACAACAAGCTAAAAAATAACCGACAATGGACAAGCCATTGCCTGTCGCAGGCAGGCTAGCGCCGCAGGCCAAGGTAGGTACGCCGGGCGTGGATTGGAGGAACAGGCAGCGAGACATCGCGAAGCCTGTTACGACAAGACGCGGTCTGGCGTAAACCTACCTTGTACAACATGTAGAGTGTACACCAGCCTTTACTTGAACTCTCGTTCCTGTGCCGGTTTCGCTGGTGTGCACTCTAAAAAAAGTTCTGAAATTTCATATCGAAAAGAGTATGACTTTTCATAAACACGTTCTAAAAGTCACCTTTCATAACATTGTTCTGAAAATTAAGACTCGGTACTGAAAATCAAGGTTTCGGCTGTGACATTTCAGAAACACGGTTCTGAAAGTTCAGAACGAGATAAATTCAGAACAGAGGTTATGAAAATTCAGATTGTCGTTTTAAAATTTCAGAATGGTTACACATATCACAGCTGCTGTTCTGATATTTAAGCTCGCCGGGCCCCCTTACATCCACTGCCTAGGCCGCTGCAGCGCAGCGGTGTTCCGCGGGTTGCCTGCGCTGTCGCTGGCAGGGGCTCCTTGGTCTTCTCTCCACCCCGTCCCCCTCCACCCGTCCACCACCAGCAACGTCACATGTCACATGACCTACCCCCTCCGCTTCCCCCTTCCCCTCGCCCGCCACCTGTCTCTCGCAGTGGCGTGGCATAGCGTGGCGTGGCCGCGTGCATGCAACAGAAGGCCATAACCTTAGTCTACCTGACCTCACCATGGCTCACTCTCCACCCACTTGCCACCGTTGAGCTTGCACTTGAGGTCCTTGTGATTTCTCGAAACTAGTTAATGCACGTCTTCGTGCTGGCAGTTTTTCATCATGGAACTCGTAAGTGTAAACATGTTTCAATGTTGACCCTGGGCAGTTGAGTCTTTGGCTAAAACTTGTCTTTATTTTGTTTCTCTCAGGGCCACCTGGAAAGTCTGATGCATCTTTTGTTCGTTTACCTCTCAGTTCTCTTCTAGATGCTTCTGACAAGTTATTGTACGTCTCCATGCTGGCAGTTTTTCATCATGGAATCTACTGGTAAGTATAAACATGAATTAAAGTTGATGCTGGCCTGTTGAGTCTTTGCCTAAGACATTTCTTTATTTTGTTTCTCTCAGGTTCATCTGTCATGCCTGCAATGGCATCGAACTGTTACTTTTGTTTGCGTACCATTCCTACTTTGAGTTGCTTGCGACTGCTCGAGACCAGTTATTGTACATCTTCGTGCTGGCAGTTTTTCATCATATAACATGTAAGTATAAATATAATTCAGTGTTGACCCTGAGCTGTTGAGTCTTTGGCTAAAACCTGTCTTTATTTTGTTTCTCTCAGGGCCACCTGGAAAGTCTGATGCAGCTTTTGTTCGTTTACCTCTCAGTTCGCTTCTAGATGCTTCTGACAAGTTATTGTACGTCTCCATGCTAGCAGTTTTTCATCATGGAATCTACTGGTAAGTATAAACATGAATTAAAGTTGATGCTGGCCTGTTGAGTCTTTGCCTAAGACATTTCTTTATTTTGTTTCTCTCAGGTTCATCTGTCATGCCTGCAATGGCATCGAACTGTTACTTTTGTTTGCGTACCATTCCTACTTTAAATTGCTTGCGACTGCTCGAGACCAGTTATTGTACATCTTCGTGCTGGCAGTTTTTCATCATATAACACGTAAGTATAAATATAATTCAGTGTTGACCCTGAGCTGTTGAGTCTTTGGCTAAAACCTGCACTGTTAAAAATTATGTTGTAATTTAGCAGTAAATATGTTGCTAATTTTCTTAATGACCAAAGTTGTTTTCAAATGACTTTCGTTGTTTACTAACGAGTTGCGTCGTTCGTCCACAAGATGTTTGTAAACCGGTAGACAGCCTTATTTGCATCAATTTTTACTGCCGATTAGGTCACAGACCTAGCAGAGTCCCGGTTACCCCGCAGTAACCACTTCTTAGATTGTACGCAGCAAAATATTGTTTTGAAACAGCATAAGTCATAAAAATAATTAGCAACGAATTCGTCGTTTGAAAACAAGCAAACTTGTTCACAACCAACAGCTTTGTCGAGGTTAGTAATTGTGTTGTTATTTTACAAGGTAGGTTTACGCCAGACCGCGTCTTGTCGTAACAGGCTTCGCGATGTCTCGCTGCCTGTTCCTCCAATCCACGCCCGGCGTACCTACCTTGGCCTGCGGCGCTAGCCTGCCTGCGACAGGCAATGGCTTGTCCATTGTCGGTTATTTTTTAGCTTGTTGTATGCTGGGGGGCTCTGCCCCCAGACCCCCCTACATTCTAAATAGAGTTGTTTCATCTACAGATAACACTATCTTGACCCTTGTCACTTTAACTTGTCGAGGCTGGGGCCCCCCAGACCCCCCCTTCTCCAAGCCAGAAGTGATCTATCTGCAGAAAGCTCTATTTTTCGCCGTTTTTTAGGTGTTTTTCGGCTACAAAAACTGAACCAGTCGAGCTAGGATGGTGAAATTTCGCGTGTGCCGAGCCAAGGACATACCTAAGAAGTGTGCAAAATCTCACCGAGATCGGCCGAGCCGTTCAGGAGGAGTAGTGCGGACACACACGCACACACGCATACACGCATACACGCACACACGCACACAGACAGGAAAAACTTTTCAACCCCACCTGAGTAACGGGCTTCGCTATCGCTCAGCCAAAAACAACAATTTTTAACAGTGTGTCTTTATTTTGTTTCTCTCAGGTCCACCGGGAATGTTTGTGATGTGCAGCTTTTGTTCGTTTACCACTCCTACTTCGAGTTGCTTCTGACAAGTCATTGTATGTCTTCATGCCAGCAGTTTTTCACCATGGAATCTACTCGTAAGTATAGATATGAACCAAAGTTGAATCTGGTCCATTGAGTCTTTGCATAACACATGTCTTTATTTTGTCTCCCTCAGGTCCACCTGGAATGGTATTGCAGTGCCGTTTTTGCCCATTGACCACTTCTACTTTGAAGGCCTACTTAAATCATCAGTCGATTCATCGTCATGTGAACAGACTGTTTCCATGCGGAGTGGTTAACTGTAGTCAAGTGCTGCCTTCTGAGACATGCCTTCGAGCACACCTCCTTCGACGTCATGGATTGCAGTGCAGGGATGGAACTCTGTATCAGCCCGCAGCTGCCATGTCTTCCTCAAGGGATGGTATGTTTGAATGCTCACTTCCAATATGCAAGAAAAAATTCCATACTTCGAAAGATCTCTGCAAGCACCTGAGACTACACCTAATGTCAGGTATAGCTGTTCGCTGTCCAATTCCATCATGTAATAACACTCTACGAAATGTTAATACTTTTAAAAGTCATATGAGTAGAGAACATGGAGGGAAAGTTTGCAGAGTTCTACCCGTACTGCCAGTGCTGGTTCCATTCGATCCCATTGACTTAGTGTCTGCTGAACTGACACCTGAAGTAATCGCTCCTGATACTATTGAACCTATTTTGTGTGATGAACAGTCATACGAGGAGTACCAGGAGTGCCTTGCAGCTTTTTTAATGAAGCTGGAGTTAAAGTGTCTAATACCAGCAACAACAGTTCAGTACATTTCAAGAGAATTTCAGTTGTTACAAGAGCACTCACAGAATAACCTGAACTCTAAGTTAAAGAAAAAATTACTTGAAGAAAATATTACATCAGACAACTTGGACTCAGTTCTTTTTGATGCATTTAGCACCCAACGCAAGAGTCAGCACAATTTAAGAAGTGATCATATGAGGAAAAAGTTTTATAAGAAGAACTTCATTTACGTCAAGCCTGAGAGGATTGGTCCGCCCATATCAAAAACTGTCTTCTATTATGTTTCTATTGCTGAATCACTGCAAGCTGCCTTCAAAGATAAGTCAAATAAGATAAGTCTAGAACCTCCAGTGCAGTTAGATCCTAACATTTTAACAGATATAACTGATGGATTGGCTTACAAGAATAATAGATTTTTTCAAGAAAATCCAAGATCTATCCGGATTATTCTGTTCCAAGATGGATTTGAAATTTGTTCGGGGTATGGCAGGAACAAGCACAAACTCACTGGTGTGTAAATGGCTATTGCTAATATTCCTCGTCACATACGCACACATGTTAACTCAATTCTTCTTGTTGCTTTATACAAAGAGAAGAACTTTGATCACCAATCTGTTTATGGGAAAATTGTGGAGGATTTAAAAGTTCTGGAGACTGATAGTGTTTCCATACCTGAGCATGGCACTGTAAAGGCTGGATTAGTGTACATATCTGCACTGTTAAAAAAAATTTCTTAATTTTCAGACTAATTTGAGTGAAGTACATTTACATAAACTCGTTATTAATTTTCAGACTCGTCTTGGTCTGAAAATGAAGTCTTAAAATTCAGACATGGCCAAGTCTTAAAATTCACACTGCCTTCTCGCTGAAAATTCATACTTTTTGTCCAAAATTTAGGAACATGCTTTGTGAATTCGCACTGCTGCAATCGTGCGGAAAGGGCAGCCTGTTTTAGAGTGGTCTAGACGCTTATTAGGGCGGTCCTTCTAGATAGGGTTGAATTTTTCTCCTGTAAAAGGTAGAGTGAGAGAGACTATAGCATGTCGTTATTCGACGCACGACGGACACCATCGTTTCTCAAAAAATCTTGAGAGAGTTGGATCTCACTCAGTCAAGCTGAAGCACTCGACCAGGTCGTGCGAGGGCGAGCCCATGCTAAGTTTTCCTGAGACGAGCTACAAGGTAGGTTTACGCCAGACCGCGTCTTGTCGTAACAGGCTTCGCGATGTTTCGCGGCCTGTTCCTCCAATCCGCGCCTGGCGTACCTACCTTGGCCTGCGGCGCTAGCCTGCCTTCGGCAGGCAATGTTTGCCCATCATCAGTGACTTCTGATTTGTTGCATGCTGGAGGGCTCCGCCCCCAGACCCCCTTCACTCTTTATAGAGTTGCTTCATCTACAAATTACACGACCTTGACCCTTGTAACTTTTCACCTTGTTGGGTTGGGGGGCTCCGCCCCCCAGACCCCCTTTCATCAAGACAGGAGAGATCTACCCGCAGGAAACTCGATTTTTCGCCATTTTTTAGGTGTTTTTCGGCTATAAAAACTGAACCAGTTGAGCTAGAGAAGTGAAATTTCGCGTGTGCCGAGCCAAGAACATACCTAATAAGCCTGCAAAATCTCAGCCAGATCGGCCGAGCCGTTCAGGAGGAGTAGTGTACACAGACAGACAGACAGACAGAAAAAGTTTTTCAACCCCACTGGAGTAACAGGCTTCGCTATCGCTCAGCCAACAAGCGTACGGAGGATCATGCGGGCACCCAACATAATGGCCGAACGCCGACGCCAGCGAGAGGCAACATGGAAATGCGGTTTTATCGACTTCAGACTAATATTTTGTTAAAAACTTCTTGCTAACGGCTAGAGCTGATAATTACTAAGGCAACAGATGATGCTGTTTGCAAACCTTATTTACTTTAATAACATTAATCGGAATTACGAAGTGGTGATCTGACGCGGCGCTCAAGGTGCCATCTAGCGGCAGGTCCCTGAAACGAAACCCCAGGTGGCTGCAAGTTAGTGGACCAAACCATGTGAGAAGTGGATTGTCCACAGTTTGTATTCAACAAGCTCCCTCAAAATAACATTTGCCGACATCAAAATGTTTGTATGTGCGACGTTCGATTTTGTATATCTCGTTGTGTATTGGTCAGCCTAATCTGAATTTTAAGACTTCCCTCATTATGAATTTCCAGACTGGGTACAAATATTCAGACAACGCTCGTTTTCAGACTGCCCTGTCCGACACTTAAGACAAAAGTTTTGAAATTTCATAAAAAGGTCTTAATTGGTGTTTCATAACGTCAAGTCTGAAAAAAGTTGTCTGAATTTTCAGATTTTTTTTAACAGTGTGGTGACAATCTTGGCCATCATGCTGTTGGCGGTTTTAATGAAAACTTCAGTAGAAGTATTTATTTTTGCCGTTATTGTCTTATTGACCGAAAATCATTTCATTCAAATCATCATAGCCAGTTTCCTCTGCGTACTCCACAGTCTCATGGTGATTGTTTGAGAGGAGCTGCCTGCAACAGGAAGGGTGTAAAGTTTGACAGTGAATTCAATAAGTTGGCTGAATTTCATGTGTGTAATCCAGGACTTGCAAGCTGCTGTGCCCATGACCTTTTTGAAGGAGTCGTGGCCCATGACATGGTATTATTTATCAATTATTTTGTAAGTGGAGGGTGGTTCACTATTCCACAGCTTAATGCCAAGATTGACAATTTCAAATATGATAGTGCAGATTATAGGGACAAACCCAATACTTTTAAGGAAGGCTGTGAAAAACTGTCAGGTGGAGCCATGCAAATTTGGTGTTTTTTGAGACTCTTTCCATTGTTTATCAAGGATTTAGTAGACTGGGAAGAGAAACAGGATAATTTAGTGTGGAAGGCAGTGTTGCTCTTGAATGAAATAGTAGAACTTGTCATGGCTACTGTCATTTATGTGTCTGTACTTCCATACTTAGATGCAATCATTTATGACTACCTTGACTTGAGGGTAGTCCTATTTCCTAATGTACTACTGAGACCAAAGCATCACTACCTCACCCACTATTATTTTTTGTTGTATTTCTTCGGGCCAATGTGTTTGACATGGTCTATGAGATTTGAATCTAAACACTCCTTTTTCAAACGGTTTGCTAGAATGTTGAGAAACTTCAGAAATGTTTTATTTCCTCTTGGCATCAAACATGAACTGTTTATGTCCTACTTGAGACTTGGAGTTGAGTTGCGGTGTGATCTGAAGCCCACTTTGTCTGGGGAGTTTCATGCAAATGTGTACTCTTTGGATATTCAACGTGCCCTTCAAGCTAATTTACCACCCCTTATGCAAGAATGTGTCTCAATCGTTATCAAAGGAACTCTGTACAAAAAAGGATCCTTGCTATTAGTGCAACAAAGTCATTATCAGTGTGATGTTCAATTTGGGAGAATTGTTCTGATTCTTTATGATAATAATACAAATGTATTTTTTCTTGTTGAAGTTATGGAGGCAGAATTCATGCCACATTTAAGGGTGTACAAGTTAGGTGCAAGAAAGATGTGAGGCATTTTTTTTAAGAAGTCCGATCGTGGAACACGACCGATGCCGATTTCCTCCATTTTTTGGTCAAAGGTAGTCCTTGTGGGTCTAAGAAAGGCCACAAATTTTTTGAGCCGAAATATGCACCGTTCAGATTCTATGGGCAATTTTCGTTTTCTCTGAAAACTTTTCACATAATATGGCCAAAATTGAAAAATCACCTTTCTGAGGCCTCTATGCACTCGATTGAGCTCAAAATGTGGTATCGTATGTAAAATCACGCGAGGAACACAAATCCGGTGCCCGTTTGTTGATAGGACAACCCAAACAGATGTTATGACTGTTTTTCAGGTTTTTTAGTGGTTTTTACTTTTCTTGGGGTTTTGGTGTTCGGCATCGATTTTCGCCAATCCGATGAGTGGATTTTATAGATAAAGGACCAATCTATCATATTACGAGATAAAAAGTTTGTGTACGCCGCGTGAAAAGCAGTGGCGCTGCAAAAATTGAAAAACCGTCATTTCTGGGTAGTTTTAGATCAGATAAGCCACCTTTCGCGTGACCGTCTCGGCCCTATAGTCAGTCTAAATATTGTCCCAAGTGATGTCAGAGTTGGTGTGAAATTTCACCGCTGTAGCTCAAGTAGTTTGGAAATGGCAGCTTTCTAAAGTTTTGCAATCACGTAAGGCATTTACTTTAAGTAGAATTGCGGTAAATGTGAAGACTTGTCACAGATCGGGTAATAAATGAGATAGATGAGTGCGTCAAAGTTCTCTTAGCGTAATTTTGTACAAGGAATCCGATTTTGCCGGTACGGAGACCCTAGGCGAACTCTGAAGTCGGAAAAAAGACCATTTTTATGTGGTTTGTACGAAAACGTAGTTTTAGAGTACACCTAGGGTCTCCGTACCGGCAAAATCGGATTCCTTGTCCAAAATTACGCTTAGAGAACTTTGACGCACTCATCTATCTCATTTATTACCGGATCTGTGACAAGTCTTCACATTTACCGCAATTCTACTTAAAGTAAATGCCTTACGTGATTGCAAAACTTTAGAAAGCTGCCATTTCCAAACTACTTGAGCTACAGCGGTGAAATTTCACACTAACTCTGACATCACTTGGGACAATATTTAGACTGACTATGGGGCCGAGACGGTCACGCGAAAGGTGGCTTATCTGATCTTAAACTACCCAGAAATGACGGTTTCTCAATTTTTGCAGCGCCACTGCTTTTCACGCGGCGTACACAAACTTTTTATCTCGTAGTATGATAGATTGGTCCTTTATCTATAAAATCCACTCATCGGATTGGTGAAAATCGATGCCGAACACCAAAACCCCAAGAAAAGTAAAAACCACTACAAAACCTGAAAAACAGTCATAACATCTGTTTGGGTTGTCCTATTAACAAACGGGCACCGGATTCGTGTTCCTCGCGTGATTTTACATAAGATTCCACATTTTGAGCTCAATCGAGTGCATAGAGGCCTCAGAAAGGTGATTTTTCAATTTTGGCCATATTATGTGAAAAGTTGTCAGAGAAAACGAAAATTGCCCACAGAATCTGAACGGTGCATATTTCAGCTCAAAAAATTTGTGGCCTTTCTTAGACCCACAAGGACTACCTTTGACCAAAAAATGGAGTAAATCGGCATCGGTCGTGTTCCACGATCGGACTTCTTAAAAAAAATGCCTCTGTACAAGTGTGTGGAACACAAAGCTTTGGTATGCTACTGTGTAGTGCGAGAATATAAGATTGGTACTTTCACTTATGCTCGCTTGAGAACCAATGTTTTTGGTGGCAATGTAAACGTGTAAAACAAAATTCATAATTTTTATCATTATGTCTTGCTTTTTGTATTTGATTTGTAGGACAGTTTAGTTTTTATATACTGACTGCATTGCATATTTTATAATTTGTTTTGTAAAACTGACTAGTCTTGTAATTTTACTGGCATCATTTGTTGTACTATATCGCCTTTATTTCAAAGACCGGAAATTAAATGTTCTTTGACACTTCCACAACTGATGTGGCTTATTAGTATAACAATATCCAAGACAGGCGAACTAACACCACATTATTGTATTTTCTAAAAGAGCACCCACAACAAGGGTTTGAAATTGCACCTTCTATTTGCTTGTGAGTAATTTGCGCATTAGGTAAACCTTTCCCAGAAGCCTTCATTACTCAAGAATAAATTCACGGTTACTTTAGCGAAAGTCGGTTAAGTTTCAATTTGAAGTAGTGAAACCAATCCAAGGTATCTCTGCAGTATTTTCCCCATCATGCACGAGACTTCAATTGTGTCACAGCTTTCAGCCTCACCGCTGAAATCTCTCGTAGTTCAGCTTAGAGTATTTTGGAATTTATTTGGGACTGCATTTAGCCAAGGAAATTAACATGTAGTAGTGCAAATATTATGACAACTGTTCACCGAAATTCTCAAATAGAATCTCAACTGAGGTGGTTTAGCTAGTTCTTAAACTCATGTAACAGATGGGAAAGATTATTATTAATGAACACATCATTTTCTTAGAGGCATATCATTTATTTAAAACACAGCTGTCAAATTTGCGCATCACAAGAGAAAGAAATATTGAGGAGAAAGACTGCTTACAACATAGTTTAATTTAATGTTACACTCCATAGAGCATTGACTAGCACACATACAATTTGATACACACATAATATCCTAAATCAGACATAATAATTTCCAGTTCATTTTCAATTGCTCAGTCCATGACTACATAAATTATTAAAATGGTGCATTGGTATACAGTTATTTGTGAGACATTCACATCACAGTCAAGAGTATGAGAGAAAAATTATCATGGAAATAGTTTTAAAATAGATTAAAAGTTACTCGCTTTCTTCGTCATTCATAAAAAGCTGACTCTGTCCCAAAGTTATATCCGCAAAATATTAACTCTCCATCTCCATCACCCTGTCCATGCCACTTCAACAGTCGCCTAACATATACTCTGGCCTCATGTTCAGCTTCAGATTCTGTATCTAGAAAGAAGGATTTGGATTAACAATGGTCATTGCATGCAAAGCAAGTATGTTTCCAAATAAATCTCTCCGCATTTAGATTGAAGCCCCACCCAATGTCTTCGAATCTTATTGGTTAAAAAAGAAGCAGTGAAACCAAAACTAAAACATTTTGTAGTTGACATCCCTGATATCGGTGCAGTAGCAACATAAGAACCAGGAGAAAATATTGAAACTACTCACCACCTACGCCCAGAATCACAGCCAGTTCCTTATTCCCCTCTTCTCTCTCCAAGTTGATCAAGTCCCCACCAACATAAACTCGACCGTGGGATTCAAAATTTTCAACATTGAGAATGCTGCCATCGCCAAGGAAAAGGACGGTAAGGAAAACGTCCTGCACTTTTGGATCCACAGAATACTGGGTCTCGGCAGCCATGTTCGGATGAAGACACTGACAGTAATCAAAACAAACATTTCATGAGCTTGGCAAATGTCATTGCTAGGAAAAAGAGTCGTCTTACGGTCGTGCCAAGGCCCGCACGACACGTACGTACCCAATGTTTTCTGTAGTTTTTCTGGCCTTGGAAGTTACTGCAAGCACCCAGCGAAAGACGAGCTGCAGGGAGAATAAAATGAGGCGGGCGATGTTTGGCTTTGAAGTGCAGTGCAGGGTGGAACAGCTGACTGACAGCTGATTGGGAAAGGGGAAGAGGGAGGAAGGGGGAGGTGTCGAGATATCGGTGGATGCCGGGGAAGGGGAAGAGCGGGCCGCCCTAAGATTTTGTTGCTTTGCCGTTTCTATCATCAAAGGGAATTTGTTAAACCATCGTCATCTTTTCTTTAAGTCTATTTAGAGCTGTAAAGAGCTGTTTATGTACAAATACGAGCAGCAGTACACAGTACTTCTTCTTTTTCTTTTTCCCAGCACTGCCAACATAACGTTCTCGTGCCGGCTGCCTGCATGCGGTGCATTATTGCTACGTATGAAATTCCGCATTGGAAAAATTGTGTTTTATTTAATTTAAAAATTTATCCTTAGCATTCTCTTTAGTAAGCAGTCATTATTATCATTCTTGTACTGCATTACGACATCAGTTTCATATTCATCAAGTTTCCTATGCTGCCATGTTCAAGATGGCTTCTCTCCGCGGCTGCGAGCTGTAGAAGTGGGTTGATCAGCTGATTTCATTTCACTTTCGTTGTACACCTGTTGCTGATCAGGTTGACGTTGCCTTGTGTCGGCAGAACTAAGAAGCAGCTCTTGATCAGGTATGTTGAGACAACTTTTACACTCAGAAGTTCTAAATCCGAAACGAAAGCAGCAATGTGGGCCTGTGCGCTCCGAGCCATGTTGCTGGTGGTTTTCGTTAGGTGCCTAAACCTTGTACTGTAGCATGTGTTCAAGTTTGGTGCGCCGGCCGGCTACTTTATTTTTCTGTGAATGTGATGTGACTTGAATTTATCTATCTGTACAGTGGTAAATATACCACTGCGAAGTCACCGGGCTCGCACTTCTCTTCGGTCCTGTTTTGATTTGGTTCTTTGGCCTGTTGCAGGGTTCTTAACCTCTCAAGATGCCACTAGCTATAGTGCACAATGAGGATCGCAGCAGTAAGAAGCTGTTGATGGCTGCGGATATTTCGCAACTGAAGACAAAAGCTTCAGAGAAGTTTGGGCTGCCTGCATTTATGGATTATAAGGTATGTTGGTTAGGTTAGTTGCTTAGTTGGTTGGTGCAGCTCACCTAGTCTGTGTACTTATTGTTCATTGTTTTACAGCTATGCTTAGATGGCGAGGGGCCAGAGGCAGGTTTGGAGCTGGATGAGGATGAGGCATTCCTTGAGCTTTCACGGCAAGCTGGTCTCTCTGGGCAGCAACTTGCTCTAATACTTCTGCCCGACTCCACTGATTGGACACCACGCTCCAGCAAACCTCCAACCACTACAGGTAAGCTTATGTCTGCATTTATCTCTGTGTATGTTAAATGGCCTTTGCTGTCTAATTCATGCCCTTAAATTGGTAGTTTGTTTGATGTGTGTGATTCTTCCGTTTCAGATAGCAGTAGTGAGAAGGCCACTGAGTCTTCAGAGTCTGCAGAGCGAACTGTTTCCCCAGTAGAGCCATCCACTCCTCAACCTCAACGGCCACCTCCCATACCGATTGGCCCTATTTGCGATGAACTCGACCCTGTTCTGAAGAGTGTGCTCGAAGTACCTCTGCCAAGGTGTACCAAGGAGGTGAAGAAGAGGGCTTTGAGAGAAGTCATACAGTACTGTTGCAAGTTTATTGAGGATCGAGTGCCTCAATACTCACGACCTATCTGCCTTGCTTATGCCAAGTCCATTTTCTCATTTGATAATGGTAAATACAGGCCAATATTCAGAGTGACAGTAAATGACTGTTATTGATGATGGATTGGAAGGTTTTACAACTTCGCTGTATAACGCCCTGAACCATCGCAAGTACACAACTAAGAGAGTCCAGGGCATTGCTCCTCAGAGGAAACGCCGCCGCTTGACAGTTCCAACAGAGACTGAGGAATCTGTTGACGACGTCTCTTCCACTGAACCTCGGTCCTCAAAGATGGATGACTACGGATGTGTGATGTACAACCCTCCCCTTCCATCCAGTGAGTCAACTACCACTCAAGAGGAGAAGCGCGTACTGCTTCTTACCCTTGAATCTGATGCTTCGATCTCTGACTTAATGAAGCGTACTTATGCAACTCAGCGGGTGGATGTGATTAATTGTAGACCAATTTCAAAGCTACGAGACGTCCTTGTTAAGTGGCCACACTTGAAGCATCCCAAGTTTATGTTCCAGCATGCATCCACTTTGCTAGACAAAGATGTTATTAATGTCTGGACCACTGAGCTTTCAAACAAATCAAGTGACATCTTTCAGTTCCTGAACACACTCTGCCTAAGTTTGGATAGAAAGAGAAGTGTTCCGAGTCACATTTCAGATTTGTTGGCCACGAAAGCCTCTTGTGATGCCTTAGATGATGGAGAGACAGTAGCAAGTGCTATTTTCCCTCTGATTATGTGGCACCTACGGGAGAAAGCCTCTGCATTTCTGCAAGTCATCAAGGTGAGCACCTTTGCACATCTCTTATGTGATTCAATGATAAAGGCGCGCTTACATGGTCATGCTTTTTTTCCCTGTCAGGTTGGCGCCTCTGATGAGGACGTTCTTGCAGCAGCAAAGGATGCCAATGGGAACCCTGTTGTTGTTCTAAGTGGTGAGTAGGAAATCTTTTTTTTTTTGTTATCTTATGACACCATGGTGTCAACCATTAATGTTTCTTTCCTATCACCTACTGTCTCAATCATCGATATTTTTTTTTTCTTAGGTGATTCAATTTTTGATCCAAATGCCTGCGTAAGAGTTGTCCTTCTTAAAGATGAAATTATTGTGGCTGATAACCTCCTCGAGGGAATTTTGTACGCTTTCTTATCTTTTTTTGTTTTTGGATTCTGTTATACTCCTGAAGTCAGACACACATTAGAATTTATACAAAGGTAACTACTGCTTTGTGCTCATTGGTTTTTATGAAGCAAAGGTTCTATGTTCATTGAAAATTTTGTTTACAGGAGCCTGTTGTTGATAAACCCTGGCAAGGGAACTAAGAGCTCCAGCAAAACCCGTAACGCTGTCAGCCCAAAAGTTAGCAAGTTTTTAGAGGAACTTCGCATTTTCTCCTCACCATGGACTTTACAATCGGTTAGTATTGCCTCTTTGTTTATGTTTTGATTTTGCTTTTGGCACAAGTTGTGGAAAGGCTCACTGTAACAATTTGTCTTCTTTCAAATTCCAGAGGCAACAGCAAGGATGAATGAAGACTTGAAGCTGGAGTTTTGTTTTTGTTCTATTTGTGAATTTACATTTGACTGAAATGTTTAGTATTATTTGAATTTGTCACGCATGTGTTCATGTGCTTTATTTTTGTTATTGTCTTCAGATATGTAATGTAATGTATTACTTGTTCCTATCACATGTGATATTAATGTATAACTTGTTGTTTCTAGTGTACAATACAGTCACTTGCAACTTATCTCGTAGAAATAATTAATCATTTTAAAACCTTTTTATTTTTAACACCTATTTAATAGGGTGGATCTTAATTTCTGACCCCCCGTTTTTATTGGCGAAATGGGGTCCCTAGGATAGTAAAAGATCATTACCGAGTCGCATTTGATCCGGAAAAAAATTGTATCAGCTTTAGGGAAGGGCTCAAAACTGGGTCAAAACGCCAAAATTGGTAGTTTTTAAGTGTTGCCGCCGAACCAGATGATATATCAAAACGCCTGAGGTCTGAAAAGATGCGGCATTTAATTACCTTTCCAACGAGCTATGAATCATTGTTGCAGCACAAATATTTTCACTTGAATCATTGAATTTGTGCAGAAAAGTGGGGTCAAAAATATCAAAATCAGTCCAATTTCGGTAGGGTGAAGTTCTAAAATTGGCCGAATCGACATCTCTTTATAGAAACGGATGGGTCTCAACAAGACAAACAAAAAACGTCAACACATGCCATGGGCCAAGATGCGAAATGAAGCAGTACCGTAGAACGGGGTAATATGAGACATGAAGGAAAATCGAGACAAAGCGCACTTTTTTCGGTTTTTGTCGTGTTGCTCTCTAGCGGTTGTTCAGAAGGCTAACGTGAATTTTTTTTCGTGATCTAGGAGGCCGTAGCAGCTCACAGGAAACGCACGGAGGCTATCAGACTCGCCAGGGTTATTTAGAACCAAAGGAAAAACCTCTTAATTTTAACAAGTTTTATAAAGTTCGTAAAAACCTCCCCAGAAACCTCGGTTAGAACTTGGGTTCTCGTCCGAACGAGGTTTAAATCTGTAGGCAATTATGTCAACATAATCAGGACAAAATTTGGTTCCGTTATGTCTACTCTCGGGCTGCCTGTTCCAGATCGAATACAATTTTGTTACCTTGCAGGGAAAATAGAGACACATCTTTTCGCTTGAAATATGAGGCCAAACATACTCCACTGTTAATAATTTCAAGTAATAATGATTTTAACACGAATTTGTTTTACTACCTGACCGGCATCTAAGCTCTTCGTTTAGTATTTTCATGTGACAGGCACAACTCAGGACTTCTTATACATTTTTGAGCTCTCTTTAGTGACACCCATCTTTCTCCCCTCCAGATTATATATCGTCTCCATTATAGGTTCCAATCATCTTTAAAATGAATAAAAAGAACTTAAAAAGCTCCGAACCCGCCTAAATGATTTAATTATCCATACTTCTTTAACATTTCTTTCTTTTGTCTCATATTACCCCACATTGCAGGGAAATATGGGACGGCATTCCGAGGGTTATTGAAAGGTCCCTACTGCACCTAAAAATCTGAAATTTGGTGGGAGTGTAGCCAAAGGGTCAATGAACAAGTGATGAACACCTCAGTACCTCAAAATGAAATTGAAAGGGGGAAATTCACGAAAAACCTCGAAATTTGTCTCATATTACCCCGTTCTACGGTAACTTAGCCTGAAAAGTGCCAAAAATCACCCTTTTTTCAACAAAAGGGCCAGCCGGCTGGCCGGAACTTGGCGAAACTTGGTTTCCAGGTGAGCCGGGACCACCTTAACTCAAATCTGAAAGGAGAAGTCCCGGACTCCCAGAAGGTTCGCGGCCAGAGCTCCTTTGACCTCGCAAAAATCACGCTAAATGTCCTTTTGGTTGAAAAACGAAGATTTTTGGCACTTTTGAGGCTAAATTACAGCTTCGTTTCGCATCTTAGCCCATGGCATGTGTTGACATTTTTTGTTTGTCTTGTTGAGACCCATCTATTTCTATAAAGAGATGTCGATGCGGCCAATTTTAGAACTTCACCCTACCGAAATTGGACTGATTTTGATATTTTTGACCCCACTTTTCTGCATAAAATGCAATGATTCAAGTTGAAATATATTTGCTTTAACAATGATTCATAGCTCGTTGGAAAGGTAATTAAATGCCGCATCTTTTCAGACCTCAGGCGTTTTGATATCTCATCTAGTTCGGCGGCAATACTTAAAAAACCACCAATTTTGACGTTTGGACCCAGTTTTGAGCCCTTCCCTAAAGCTGATACAATTTTATCCGGATCAAATGCGACTCGTTAATGATCTTCTACTATCCTAGGGACCCCATTTCGCCAATAAAAACGGGGGGTCAGAAATTAAGATCCACCCTACTATTTAAGCACAATGCGTATGTTTAGACTGCAGGTTGATGTTGTTTGAAGACCAGATCAGAGAATCAATTTAAATAGCCGGCTGTACTGCATGCGAAAGTGTTCAAAAGTGTCATGACATTTCAGATATTGGGTTGTGGAAAAGCAGAAAGGAATATGAGATTTAACAGCACCTTTTTGAAAGTAATTTCATAATACTGATTTGAAGATTCAGAACTGGATTGAAGTTTTCATAACACATTGCTTCTGAAAATTAATAAAACCACGTTCTTACGTTTCATAAGCCACTTCTGACAGTTAAGAACGGCCAGTTATGAAATTTAAGAACCTTTTGGTTATGAACTTTAAGATCAATAGTTCTACAAATAGGTCCAAAACCAGATTATGAAATTTCAGAAGCATTTTTTTTAAGAGTGTGATAACACAAGTACCAACCTGCCCTCGGCGCAGCGTTTGCCATTCCAACTCCTCCGACCGGAAGCGCGCATGAAGGCGTAAAATTCAAACTGGAAACTTTGATAGAAGTGTATTTTTGGGTAAATTAAACTGAAAAAGGTGACCCCGAGAGGGCTGAGGGTGAAATGTCGCTCGCACAATGTAAAATGTATCGTGCAATACACTAAGGAAAACGTAAAGACAGGTTTGTGTGCATTTATGAATCAAAAACTCAAAAACACCAAATTTTCCAATATTTCCTACTTTTTCAGGGGTCCGGAAATTTTCCGAAATTTTCCGAAAAATTTCCGAAAATTTTCCGGAAAGTTTCCGGCACTTCGATCCCTATTTTAGAGAGGGTTTTTTCCTTGACGAAAATGGAGCTGAGGAACACGATGGAAACTTTTTCGAGGGGATTGGGTGAAATTTTAATGCCCATTTTTCCTCAATGTAAAGCAAAAACCAAAAGCAAAAACCCTTGTTTTAGAAAAAGTTACCTTTGCTTTTGACGTAAATTCTGTAACATAGTAGAATAAAACACTAAAACGGTTTGGTCAGCTCACCCATGGAATTTTAACACACGAAAAACCAAATTATTGAACAGTCTTAAAAAATGCTGGGTAGTCGCGGCGTGCGCGTGTTGTTGCCTGATTTGCTGCCAAGCCGTCTCTTCTGGTCAACCTTTTTATCACGTGCCAGGAGAGCGCCTAGCAAGTCTGGACAGGCATCCTGTAGCCCAGAGATGTCTAGACTCGAAATGGCGGAACAACGCAGTCCAATAGGTCGATTTCTCGCATGCATTTTGCCACACCTTCGAAAAGGGCTGTCAAAAAATCTCTTGGACTCTATACCTCCGCCATTTCAAATCTACACCGGTATGACATAGGCCTATAGGTATATTTCTTTTAATCTCGCTGACGAATTCATTAATTCCGTCAACAGTTTTCCCCTTTTCGTAAATTTTCTTGCCCCTCAACGAACATTTAGCACGTTTGAAACCCAAATCCTTGCCTATCCAAGCCTATTATATGTGATGACATTTTCGGTTCACCTTCACCAGACGAATACATGTCTGTAAGTTATTGCTTATTTGCTGACTTATAGAAATTCTCCTCAGAAAGTCTCCCCTTCACTGCTGTGCTCTTCAGACCTTGGCCTTTCAAAGCTCGTGCAAAGTACGGATAACTGTGGCTTTCAAACAATGGAAAGAGACCTTATGTTTCATCACCCGAGAGAAAATTATAGGCTGCAGATTGGCTGCAAGCTGGCTCCCTCCAGGTTGCTTACAACGCGCGGATGGAACTCGGATGGCTGCAGACATTGGCTGTATTCGGACATACGTCAGCCAAAATACAGCCATCCGCAGCCGGTGCAGCCTCTCTGGCTGCACCTGCCAGCCACTGAAGTGTCCCTTTGGAGCTCAGTCAGCGCTCCCCCGCTGCTCTAGGCTGCACCCCGTAGCCTTCAGGATGCGCCAGACAGCCTTCCTTCGCGAGCCACGCTGCCCCCAGCAGCCACGAGGCTGCGAGGCACTGCTCTAGACTGCACCCCGCAGCCTTCAGGATGCCCCAGGCAGCCTTCCTCCGCCCGGGCCACGCTGCCCCCGGCAGCTATGAAGCTGCGGGTCAGAGCCACATCTCGGCCGCATCCTGCAGCCTCGTGGATGCCATCGGCAGCGTCCATATCGCTACTAGGCTTCACTCCTTAGTTCATGAAGGTCCCCATGAGGACCTTTGAGGGTCCCTGTTACGCCCTTTGAAGTTCTATGGAGCCCTAGACGATTAGTAGATTTTCTAGGGTCCGAACACCGTTCCGGATCCAAATCTGCTAAGTAATTTCATGTAGGACTTACCGTTCCCGAGATACCAAAGATAACAAAAAAGTTTCCCGATTTTTACGAAACTTGCATGGCTTATGTATGTTAACGTATTCAACTCAAATATCAGCATACCACGCACCCAGTCTATTTTTTTCTATTTTTTATAGCCCTTTAATCAAGGAATACGACCGTTGCCTGAATACCGCCAGCATCCACCATGCTGCAATCCGTAGCCTACAGCCATTGCAGCCTACATGGCTGTATAGTCCTGCCGTAGCCCGGCTGCATCCGGCAGCCAACACGCTGCGACGCGCAGCCCACAGCCACTGCAGCTAAGTTGGCTGTGCGTGGCAGCGTTTATAGGCTGCTTAGGGCAGCCAAAAGGCTTCTGTGCGCAGCTTCTGAAGCGTTTCACAGCCAAAGCGCTCCGTGAAACAGCCAGACCAGCCACTGCAGCGTGGATGGCTGCAAGTCCAGGACGTCGCTATGGCTGCGACATGGCTGCAAGGCAGCCACGGCAGCCATGCATACAGCCAAAAAACGGTCCATACAGCCATGCGTCAGCCAAGCGTCAGCCTTTCTGCAGCCTTCTATTTTTACTCGGGCACGTAAAGTTAAGGCAATAAATTAACGGTAAAAATGTCCCTGTTTTGGGAAGACTCTTCTCTCCGCCCCTTTAATAAAGACCAAAAAACCGACTCTTGACCTTGAAAGAAGACGACCGTCATCATTAATTGTATCCTTGAAATTAAGCGCTAACAGAACAAATGCTGGTTTTGTAAACAAGAAAACATCAATTCTAGTTGTATATTTTACTCTGAGACAAAGGATCTATCTACAGGGTGAGTTTCCGCAATGTGTCAATAATTTGCAGGCAGTTTGGGCATCCCTAGGGGACCATTTTTCGCCACTGAACTAGTGGGCGCAAACGTCTAGGTACGGAGATAATTGGTGTTTTGTAATTGGATTTTGCGCCTAGGAGGTAGGCACCCGGTGCCACTGAGGGCGGCAGGACCTGTCGAGGGGGTGTCGCGGGACTAGCAGTACTCGCGGGAGTGCCACTGACCTCGCGGAAGTATCTGAGGAATCCCGCCACCCTCGCAAAGACAGCCGTGAGATCCACTGTAACGGGGGCCACCATGACAGCCTCTTCAGACCCGCCGCAACCCCCCCCCCCCCCCAAAAAAAAAAAAAAAGACATTTGCAAGGTCCGCCGCACCCCTACGAGACTCGAAGCACCCCTCCTAGACCCGCGACACCCCCACGCGAGGTCCTGCGACCATCAGTGGCTGCGAGTGCATACCTCGCAGGCGCGAAGGCCCATAACAAAACACCAATTATCTCCGTACTTAGACGTTTGCGCCCACTAGTTGGTAGAAAATGATCGCCTTGGGGTGCCCAAACTACCGACAAATTATTGACACATTGAGAAAACTCACCCTGTATAAAGGAAACATTGATTCGTTTTGCATTTACACTTGTCATGGATGGCGAAAATTTCGTCGTGGACGTTCGTCACTGAAGGTACTGAGGCGACAGCGATACTCTGTACAAGCTAACTGCTCTCCATGTTTCGGTTTAAACATTTAAAAATACATTTAAATACATGCACAGAACTCTTCTCCTTATAAACCCCACTCAAGAAAACATCAATTTTGGATCAAAATGACCGAGCCGCAAGCCGAAGGAATTACATCGATCAGTTTTGATGCTAAAGCAGTGTTCAAAATTGATTCATTTTAAGTGCCTTACATGTCTAAAATTGCACTTATTAATAAAACGAAGGACAACGAACGTTAGTTTCTTGTATACTGAGTCAATAAATTATACATCCTTTTCGATATACCGAGCAAACTTCTTACTCTTAAAAGTTATCGCCTAAATGAGTCTTGAGATGAATTCTCAAATCAACCCCACGACGGAACTTGTGGTGGCAAACTGTGTAAGCGAACGGCTTCTGGGACTGACTTCACCAGAAAACATCATAATGCCAACCGTGCACTCCATATCTTTTTTCATACGTGAGTTCGCAGATGACGTTTCAGACTGCTTCTAAGCCCAAATCTTACTTTGCAAACAGTGCACTTTAAGGGCCCCTCTCGTGTGTGAATGCGTGGATTTGAAGATGACTCGTAAGACTAGTTTTGTAAGCGAACGTCTTGTTGCAAACGACACATTTAAAAGGCTTCTCCTCCATGTGCGTTTTAAGATGCAATCTCAGATAACCTTTGCTGCACTTCTTTTGACAAACGGGGCACTCGGAAAGCTTATCTTCAGTATGGGACTTGACTTCCGATGGCTTGCAAGTCCACTTCCTGAACTGAACGTCCTGCTACAATCCTTGCACTGCAATAGCTTCCTCCTGATGTGTCTTTCAAGGTGGGCCTTAAGAGAGTATTTGGTACTGAGCTCCGTGTCACAAACTGAGCAAACGAAAGGTTTTCGAGCGGCATGTGTTCCAAGATGGGTAGCGAAAGCACTTCTTGAACAGAACGTCCGGTTGCAGTCCGTGCACTCCCATTGCATCTCTCCAATGTGCGTTTCGAGGTGGCTTAAAAGACTCCCCTCTTGACTGAAATACGAATTGCAGACGGTGCATCTGAAAGACGTTCCTTTCGGATGGGCCATGACAGGAATTTGGAGATCGGTTAGCAAATTTCCAATTGAGCCGGCTTGTCTTCCTTGAAGATGGACAGCATGCAACACGTCAACCGCTGACCAGACAGTAGCTGAAACAGGCAACACGTCGCGCATGAGACCCACTTGGGCTGCACTCAAAACTACCAGCGTTCCAAGAATGTGACACCACGTTTATTGGAACACTGAGGTAGTTCAACGAGGTAATACGGTTCGGAGCTCCTGCGAGGGCCTCCGAAGCGTGCGGATTGCGAACCAAATATACACACAGCCGCTAGTTTTCAGCAGTTACCGCGTTCACTAAGAAGGCTTTTTGAGCCAGAGAACCGCGCAGCCAAAGGTGCACCCAGACCAAACCATGCATGTTCGACTCAAACCAAATTTATTTTTACACTCTAAAAATTAATGTTCGGAATAAACGACGGATCTTTCCAGGCACTTTAATCAGATGTATCAGGCGTTCGGAAGAAGATGGAAAGTGGAATGCAGAAATGGTCTGTCGGCCACGCCTTGTCTTGTTCTGATTTTCCGAATCGCGCCTGATATCCAGCCGTCCCACTCATCGGACTCAATGGACGACTGAAGAGAAGATTCTCGTTCAAAAGAATGACTCACTGCGAGAACAAAATAAGGGAACATGACTGGTCAATAATTTGCCTGGACCGTCCGTACCTGTCCTACTACGGAACTTCTGTACTTTTTTCCGTACCCGATTACATGAGTTCTAATGGGACAAGTACGGACGTTCCGTACTTTTGACCGTACTTCCGTACTATTTTCGTCTTTCGTCTGTTCATTTTCCGTACAAAACTTCTGAATTTTTTCCCAGTGCTGGTAAAACTATAGGCTATGGTAAAACTAAAAGTATGGACTATTCTAGTCGTCGTCGACTGAAGAACAAGAAGAATTACAAAATCGGAAATAGAGTAGATCAGGAGTTGGTAGTGAGCCTATTTTAAGGGAGTAATGCTTGCAAATATATTTCTTTACTTTGTCAAAAAGTATTTGACGCAAGCTAAATTGATTTTGAAAGAGTGTCGAATCGAAAAACTTTATTGATGATGTACTCGGACGGGTGAGTGAGGTTAAGTTGCCGGTGCCATTTCCGGTTTTGTGATTCTTCTTGTTCTTCAGTCGGCGACGACTAGAACAGTCTATTACCCTCTGTTTTCAAGCGTAAACAGTTTAGGCTTGAAATGAAGCGTAACAGGCTCATCCGCCAAGATTTCCCCCATCTAAATGCATGGGGGAATTTCCAGAAAATGCTTCATTTCAAGCGTAATCTCTTCAAGCGCAACTTATTGCTTGACTCAAGCATAGAGTTACGCTTAAGTTTTACCGGTGAACTATGGTATCACATTACCGGAACGACCGCGAACTAACTTGGTGGTGGCGTATACTTACTATGAGAGGCCGGGCTGTGATGCGATGTCAGGGGAACCTTGCGGTCTTCAGAAATCTGCAGCGGTGTCGAATCGCCTACATCAAAGAAAATACATACTCGTCGATACCTGTTGTTCGCTTGTTCGGTTAAAGGAAGACATGTAGACAAACATGTTTCTTACAGTATTGGCCTAAAAATTACTTCAAGGAGACGGCACGGGCTATTTACACGTATCTCGAACCACCATAAGGTAAAGAAAAAGTTACAACTGAAAGCGCTTCAGCGAATGCGCAGTCCTGACTCCTACAGTCATGAGTCAGCGTCTGAGAAGCAGCGGCGTTAGTTGTGACTTTAGTCTTAAACTTCCGGTCGAGGTATCCGCTTATACCCTATTGCTTTCGAAAGAGAGGCGCACCGGTGAACATATTGACAACATCATTTGCACGGGAGGTTAACGCGTGCCTTCTCTGATAAACGAGAAAGACTCATCGCGTGTTGGCTAGATGTGTGGCCATCCAGTGAGTAACAACCTACGTAATTTGAAGTGTCATGAAGGCTCTTCAAGAGTCGACATGGGTTCCCGATGGCGAAGAGGCCGGTAGGGAATGAGTCGGCTCATCCGATGGGTATCCAGCCGATGGGTATCCAGCCGCTGGCAACTGCTGGCACCACAGGCACTGACGCGCTGGGCCGGGCTGGAGGGCGTGGACCTTGGAGGCGTGGACCGCGTGCACGCAGGAGACCAGGAGCACGGCACTACTGAGCTGTCCCCGAGCCAAGGCAGCGATCGGACCGTTACCAGTACCCCCTCCACAAGGCCGGCCGGAGCACACGGGCGGGTACAGGCGGACTTTTAGGAGGTTGAGGGGACCATTTTAACGGTCTCAAGGATCCGGTGACCGAGTGAATACGCCTCATCGACTCGTTTCGAGCTCAGGAGTCGCCTAAGGGAATAGACCATTCTAGTCGTGGCTGAGTGAAGAACAAGAAGAATCACAAAAGACTCCATTTAGAGCATCTACAGTGCATACATTCGGTCCAAATATGTTGCATCTACTAGAAAATATTTTTATTTACTTCTACCAAGCAAGGGGAATTAAATATTTGAAGTAAAAGTGCAAAAAAATACACTTTTGTGATTCTTCTTGTTCTTCACTCGGCCACGACTAGAATGGTCTATTGGAACCGAGCGTGCGACCTCATCATTAGATTCCGCGTTCGGGGAGCAATCCATCGGTGGGGCCGCACGTTCGGTTCGAGTTCGAGACCCTTTCAGCGACTCTGGATCTCAATATGTGTGTAGAATTTTCGCGTATTTTCGAACGCGTTCATTATCCCCGCTCCCAAGAAATTGAGGGCTACATCTTCATTGTCGCCTTGTTCGACGTATCTATCCGACTATTCTGGTCGTCGGCAAGTGATGTACAAGAGGATTCAAAAACCGGAAATGGCGTTCGAGTGCATCAGTTTCAAAGTTTTTCGAAGCGTCACCCTTTCTAAGATTGGAGGCTAGTTTCGTGGATCCCGGTCGCCATGTTAGCGTCAGTAAATCATACTCTGACGTGGAAGGAAGACGACAGTCAAATGTGGCTGTCACAATTCATTTTGATTTTCGAGGAAACCTTGTTTGCTATGCATTTGCGGTCTACAGATCTACAGATCCATAGGGTACTTCGGAGAAGAGCTGGACCGGAAGTAGGGAAGAAATCAAGAAGAAACGCCGGACTCTGCGGAAGCGGCAGAACGGCGACGCACACGCTCATTCATACACATTTCGCATACTTTGTTTGATTTCTTCTCAACTTCCGCTCCAGCTTTTCTCCGAAGTACCCCATTGGCGCGTGCTTGGTACCATTCTGCCATTCCGAGAGAGGTTAGGTTCCGGCTAATGTGGCGTCTACTCACTTCCGTTCCACGATCCACGAAAGTACACTATCACGCATGTGCTAAATGCTGTTTGGCAAAGAAGACAAACACGCGGATAAACATGTCTGCTAGCATTTCGTCCTGAAACCAGATCGTTACCTTCTCCCCATCCTATCCTCTCCATTTCCGGATTTGTGATTCTTCTTAGTCGACGACGACTACAATAGGGCACTTCGGAGAAGAGCTGGACCGGAAGTTGAAAGAAATCAAGAAGAACGAACGCCGTAATTGTATGAGAATATAACTCCGCAGAAGCGGCAGAACGGCGACGCAGACGGTCATTCGCTCAAATTTCGCATACTTTGTTCTTCTTGACTTCTTCTCAACTTCCGCTCCAGCTCTTCTCCGAAGTACCCTAATGTCTATTCGTTGCTACTTTCGTCAATACTCATTATTCAATTTCTATGCACTGTCATCCTTCAGTACAGGTTTTATTGCAAAGTTAGTCTGACTCGTGACAGATCGTCTTTAGTCTTGAACGTAAATCTTCCGTGCCAAGGAACGGGATCGATTCTGAAACTAATGAGGACGTCAGGGATGATACCCAAACTGAAACGATACCAGGATCGCTCCGACAACAGTTAGCTTTTATGATTAAAACTCAAAAAACTGTTGCAGGTGGAACTAAGGGAAAAGCTTTTCCTTGGTGATAAAGGCGAATCGAAGTTTTGTTGCCACATGGGCCAAGTCCCAATTCTGCTTCTCTGAGTTTTGTTGATTAAGGCCTCTAAAATTACAAAACTCAGGGGAGCGGAATTCGGCCTTGGTCCACATGGGGGCGAAACTCCACGGTAAAAACGGTCTTGGTTTTCCCAGGAAGCCCCTGGAAATCGCCTATGTCTTCGCCATAGGGCTCCTGGGAAAACCAGGTACCGTTTTACCGTGTCCTGTACGCTTCGGTCACCAAGGAAAAGCTTTTCCCTCGGTTCTAGCTGCTACAGGTTTTGAGTTTCCGTCATCATTGCGAACTGTTGTCGTAACGGTCCTGGTAGGGTAAGGTTACCGAACATGGATCACTTTTTAAAAAATCTTCTCTACATCGAAATTAAGTATGGGTTGACTACTATTTTTGAATCTAATGTTGATGTTTACCCCACTGGTCATAGGCTACCAGAAATGGAACCTCTAGCTCGAATACTTTGGAAGTTGTGAGGACAAGAAAATATGGCTATTTTTGCTAAGGTTAGGTTAGGGTGGTCCAATCATGGATCACCCCACCAGCGTTTGGACTCAAAGCAAGGTATGCATTCAGTGGTCCCAAAATATCAAAGTAGTCCGTCTAAAGTGCACGACGAAAAATTTTGAAGTGACTGCGGTGATTGCTTGGCCCAGAGTCAGGGGTGCAAAAGTCACCTTTTTGAACGTCATTTTCCCATCGATTTTCGGGGGCCTGATTTAGGTGTCTTTCTAAACGCAACCCTGCAGAGTAGAGAGACGCAGTTGCAAACTTGTCAGACTCACATCAAACAGTCAAAGGGTCAGTCTAAGCAAGGAAAGACAGAAATTTAGAATCTGGCCACCTGGTCTTTAGATATAGACCCCCAAACAGAAATGATCCATGTTTGGTACCCCGATCCATGTTCGGCACTTTACCCTATTGTTTCGGTTTTGAGTATCATCCCTGGAGGACGTTCGTCGGTGCTTATAACTCCTATTGCTTCACGTTGCAGGAAGTTGCGCTTCTGACAACGTTCTGTGAACGAGAGTCTCTTGAAAGCCGTGGTCATCATGGGCGTCCTGGGGCTGGAGAAGTACATCATGGCGTTGCGTCCGACTCCCTGCCCTCGTGTTAGCGTCGCTGCACTGGCAGAGAAGCATAAGTGAGTACCCACGCACTGAGAGGAAGTAGTATAGAAAAGAAGGGCTCACGTCTGGGCAACTATAGAGCATTTTTATCGTCTCCGGACGAAGAACAAGAGGAAGAACAAAACCGAAACTGGCGCCGGCCGCATAGCCTCGCAGGCCTCTACGACTGGCTTGGTTTTTTTAGTGTTCCGAAGCATATCCCCTTCGAAAGCACTCTCGTCTGTTTCAAATTCTTCTTGACAAAGGAAATAAAAGTATTTGTCTGCATTACTTCCCGGCTTCCGGTTATGTTCTTGCTCTTCGATGGGTGATGGCTAGAATGCCCTATTTGCTGGGACTATTCTTACCCGCCCAGTACAGAACTTAAGTATGCCTGTTTCCCGTACCAGCTCACTTGAGTTCATTTTGAACAAGTACTGACTTTCCTCACTTTTTTCCGTACTTTTACTATATTCTTCTGTACATTTTCAGTGCCAAAGTACGGAAATTTTTACAGTTCGATGTGATTCATATTTTATTTGCGGAGGCTATCTTTGTGTACCGAATTTAGGAATCGTTGGAGCGGAAGTATTTAGACATAAAGTTTGTACTACGAACGACTTTTGAACCAACCTTTTTGTCTTATTCCACGAAACAACGCAGCAGTTGTATTTTAAAACGATTATCTGCGTATCTGATAAGATCTACACGGCAAAAACGGTACCTGGTTTTCCCAGGAGCCCTATGACGATGACATTGGCGATTTCCAGGGGGTTCCTGGGAAAACCAGGAACCGTTTTTACCGTGTAGATTTGATAAAATTATATATTTATGTGTACAGTCTCTTGTTTTATAATAAAATTCTTTCGTTTGTATTGCGAGAGAAATTGCGTTTAGATATATTTGGGTGGTGTTGGTCCCGTTTTCGTGCTTTACTGTTCCTGAAGAATGCTTTGTGTTACTAATAAATCTTTCATAAAACTTCATAAATCAGGCAGCTCTGTATTCTCGAAAATTGTTTCGTTTTAAACTGCACCTTGTTTCCTGATGATTCAATAAAAAGTTATTCGGTACAAGGAAGCAAGGTGCAGGATAAATTTACCGCCAAGGTATCGATCCAATCATATGTTTAGATTCGTTTTAGTGCGACCTGGCGCAGACTTCTGTTTTCAACGTCCACAAGTGTACTTGCCTGTCCTTGGTGATGTTTTTATTTTTCGCTCCGTGTGCCTTTATCAAGGAAGGAGACGGGCTGTGACAGAGCCGTAGCCGTGGTGGATGGCGGCTACCTAGTGTACCAGGAGGCGGCGGGCGGCGGTGAGGAGCTGTACGGCGGCCAGTTGAAGCAGCTCTCGGAGCGTTTGGTTGCGTTCGCCTCCCTCCTGCAAGGTGAGTGACGCAGACGAGAATCGGAGCAGGGTTAACGATTTTGCTCAGTTTTTTGTGCAAATGGAAGTTTAGTATAGATTTATACGCGATTTCGGGGAAAATTGAGGGAAAATGTACGGTATTTTGTATGAAAATCCCATAGAAAGTTCATCTTTGAAAGTAAAAGAAAACCATCGCCACTATGTTTCGTAACTACGAAGAAGATAAATGATTTTGTACAAATTTTGTACAAGACATCACATTTTTTTGGCACAGGAACTTTTTGTACACATTTTGTACAATTTTGTACTGAAAAGGCGAAAAATGTGCATGGTTTAGTCCGAAAATTGTACGGAAGTTTCGTGAGCACTAAAAACTGTCATATCTCGTACAAAATTGTACATAACATTCAGTGTGTAGAGAATTGCTTCATGTTAAAAAGAAATGTGTCGTTCTTTGAAGGAAGCTACCCAGTGGTCAAGCCGGGCCAGCCAACCAGAGGTGACAGTAATACAAGGCGTATCTTCGTAGATCTTACAATGCCATCGTTTTCTTCGTATTACGAGGCGATGCTTCGTAGTCCTTATTCTGTGCAGGTTATTTGCCAACAGGTTACAAAACATTGTGTGTGGTGGCTATTCGTCTGTCTCGGCGCAGGTGCGGGTGTGACGCCGGTGTTCTACTTCAAGGGGTCGCCGAGCAAGGGCCGCCTCGGCGTGTGGGGGAACCAGAAGCAGCAGAAGCAGGACCGCGTGCGTGCCGCCTACGCCAGCATCGCGGGGTGGGGCGCAGCGCCGTCGAGGAACCAAGAGGTGGGCACGAAGGGCGTTGTCTTGGCTTTGCTGGTTCACACGAAACTCCACTGTAAAAAATTAGTTCGTAAATTTACAAACAATTTATGGGTAATTTCGTTGCACAAATTATCTGTAAATTTACAACGTCATTTTGTTTCTTAACAATTTATGAATTATTCTTCACGCAGTAATTTGGAAAATTACAAACTTTTCACACGCTCCAAATTACGTGGACCGCTTTTGTTCTACCTTGTCACGCTGATTAAATGGAGATCAACTTATTTCAGCGTTTTTGTTGTGTTTTATGAAACATCTTGTAAAATGATGAAGGCATCACCATATCTCGTAATCTTACAAGCGATTTGTGCAACGGAATTACCCAAGCATTTCTTGTAATTTTAGGAAACTTTTCATGTTTTTGTGACATTGTTGTAGTATTTTAGTCACGTTTGCGATGTATTTTGTTCATACCATTTCATAAGGCGGTGTTCACGAACAAATTTCATAAAATTAAGAAGATTTCTGTGATGAATAATTCATAAAACGGCCTCTTCGAATAAATTTCATAAAATAACGAAATGTTATTCTTACTTTACAGAGAATTTGTAAAAAAACATTTCGTAAATTCACAATAATTTTTTACAGTGTCTTGTGGACTTTTTAAGCATAACTATGCATGCACAGATACATACACGCTTTAAATCTTACGAAGTATTTTGAGCACACATTGTACAAACTAATTTGCTTTGTTATGGGAAGAAATGGTAAATAAATAGACTATTCTAGTCGTCGTCGACTGAAGAACAAGAAGAATTACAAAACCGGAAATAGAGTAGATCGGGAGTTGGTAGTGAGCCTGTTTTAAGGGAGTAATGCTTACAAATATATTTCTTTACTTTGTCAAAAAGTATTTGACGCAAGCTAAATTGATTTTGAAAGAGTGTCGAATCGAAAAACTTTATTAATGATGTACTCGGACGGGTGAGTGGGGTTAAGTTGCCGGTGCCATTTCCGGTTTTGTGATTCTTCTTGTTCTTCAGTCGGCGACGACTAGAACAGTCTATTACGACCTTATGTGTGCATATTGTTATCCACAGCTTACTTACGTATCTGAATGAAGTCCTGCGAGGAGCTTGTAGAAGTTACGAAATAGGCGCGGAACAACACTGGCTAAAAGCTACGGAAAATTCTGTTTACAGCTTGTAGTTATTCTCCGTAGGACTTCTCCGTAGACAGGAGCGTGTTTCCCTCTTTTTCCTATCCTGGTTTTCCTAGGAACTGCCTGGATATTGCCTATGCCATCACCATTGGCTTCCCTTTTCCTTTTTTTTTTTTTTTTTTTTTTTTTTTGCAGTGGGCCACGTTTTGCTTAGTACGGTCCAACTGGTACAGATGGGTACACTAGTGATTCACCCCTGGATTTTTCTGTGCATTTGCTGAAATTCTGTACAGTGTTGGTTGATGACTATGAACATGTCGTTTTGGGCACCAGAACCAGTTACGCGGAGCCCGATGTGGCCGCGGTACCAGAGGAGGTCGCGGTGCGGGAGGAGGCCGTGGAGGTCCAAATTTCAATTGCTTTCCAGTCGCGATGCCCTCGGCCGCGTTTGCCTCTGCCAAGTTAGCTCTCAAGCAAGCTGGCTTCCAGGTGAGCTCAGTACAAAATTACTACGTCAGACTTCCTACTTCTGCAAACGCGAGATAAAATGTCTCGCCGAAGAAGTGCGCTGAGAAAACCTTACAAACTATTTTGGGCCTTAGAAAAAAAAGTAGTTTGTATAACAAAGTATTTTGAGCATACGTAAGCTTACAAAGAAAATACTTCGTAATTTACGAACTATTTCTTCGTTTTACAAAGTGTTTTAGTTTGGTATATGTATACTCAAAATACTTCGTAAGGTTTTAAGAGTGTGAGGTCACCCGGGTGGAAGGGAGTGCAGTTTTGACTGAGTGCAGACTACAGTCATAAACTGCAGTTCAGAAACGCCAGTTTTAAAAGTACTTTAAATGTAGTTTAACTCTGTAGATCGAAACGTAGTATAGAGGGCATTTTCAACAGCAGTACACGTACAATTAAATTGCAGTCTCACGTGCAGTTCTTAAATACAGTTTTAACTCCAGTGTAGTCGGAACTTAAATTGTACTTCCGTTTGCAAAAAGCAAGCACACTTCGGGAGTGTAAATAAATTGTTGTTTGACTACAATTTTGGTTGCCCTTTTTTGCAGTTGTGTAAGCAACTTCATAGTTCAGCCAAATCAGTGTTCTATTTTGTCCTAATTCCAAATAATTTCACCAAATTCTCCAAATTTAGTTCCTTTTGTGTGTTTGAATAACCAGAATATTGGTGTTCAGTCAGTTGCGCGGAATTAGTTAAGATAAAGCAACGGCAGCGGTTTTAATACGGATTTTTTTGCCCTATCGTTTATAAAAATTATCCGCTAATATAATTGTGAGGCTTACGGTATAAAACGTGAGTTTGCGTAGAAATTGTGATAGCCAAGTGCACATTATCTATGGTTATACTGCATTAAAACTGTAGTTGAACTGCAGTGCCCGATCAGTGGGTCACGAGAGGGGGTCTTGTCATGTGGTCCGGGTCGTGCACATCTCCGGACACGCCCGCCTGCCAGCGTAGTGGTCAAGTCCTCCGATCCACGACCCGGAGGACCGTCGTTCGAATACCATCACCGCCTTCAACTTTCATCATCAAAAGTCGTTGAGTAACGAAGGAGAAGGGGGTTGGGTGGGTGGGAGAGAATTCCCGCAGAGCAAGGAATAAAGTTTTAAAAAATAAATTTTAAAACTATAGTTAAAAGATACTTCTCAACTCCAGTTTTAACTGCTATTTTTAAAACGAGAGATGACCGTAGTCTAAACTGCAGATTCGACTGCAGTATTACAAAAAAACTACCAGTTTATTTGCAAGAAAACTGTAGTTAACTGTAGTTTAACTGTAGTTTCACTACAGTTAAACTGCTGTATCTACATAAGTCCAACTGCAGTCTAAGTATATATTTTTTTGTATGCAGCCTGCCATTTGTAACACTAGATAAACTTCAATTTGAGTCCAGATGCAGTACAGTTATTGTAGAGTTGTAGATGCATTTTAAAATTGTAGATTTGACTACAGTTCGTTCCACCCGGGCAGATCTGAAAGTATCGCGTTCTTTGTCTGACCACACTCCTGCAAACTCACCAGTGTACTCAGTACGCTGTCTGTAGCGTGTACTCACGGATACACTCCCACGAACGTGTACTCAGCTGCATCCGGGAGCTAAGTTGTGTACTAATCTGAGCACACTCCCGTTGGAGTGTACTCAGCCGACCATACTCTCGCTACATTCTCACAAAAGTGAACTTGCCACTGTGAAAATTTGTTGTCACTTGATGACAAAAACGCGGATGACATTTTCATCACTTTCAAGTCATAACAATCTCTAAATTGATGACATTTTTATCAGAGCTCCTATACTTCTTGCATGGGCGTGACAACAATGTCACAAATTTTTTTGATTACATTGATGTAAGGAAAAGTAGCCTTGAAATTGTCATCAAGTGACGACTCAAATTTTCAGTGCGTGAGTACACGCTGAGTTGAGTGTAGTGAGCACACAGTTGAATTTGCAGAGAATGTGGTCAGAATTTTGAACCCGGTCCACTCAGCCTGCACGATTAAAACCTTGCAAACTAGTTTTCAGCGAAGAAATAGGTCGTAAATTCCAAAGTATTTTCCTTGTAAGCTTGCGTTGTGAAGTGACAATCAAAATTTTTACAGTGTGGAGTGTGTGTGGCAGGTACTGGTGTCCATCGGCGAGCAGGACGTGGAGATGGCGCGGTACTGTCGCCGCCACGAGTGCTTCGCGCTGCTGGCGCGCGACACGGACTTCGTCGCCATGGACACGGCCCACTACTTCCTGTCCGTGGCGCACCTGCGCCCGGACTTGACCACGGTGCACTTCGACCGGGACGCCATCGCCCGGCAGATGGGGCTGCACGGCCGAGAGCAACTTCCCCTCCTCATGGCGTTGCTGCCCAACGGCTGCGTCCCGGCCTCGTACCTCATCGTGAGTGCCCACTTGAAAAATTTGTTTCAATAATAAAATCGTGGATGACATCTCCATCATTTGCAATAAGCACCTACACCCTAAATGTTTTTGTACAAATTTTGTACGAGGCATCACAGTTGTTGGTGCACACGAACTTTTCGTACAAATGTGTACAAAATTTTGTACAATTTTGTTCAAAGATGGCGAAAAATGTGCAGCTTTCGTACGAAAATTGTACGAAAATTTCGTGTGCACAGAAAACTGTGATGTCTCGTTCAAAATTGTACATACCATTTAGTGTGAGAAGATACGTCTATTCGTTTTATTTGGTGTTTTGGCCGCGACTCGTTCTTCGGCGGACGCAAGGATCTTTCTCGCGCCACTCTAAATATGAATATCCTTGTGCGAACACTTGAGTCCGAGTGCGTTACGTTTGTGATTGCAGCCACTGCACCTCCAGGCGGCGGGCCAGCCCCTGGCGTCGCTGAACCCAAATATGAAGTTCCCGCTGGAGGCCGTGGTCACCAGACTCTGCCAGCTGGTTCGCAACAGGCTGTGCGCCGTCTCCGCTGCGGACGCCGTGGTCATGGTCCTGGACAAGTGAGTGCGTGCAAACCCACCGCAGCGGGCTGCAAAAACGGTGGGGCGGTCATAAGTCCAGACGCGTTTTAAGCCATAATCGACAGTGTTTTCAATATTCATTTACGTTTCTGCGCATCAAAGGGATTCCAAGCTTATCATGTGTGTCAAGAACAAATTGAGAATAATGTCTCTGCAAGAAATAAAAGTGCTACTACGCTTATTAATACAATCGTCACGTTATTAAACAAAAACTCAGTGCGAGTCTGAGAGTGTATACTCACATGTCATAGGACACTTGTTTTGTTTCACGAGTTGGGCAATCTACACACTAAATGTTATGTACAATTTTGTACGAGACTTCACAGTTTTTTGTGCACACGAAATTTTCGTACAATTTTCGTACGAAAAACTGCTCTACAAACTGAAGTGTGTACTCAGTATGCATCTACAGGTGCATACTTATAAGTACACACTTACAGATGCATACCAAGCTGAGTACACATCTACAGATGCATACTTGGCAGGTATGCATCTGTAGATGTGTACTCAGCCAAGTATGCATCTGTAGATGTGTACTTGATACTGGGCATTTATACGGTGACAAGTACACACCTACTAATGCATACTTGCCAAGTATGCACCTACAGATGCATACTTAACAGGTATGCATCTGTAGATGTGTACTCAGCTAGGTATGCATCTGTAGGTGTGTACTTATAAGTATGCATCTGTAGATGCATACTGAGTACACACTTCAGTTTGTAGAGTGCATATTTTTCGCCATTTTTGTAAAAAATTATCCAAAATTTTATACCAATTTGTACGAAAATTTGGTGTGAACATAAAACTGTGATGTCTCGTACAAAATTTGTACAAAAACATTTAGTGTGTAGCATATAAGACGGTGACACATTTGTGTGTCCGCCAGGCGAGACATACATTAGACAACATGCTTCTCCAGGAGGGAAGATAGTTGTATCACCGTCGAATGCGCTGTGCTTTTACACCATTGTTTTTGCGCAAATTTTGTACGAGACATCACAGTTTTTTTGTGCACACGAACTTTTTTACAATTCTGTATTAAAATTGCGAAAAATGTGCAGTTTTTCGTACGAAAATTGTACGAAAATATCGTGTGCACTAAAAACTATGATGTCTCGTACAATATTGTACATAACATTTAGTGTGTATTGCATAACTCGTGAGAACAAAAAGAATACTTTGGCGTTTAGTCTGTACGTGTTGTTCGCTGTTCGGCAGGTCCATGTCCGAATACCCTGCCTCGGTGATGAGCGAGTTCGCGAGAGCGCTGGGCTTCGCGGGCAGCATGGAGTTCCGCGAGGCGCTGAGGAAGCAACTGGCGGCCAGCCTGGAGGCGCACGACTACAGAGGCTCTCAAGGCGCCACGCTGCCGCCGCCCGGGACCGAGGACACGGGTGAGAGAAAGCACCAGAAATGTCTTTGAACGCATTTTGTGTGAGACCTTACAGGTTTTTGTGCTGGTGACCTTCTCGCGCGAATTTGTTCGCGCTATTGCAATTCAATGAAAAGTGCACACTGTCGGCACGTTGCTGAATTTTTTCTCATTAATTACGTAGTCGCGTAAGCAACAATATTACTAAATATTTTCTCAGTAGGTACGACTACTTTCCTTTGTAAAATTATGGACAAAACTATGTTCTCAGTACATTTATTAATATTTCCTGAGTAATTCTTTGAAAAGGGACAAGTTCGTATTATGGTTGCACAAATTACTTGCATAAGTACTGTCAAAATGAGCAAAAAGTCAGAAACCTGCTAAAAGTGCATGTGCTCTAAAAACTGTAACGTCTCAGTCAAAATTGTACCTTAAATTTGGTAGTGTCATGCGAAGCGGCATTTTTCAATCCCGAATCGAATGTTGGGAAATTCCTCCGCATCGGGCAGGCATTGTCAGGATGCGAAGTACGCAAGGTTCAATGCATGCACGGCGTTTGGAATCATAGTGCAGTTTCCAGCCAGAGTGCTGTCGGTCTGCAAAGTTCCTCGCTTAACGTTGCGCTGGGCCAAGAGACCGGCGCCGGCGTCCAAAACAAAAGTGGGGCCGAGCCGAACCCGGCGTGTGACCCCACCAATGAATTCCTCGCTCGGAGAGCAATCCATTGATGGGGTTACACGTTCGGTTCAAGCCCCGTCAAGTCACTCTGGAGCTCAAAACGCGTCCAAGATTTTGACCGTCTTAACCGGCCTTATGCTGCACTGAACATTGACCCCTCATTCTGCAGTGCTGGAGCTGGCGCGTGCCCGCCACGCGGCGATGCAGTTCGTGATGCCCAACGTGCTGGTGCTGCTGGAGGGGCGCGTCTGGGAGGAGAGCTGCTCCCTGGAGGACCCCGCGCTGCCCGCGCGATGCTGCTCCACCGAGGCGCTGCGGCCCTTCCGGCGCCGCCTGTACGGCGTGCTGCTGCACGAGCGGCGCGCCGAGCGCACCCACCGCCCCGTGCGCGAGTTCATCGTGCCCAACAGCGGGGAAGGCGCTCTCCGGCCCGTGGATGTCGTCCCCGCCGAGCTGGGTGAGTGCCCACTCCGGGAACCCGCGCTGCAAATTGAATTGCAACTCAGGAGGACACAGTTGTGTCCTGAATACACACGCGTAAATGCTTAAAGACTTTTTGTCCGTAACTAGCTCTTTTCATCAAAGCATGTGCAAGACATCTACAAATTTGTACATACGGCCCAATTTCATAAATTCTTAAGCATGATTTGTATATTTTTTCATTCTTCGTCATTTACTGAGCTGCGGCTATTTAAAAACGGGCTGTTTTGGCCCACGATTGATTTGTGGAAGTAATTTCTAGTCACTATGTGTTAATGCCACTTGCTCACCAGGCCATGCACTCTTAATGTCTTTCGGTGAGAGGCTGCACCAATATATTATGGTGGAGATTTTCTTCATTATACGAAAGAAATTCGACAAAATATCTGTAAGGTACAATGCATTTTGAACTTGAAGTTACGAAGTCTGCTGCACCACCATAATATGGAGAATCTTTACCATAATATGGAGGATCTTAACCATAGGACTTTTTAGAGCGTGCTCAATTTTATCGAAGCTTAGGATGACTTATATTCCTTCACCGATGACACACGTTACGTTAATCGGCAAGGACGTTTCCCTTCCCTCTATAATTCGAATGATAAACACCTTTTTCCCCTTTTTGCTTGCCCATGGAAGGCCCAGTTTTCCTTTGATTGTTGAAGGTCTGTGGCTCTGTGGTTGTCATCCTGACACTCGCGCTGTTTTAGATTGCAAAGAGAAGGTTGAGGGAAGACGCATGCCGAAATATAAGCGGTTCGCTTATTCCGAGGGGTCGACAACTCCCCTTGGCCGTGCACGGGGGAGTGAACGTATATTGCCAGTAATATAGAAAATATACAGTAACATATAGTATTGTAATAGTGTAATATAGAGGCAAAATTGTGGTAATATATTTGTACTATATACAAGGGGTTGACCTCTCAGCTCAGGAGTGTACACAGGATAACTGATTACCAGTGATTACCTACAAACATACTAAAAAAAACTCCATAATTTTGGCCAGCTAAGAGCATTTTGGCCTGATTTCATAAGAAAAGAAAAACAAAATCCGATATAAACGGCGAAACTAGCCAGTTTTGGTGTGTGATTACCAAAGATTACTGGACGAAGTGTACACACGATTACCGGGGCATTCCACGCCAGTTCATCCGGGACCCCAAATTTCACACCTCGGATTTGGGTTCTGGTGACTTTTTCTTGAAGTAATCATCACTAACAACAAAACCATAAAACAGTTTTTCAAAATTTCAATTTGTATAGGAGATATGGCCAAAAGAAAATTTCAAAATCAGACATTAAAAAAAAATATAAAATTTTTTTTTAGAATTTTTTGTTTGCTTTTCTAATGGTGTGGTGGTCTAAAATAAAGAATGAAAACCCATCTTGGGTCATACGTCTCACCAGTTGGGTAAAAAAGCTGAAAAACATAAAAAAAGTTACGCGTTTTGGATTTCTCAAAAACTGCGTCTCCAGATTTCAACCAAATTTTTTTCTAAGGAAGGCCTAATGGTGCTCTAGGATGCCTCAAAATATTAGGACTGGCAATGGAAAAGGATCTGAGATAAACGACATTTTGTGTTGCGATACTTCAAAAATCAGGAAATATCGACTCGTAAAATACAGTCAAGTTCATATAAAGCAGTTCTGAGACATCAAAAGTTGTTCAGAATTATGAGGTTTGTTTCCAGATGACATGGGAGTCCATAAGGTACAATAAAAACAGTCTTTTTATCCATTGAAATTTTGTGACACTCTTAAATAAAATTTACACGACCAAACTGTTATCAACGGGTGATGACATGTCAAGGCATGGGTGAGAAGCAGTGTGTCAGGTGTAAGAGCACACTTAGTCAGGTGTAAGGTATGTAAGGTAAAAGGTATGTTTAGAGATTTTAAGGCCTAGTAACTGCTTACAAGCATATCTAGGTGTGCACTTACACCTGACACACTGTTTCTCACCCATGCCTTGACATGTCATCACCCGTTGATAACAGTTTGGTCGTGTAAATTTTATTTAAGAGTGTCACAAAATTTCAATGGATAAAAAGACTGTTCTTATTGTACCTTATGGACTCCCATGTCGTCTGGAAACAAACCTCATAATTCTGAACAACTTTTGATGTCTCAGAACTGCTTTATATGAACTTGACTGTATTTTACGAGTCGATATTTCCTGATTTTTGAAGTATCGCAACACAAAATGTCGTTTATCTCAGATCCTTTTCCATTGCCAGTCCTAATATTTTGAGGCATCCTAGAGCACCATTAGGCCTTCCTTAGAAAAAAATTTGGTTGAAATCTGGAGACGCAGTTTTTGAGAAATCCAAAACGCGTAACTTTTTTTATGTTTTTCAGCTTTTTTACCCAACTGGTGAGACGTATGACCCAAGATGGGTTTTCATTCTTTATTTTAGACCACCACACCATTAAAAAAGCAAACAAAAAATTCTAAAAAAAATTTTATATTTTTTTTTAATGTCTGATTTTGAAATTTTCTTTTGGCCATATCTCCTATACAAATTGAAATTTTGAAAAACTGTTTTATGGTTTTGTTGTTAGTGATGATTACTTCAAGAAAAAGTCACCAGAACCCAAATCCGAGGTGTGAAATTTGGGGTCCCGGATGAACTGGCGTGGAATGCCCCTACCAGAGTGGGTAACCCCTTGACTATATAGGTAATACAGCCACCGCAAACGAGGTAATAAATGGGTTGTCGACCCCTCGGCTTATTCATAAGCTTGTAGAAAACAAGGGGTCCACAATTGATCCGTGACTGAAAATTGTTTTTTTTTCTCGCCTTACTAAATGCGTCTCTCCTCTACAGATGAAGCTGCTGTGCACCACCCCGGCCTGCCGGCCTTGTGGTGTGGGATGGTCATGGAGGAGGCGCGGTGGCGGCTGCTGTCGTGGTGCCTGTGCCCGTCGCCACGACGAGGCACCGACCTCCTGAATCGCCTGCGCGCCCTGCCGCGCCGCCACGCCCTGCTCGCCGCGGCGCTGTTCCTCCTGAGCCACTGCGGCGTCATTGGGGCGTCCATCCAGGCGTCTGTGGGCCCGTCCGCCAAGTAAGTTGCCCTGCGCACAGTGGGCCAGGAGACAGGAGGAGGCGGTCAGAAGCCCGGACGTGTTATGAGCTCCTGAGTCGCTACACACTAAATATTATGTACGGTACGAAAAGGTGCGTACAATCTCGTTCAAATTTGTACGAAAAGTTCATGTGCACCAAAAACTGTGATGTCTCGTACAAAAATTGTGCAAAACCATTTAGTTTGTAGGACAGGAAATAAATGGTTGACCCCATCAATGGATTGTTCTCCGAACGAGGAATCCATTGGGGGGGGGGGGGGGGTCACACGTTCGGTTTGTGTCCTGTTTAGTGGCTTTGAAGCTTTAAACCATGTCCAGAGTTTTAGTCGCCTCCACCAATCTTCTGGACTTCTATGCCCTCAATTTTATTCTAGAAAATGCTGTGCAGTCATAATGCGACACCTTTTCTTAGAACGGAACAATTCTAACATATCTAAATGAAGCCCAACTTGTTCGTAATGTGAAGAAACCTGTCTTGCTGAGAATCCTTCATCATAGGTTACTGTACCTTGGCTGCGCCAAAAAGTAATCTCTTTAGGCACGAAGTAGCCTTATAGTAAAGGAGGGAGGGGAACCATGACCACTGGGGTACCATGACCACCCCCCTCGCTCTCGGGAACTACTTTGCCGACGGCAACCGGTCGACCGGACTTTCGAGAGAATAGGATTCTAACTATTTTCAGCCAGAGCCCTACCTTCTAGCTTCAAGGGTACGACCATAGCACCTCGCCAAAATTTTTGTTACAACGTTTTAGCTAAATTGGGCGTATTTGAAATCTGGGATATTTTTTCTCACTCTCACATTTCGGCTCTCCGGCAAAATATCCATCATCACATTTAATTCTAAGTAGCTCTTTGCTTGCTCGGGGAGCCTTCCTAAACTGCATTGTGGGGAGCCATGACCAGGGCTATTCCATGCCAAACCAACGAACTCTTGGAAATTCATCTCTTCGATTTAGATGAAACTTTTTTCGGGGGGGGGAGGGGTCATTATGAAAAGATCCAATGTCAAAGGGTTTTGCGATATCTCTCCCCGTTTGGCTGTAATACCATTGTGAAGTTTTCACTTTGGTCAGAATCATGATATTTTCTTTATTTCTCTCCGTACTTACTGAAAGTTTTCAGATTTGTTCTGAGAATGGTTCGTTACGTAAAAATAGCAGGGGAACACGATGGAAATAGTTTCGTGACGATTGGGTGAAGTTTTGATGTCGGTTTCCCCAATTAACGTAATTTTTTTTCCGAAAAATCGATGTCTTCAAAATAGCTCGTCTTCGATTTCCATGTGACTTTCCTAACATGATCCCCTTACATATTGAAAGAAAATCCTTAAAGGATATGGTCGGCCCACCGTTAGTTTTTTATTTGCACAAGAAAAGATGTATCATTTTGGGCGTTTTTCTTGAATTTTCGAACCAACTTTCTGAGTTTGCGTCCAAGCGATTTTGAAAATTTACCCTAGTTTTTCTCATACTGAAATAGGGTGAAATTTTCAAAATTGTCCAAAATGACTTTTCTATATATCAATGGATTCGTCTCGACAAGACAGAATTTGTTTCCTCACGGGACATAAGCTTGGACGCAAACTCAGAAAGTTGGTTCGAAAATTCAAGAAAAACGCCCAAAATCATACATCTTTTCTTGTGCAAATAAATAACTTACGGTGGGCCGACCAAATCCTTTTAGGATTTTCTTTCAATATGAAAGAGGATCATGTTAGGAAAGTCACATCGAAATCAAAGATGAGCTATTTTAAAAACATCGATTTTTCGAGAAAAAAAAAAAAAAAAAAAAAAAAAACTTTAGAAGCCGACATTAAAACTTCATCCAATCGTCTCGAAACTATTTCCACCGTGTTCTCCAGCTCTTTTGCGTCTAGAACCGTTCTAGGAACAAATCTGAAAACTTTCAGTAAATACGAAGAAAAGTAAGGAAAATATCATGATTCTGACCAAAGTGAAAACTTCGATATGTAATTACAGCAAAACGGGGAGAGATATCGCAAAACCCTTTACATTGGATCTTTTCATAATGACCCCTATCCCTAAAACAAGTTTCATCCAAATCGAAGAGATGAATTTCCAAGAGCTCGTTAGTTTGGCATGGAATCGCCCACCACTTCTTAGTGGGGCACCATGACCACACATATTTGAGTGTTTTTCTCATTTTTTGGTCTAATAATGATTTATTTTCGTCGAAAATTTGCTTTTTGCTTCAGAAAATGCATAAGGGTTGCTGCAGAATAGATAGCTTTATCACGAATCGTGAATCATCAAGATGATTCAGAATGGTTCTGAAACTGAGACTTGAAATGGTAGTTTCTCTAGCACTAAATGAGCTTCAAACCACAAAAGTTGGCCGCGAAAGCGATCCGTGGCTACTTTGCTCCAAGACGGCTCTGGCATTATGAGAAACAGCATTTATTTCACTTGTTTGCAGTGTAGTAACCGCGATAATTTTCTTAAAATTTACCAAATTGAAATCTGCTTACGAATTTGGATTCGTCTTGGCAAGACAAACATAAAATGTTAACACATGTCAAAGCTTTGGATGTGAAATTTGAAAGCCTTAGAGCGTTTACTGTTCTAAACCGTCCATTTTAAGGCATCTTAAAACGTGTGAAACTTCGAAGGTTTTTAGAGTGTGTTTTAGTTAAGTTGACTGGCCTGATGGTAAGGACAGCGATATAAACAAAAAATAAGTGTGGTGAGACAAGTCCCATCCTCTTGCAGATGACATTTACCACCTGTTCTCCCGCCTGGAAGGTTAAGGCCTTGCAAAAGCGCACGGATTCAACTCGACCTATCCCCTTCTTCCGCTTCCTGGATCTATTGTGCACTGATATTTAGATTTATGACTTCCTTTCATCCATTTGTACTTGTGGATGGTTAGTTGGATGTGTAATTAAGAGGTTTGAAGTGCGCGTGCACTTCAAACCTTTAGTAGGGCGCACTAGGTACAAAAAGAAATGAAATTTCGCGCACCCGCTGAGCACACCTAATAGATTTACACTGTAAAAAATTTGTTCGTAAATTTACAAACAAATCAGGGGTAATTTCGTTGCACGAATTATTTGTAAATATGTTACTGTTGGAAGTAGGAGGTAGGTTGCACCTAGATGTAACCGGTTCAAAGTAGGTTGAACCAAACCAATCTGGTTACAAGTGGAGCCACCTATTTGCATCCAAATATTTTGCGTTGGAAGTAGTTGTAACTACATGTCAGTGGTTGAAAGTGTCAAGCAGGATTTTGTTTGGTTGGATGTGGGTGGAAGACTGAAACCTTTATTTCTCAAAGTTATTATTACACTGTTTTCTTTTTGGAACAAATTTTTTGCAATGTTTCCTTTTTGGAACCAGTTTGGAACAGCTGGACGGTCATTGTTTTGATTTAGTGACAGCATCTCCCTTGTTGGAGCATGGGAGACTGTTGTGGCATTAGCTATTACAAGAAAGCCCTGGATACCTGCAACCTTTGCTCTTGTTTCACCCACGCGTCAAACCTCAGCTGGTCAACCATTTTCTGTACTATATTTAGAATAATTTGGAATTTTGCCCCTACGCCAGTGCCGAAACTAGCCAAATTTGACTTTTCTGTGGCGCACAGTTTTGTTAGTCTTGTCAGTCGCTTGTCAATATTGTAATTGTTGTCCCCTACGTTGCCCTCCCTGTCTATGCATTTACCAATTATGAACACTTCCAACTACTTCCAACCGACTGTGATTGGTTACAAGTGCTAAAAACAGAAATGTACTGGTTCAACCTAGTTGTAGCTGGCCGATTACTGGATACAAGTAGGTTGCTCCACTTGTAACCAAATTGGTTTGGTTCAACCTACTTTGAACTGGTTACATCTAGGTGCAACCTACCTCCTACTTCCAACAGTAACAAATATACAACGTTTTTATGTTTTTATCGATTTATGAATTATTCTTCACGCAGTAGTTTGTAAAATCACAAACTTTTTACAAGTTCCAATTTACGTGGACCGCTTTTGTTCAACATTGTCACGCTGATTAAATGAAGATAAACTTGTTTCAGCGGATTTTTTTTGTTCTATGAAACATCTTGTAGTTCTATGAAATATCTTGTAAAATGACGAAGGCATCACCCTATTTCGTAATTTTACAAGCGATTTGTGCGACGAAATTACCCATGGATTTGTAGTAATTTTAGGAAACATTTCATATTTCTGTGACCTCACTGTAGTATTATCGTCACTTTTGAGATGTATTTAGTTCGTACCATTTCATAAAGCGGTGTTCACAAACAAATTTCATACAATTAAGAAGATTTCTGTGATGAATAATCCATAAATCGGCCTTTACAAACAAATTTCATAAAATAACGAAATGTTATTGTTACTTTACAAGGAATTTGTAAAATAAAATTTCGTAAATTCACAACAAATTTTTACAGTGTACGGAAGTACCTTTTATCGAATGAGAGGATGGCAATAGAAATTTAATACTAAGCATTGTTGATTCAAAGTAGATGGTAGTTTTTTTTGTTTTTTTTTTTTAAATCTCGCAGTAATCTCGTTCCGATTTTCTATGCAAACCGCACTCAGCCGGCTTATTAATCACTTGGACGCTAATTTTGAACATTTTGTGTGTTCAGGGAATCCATCTCCGTAAGAACCGCGTCGAGTGACGGTGAAGCGGCTGAGGCACCACCCGGCCATGGAGCGGGCATCGAGTACGAACCCCATTCCGTGGAGCAAGTTGTTCGTCTGTTTGCCCGGACTTGCATTCGTGTAAGACGTTTTACTTGCTCAAAATTGTTACATTGGGGGCTATTGGAGAGCGGGAGGGGCTATCCGTCATCATTTCTGGGAACGTTGAGCCCAGGTGCTTCTTTTTCAAGTATCAGAGCCACGCCTGTGACCAATCTAAATTTGGGCGCGCTCAAAATTTATCCCATGTGTTGTGAGTGTGAGTACGTGGATTAACAGTGTACATAAGGAACCGCGAGTGGTCCTGGAAACTGACTGAGCGGGCACGTTCCGCACTGATTCTGAACGCGAACACAGAGTGGTCTTTCTGGAACTACGTGTGAGTAAAAGTGCTGCGGTCACATTGTTGAATTTGTTTGAATATTGATTAGTGTTCACTGTGGCAAAAAAGTACGGAAAATTCTGTTAATTTTTTTGCCAGGATTCTCCGTAGCCCTTTTATCAATATTCTCCGTAGGCTCTTACAGTATTCTCCGTAGGGCCGTACAGTATTCTCTGTAAGTCCGCACAGTATTCTCCGTAGGACCTGGAAGACTGTATAGTCCTACGGAGATCACTGTAAGGTCCTACGGAGAATACTGTGCGGTCCTTCGGAAAATACTGTAAGAGCTTACGGACAATATTGATAAGGGGGCTACGGAGAATTCCCACATGCTGCTTACAGAATTTTCTGTAGGTTTTTGCCACAGTGTTCAGACAAATGTGACACCGTAATAAGTGTGGCATTCGTGCACAACAGCGTAACGTCGTGGGATTCCCATGAGGATGCGTTGTTCTGTAAGCGGATCACTCATGTCCTGGCCGTGTTACGCTCAAACGAACCTGACAACATTCACATTCTTACGAATATGACGTGACACTCGTTAAATGACAATGGATTTGTTCATACCCTTGTTGCTGACAACGCTCTGCCCATGTTGCAGGTCGAGCGGCTGACAGCCTTCGAAATAGAGCAGCTCACTCCGCCTCGGCCTCGACGCCTTGCAGTGCACCTGGCCGCGCTCTTCTTGCGGGCCTGCACGCACCTGCTCGTCCTGAATGACGTCATCGGGGCGGTGGTGCCGGTCGACGAGGTAAGTGACCGTTACTCTCCAGGCAGAGAGTTGGAAACTGCGTTCTCAGGCTCGTACTGCTGTTTTGTTTCAATACGTGTCGACGTTTGCGCGTATTTACATTTGCATTAAAACATATTTTTCAATTTCGTCTCGACGAATCTGTTAACCATATCGTAAAGAAATTCTACTAGTATGCACGGACGTCAATGGATAAAGATGAAATGTTGATTAGAGGATGAGAGTGTGGGTTCCTCCAGGCACACTGTTTCGATCAGTGTGCGAGCAGGCACACACTTGCGTTTGCAGAGCAGATCGGTGGTGTTCGGGGCGTCCAAACAAGGCTCGGGATTCGTTGTCGCTCAACCTCACTGCCTCACCTTTCAAACGTCCAAACGTGCCCATTTGTTCTTTTAACAACACTGCAAAACCAAAGGCAATACTTTTAGTACCTTTTGCGGCGATACAATTGAGTATCGCCAATAAACGGCCGTACGGAAAAGTATTGCCTTCAAAACGGCGATACGCAAAAGTATCGCCAAAATTTGGCGATACTTTGGAGTATCGCCATGATTTGACAATAAACGTCGAACAAAGCAAGGGGACAAGACCTTGGTTTAATGCCGTGGTTTTGGCAATACCCAAAAGTATCGCCAAATTTTGGCGATATTTCTGTGTATCGCCGTTCTGACGGCAATCCTTTTCCGTAAGGCCGTTTATTGGCGATACTCAATTGCATCGGCAAAAAATGTACTTTATTATCGCCTTTGCATTTGCAGTGTTAACATGGTTTGACAAGTAATACCTAACGAGGGCTTATGATTTACTGAAATTTCTTGCCAGGTTCAACCTGCAAGCTTCTTCGATGGTAAGGTGTTCCACTCTTTATTGGCCGAGGACACTGCACGCGTGAGTATTATTATTTTCTTCCGCATTTCAGGATAGTTTTCAATACTCAAATTTTAAGGAAATTTTGTAGCGAGTTTGCTCCAGTAAGCTGTCCTTATCAAATTTATTTGTGTACCTTTTTCTGTGAAATGTGATCGTGTGCAATTATTCAGTTACATGTTAATACTTGAGTCGTAATAGCTTGCGACCTCTCTATTTTGCGAGTTAAAGCTCCGTCTTTAACTTTAACTTCCAAGCCATTTGGGAGGTGTGCTCCTTATCACTGGGAGTGTAAACCCACGATTTAACTCATTCAAGTAAGACATGAAAACAAGACTAGACGTGTAAAGGATTCCACAACGGCATTAGTCGGTTTATGCACTCTCATTCCAGGAACGTTACATCACCTTGAGGCGAAAGTGACAAAATTTTAAGTTCCATTGTGTCGCACTCTTTAGTTCGTGATGAAGCTAATTACTGCCTGAGAGACGGAACCTTCGGAAAAGTTCCGTCGCAAATTCACCACATATTGTTTAGAGTGTATATTAAAATTTACTTGGAGCTTGTAAATTTACGACGAACTTCTGTTGATTTACGAAAACTCCTGTAACATTTACAGTGAATTCATTAAAAGCTCCGTCGCAAACTCACAACATATTGTTTGCAGTGAAGGGAGTTGATGACTGTTATATCTTAACAGGGGGTGGCAACCGCCTAGAAAGAGCGTGAAGCGATGCTCGCGCCGTCAGTGCAGAGGTTGCGCACTTGTTCGAGATTATGGAAACTAGACTGTGTTTTTCAAAATGCTTTGCACCGATGGAAAGGGCTTGAAATTTAGGGTGCATTAGGCTAATTGTTCTTCTCGAAACTCCCCCCTTACCTGATTGGCTGAGCGATAGCGAAGCCTGTTACTCCAGTGCGGTTGAAAAGTTTTGTCTGTCTGTCTGTGTGTCTGTCTGTCTGTCTGTGTGTGTGTGTGTGTACACTACTCCTCCTGAACGGCTCGGCCGATCTGGTTGAGATTTCGCAGGGTTATTAGGTATGTTCTTGGCTCGGCACACGCGAAATTTCACCATCCTAGCTCAAGTGGTTCAGTTTTTATAGCCCAAAAACACCTAAAAAACGGCGAAAAATCGAGATTTCTGTCGGTAGACCTCTCCTGTCTGGATGAAAGAGAGGTCTGGGGGGCGGAGCCCCCCAGCCACGACAAGTTGAAAAGTTACAAGGGTCAAGATCGTGTAATTTGTAGATGAAGCACCTCTATCTAGAATGAAGGGGGGTCTGGGGGCCCCCAACATGCAACAGTTCTGAAGTAACTGATGATGGACAAGCATTGTCTGCCGAAGGCAGCCTAGCGCCGCAGGCCAAGGTAGGTACGCCAGGCGCGGATTGGAGAAACAGGCAGCGACACATCGCGAAGCCTGTTACGACAAGACGCGGTCTGGCGTAAACCTACCTTGTATTAAGGTGCAGTGAAAACATCGAAAAACACGAGAAATCATCAAATTTAGGAAAAAAACTCGAATGCGCCATGTTGATGTAATTTGATTCCGCCCTTGTGTTCGGTTCAATTGGAAGTATCGGGCAGTCTACTAGACCTAATGCACCCCAAATTTTGTGCTCTTTTGATCTGTGCAAAGCGTTTTGCAATCAACGGCCTAGATGTTACAATCGAAGCAAAAGAAGTAACCCCTGCACCTTACTCGCGCATGGCTTCACGCCCTTCCTAGGCCGTTGCCGCCCCCTGATCTTAATAGCGCACTTTGTATTACTTTGTAATACGTGTATCTAGAAGAAAACAACTATGAGAACTATTGTACACGTTTATTTCAAATCCAAATTGTTTGGCGTTACTTCAACGTTATTTCCCATTACTTCACGCTATATGAACGTCGTTCTGACGTTATGCAAGGGAAACTTACACAAAAACTCAAGGTTTGTCCCCCGTAATCAGCGTATCATTGTATCATTTTTTATTTTTTCTGCAGGAGAGCGGCAATGCTGACGAAGACGCCATCGTGCTCGCCGTGTGCAGCGACTACCCCTGTGATTCCTGCAGCCCTGTTGCTCCCGATGACGCTGGCGGTGACGTCACGGCCCTGGCAGCGGCTTTTGCTCAGCAGCGCCTGTAGTCCGGTTCACCTGCAAGAAGCCAATCCGCTGGTCTACTGTTACGCGACCTCTCCTCTGAAACGCGGCCAGAAGCCTTTCAAGAACACGTTGACGACATTTGGCCGCATTGACAGCCCTCGTGTTGCCGTCAAGCCCTTCTGCTTGTTCTCTAGTTTCATCGATGATGAAGGATGTGCATGTCTTATGCGCCCACTCGAAAATTGCAATAAATATTACTCCCAAATATGAATCAGAGTACATCCTCACACTACCGTAGAACGGGGTTATATGAGACAAATTTCGAGGTTTTTTGTGAATTTCCCCCTTTCAATTTCAATTTGAGGTACTTAGGTGTTCATCACTTGTTCATTGACCCTTTGGCTACACTACCACTTAATTTCAGATTTTAAGGTGCAGTAGGGACCTTTCAATAACCCTCGGAATGCCGTCCCATATTTCCCTGCAATGTGGGGTAATATGAGACAAAAGAAAGAAATGTTAAAGAAGTACGGATAATTAAATCATTTAGGTGGGTTTGAAGCTTTTTAAGTTCTTTTCATTCATTTTAAAGATGATTGGAAACTATAATGGAGACGATATAAAATCTGGAGGGGAGAAAAATGGGTGTCAAGAGAGCCGAAAAATGTATAAGGAGTCATGAGTTGTGCCTGTCACATGAAAATACTATACGAAGAGCATAGATGGCGGTCAGATAGTAAAACAAATTCGTGTTAAAATCATTATTACTTGAAGTTATTAACAGTGGAGTATGTTTGGCCTCACGTTTCAAGCGAAAAGAGGTGTATCTATTTTCCTTGCAAGGTAACAAAATTGTATTCCATCTGGAACAGGCAGCCCGAGAGTAGACATAACGGAACCAAATTTTGTCCTGAGTATGTTGACATAATTGCCTACAGATTTAAACCTCGTTCGGACGAGAACCCAAGTTCTAACCGAGGTTTCTGGGGAGGTTTTTACTAACTTTACAAAACTTGTTAAAATTAAGAGGTTTTTCCTTGGGTTCTAAATAATCCTGGCGAGTCTCTGATAGCCTTCGTGCGTTTCCTGTGATCTGCCACGGCCTCCTAGATCACGAAAAAAAAATCACGGTGGTCTTCTGAACAACCGCTAGAGAGCAACACGACAAAAACCGAGAAAAGTGCGCTTTGTCTCGATTTTCCTTCATGTCTCATATTACCCCGTTCTACGGTACAAACTCCACAGTGTACACACATCTTTAGGAGTGTACTAACATCGCACATCTACAGACGTGTGATAAACAAGTGACAGGCAAGTTAACATCTACAGATGTGCGATGGACTTTTCTACAAACCCAAGTCTGTACGTAGAATTCTTCAGGTTCAAGCATGCCTGTATGCCTGCAAGTTCATTCCACATGGGCCAACCTGGCAATGTACACTCCACGCTGCTGGAGCGCTTACAAAGTACTCTCCAAACTAAGGTGCTTTACGTTTTATTTTCCAAGAAACTGCACATAATCAAGTCCGATTGGCGACGAAGCTTCGCGAAGGTTTACAAACGAAACTCACGTCCTGAGACGGACATTTATGACTCTCAACAGCTTGGCCGTGCAGCAACCCTCACTTGGTGTTCTGCCCAGGCTGGAGGTGCCTGGTCTCGGGAATGGCGCCGGGCCTGAAGCGGGTGGGGCTCGGCCTGCCGCTGGGGCTGCCTCCATGCTGCAGCCAGGAGGGGAGGCCTTGCGGGGGGCTGCCGTGGCTGCCCGTGCTCCTTGCGGGCGACGCGGGCCGGCGAGGGGACGCTGGCGGGGAGTTCGTCATTTTCTTGCTTCCCGTGCAGCAGGGCACGCCGCACGCCAGCCCCTGCGAAACCGAACACGTTCACAATGTCATATGTCTTTATTAGCCTACACGCTGATACCAAACGCTACACTGTTAAAAAAATCAGTTGTAATTTTCATAACATTGGTTGGCATTTTTTTTCACAAACAATTGTTATGAAAATTAAAATCACAAATGATTGTAAATTGTTTTACAATCACGTTATGAAAATTCATATCATGTTATGAAAATTCATATTCGCGTTTGCGAGGTCATTTTAGAGCAGTTAAGCAAAAGGACAACTAAGTGTTCATGTATATGAACACCCAAGCGGCCTTATGCCATTTATTGAACCGAATCTGCTTTTGATCAGCGGGTTTCGAACCCGGGATCTTTGACTTGTGGTGCACGCTCTTTACCGCTGTGCTACCACGTCCCACGGGAGGCGGAGGGTCAGCTACTGATGACTCTACCAGCGCCCCTTGGCCACGCCTCTTGAGCTAGTTATGAAATTTACAATCGGATTCGGAAAATTACTATTGTGTGCTCAAAATCAACATTTAAGATTCGCAATTTTCAGAACATGGTTTTAAAATTACCAACAATTGTCAATTTTACGAAATTGTTTTGAATTTTCGCATCAAGTTATGAAAATTGCAATGTTTGTAAAATTCATATCCGTATTCGTAAAATTGTCATCAAAATTGCTTTGAAAATTCATAACTTTTTTAACAGTGTACGAAAGAACAGCAGCACCATACACTGTTAAGATTAATCGTAAATTTACGACATTTTGTAAAACAATTAGGTCGTTTTTAAACGGCATATTTTGTTACGACTCAAGTCGTTGCACACCCCGTGGTAGTGGTGGTGAATGTCAGTGTAGATGTGTGTATGGGCTGGGGGAAGGGGGCACCCTCATTCATCGCAAGGCAGAGGTTTGCGGAGCCAAGCGCCTGGGATGTAGACTTGTTTCGACGCACTTGCGCCGGGTAGGTTGCCCAACCTGCAGGGGCAAGGCCAGTCCTCAAGACTTCTCGGGCTCTACGATAGTCATAATTAGGCTCTGGTTCACCATTCGGAAGAGACGGACCATTTCTGCACGAAGAAACTCATGGCCTAGGCTTGGGGAAGAAGGAAACTAACTGCAGAGCACTTTTAGCAAAATTGTAATTTTAGGTCTAAAACACAATTTTTGAGAGGCTGTAGCTCCGAAGTAAAACCCATACCCACCTTTTTTCGTCTCACAGCTCGATAGGGCACGTCTTGATCTACATTTTGCGGTACTAGATTTTAAGGACACAGGGAAATTATAAGATTGAAAATTGATTGAAAAAAAACGAAAATTTTGTGATTTTTGCCAGTTTTAGCCCTTTTTTGGGTCTCGGATCTCAAATTCGATTACAGATTCTGTATCCTTATAGTTTTCCCTTGAAGAAAACCTCTTCAGAAAGGCCATACCTCCATAAGTAACAGAGCACGGACGGAAAATTTGGAAACTTGCAATTTCACCCAAACCACTCAAACAATTCACTCTAAAAAAAATTGTGGTAGAAATCCTATAAAAGTATCGGGCGCATTTAACCTATTCGGTATAGGAATTTTCCCACATAGGACATGGTAATTTAACAATTTAGGCAAAAATTGAAAAGCCCATATTTCAGGAACTACTGGTTCGATCGGCCTGAATTTTTGCACAGCATGCTTTCTCATTAAGTACTACTTGAAAAAAAAAGTTGCATCGAATTCCGAGATAGTGACCTACGAAAGTGGTCGGACTGGCAGGGAATGCCCCATTTCCAACTATTTTCTTTCTATCGCGAAGTATTACTTTGTAACTTCCAAAGAAAATGCTTTGCAACGTTACAAACCAATGCTTCGCAACATTGCTAACTGTTTTCTTCGCAACTTGCGAACTATTTCTTTGCAATGCGAAGAAAACAGTTCGCGAGGGAATTCGTAATACAATGCCGGAGAATACTTTGTTTTGCAAAGTCCTTTTCTTTGCAAGCCTTTATACAGGCGACAAACTAAAACTGGATATTGAGGGAAAAACAAAGCATGCCCCCCAAGTTCCAAATTTTGCTTTGAATGCTTCAACTGGAAAATGCAGCTTTCTTGAGAACCAGCGGCCATTTAAATCTCAACCCAAGACGGCAGATGCGCACACACACAGTACTCATGAATCCTTCTTACCAAAAGCGCGGCGAGGAAGCTAACGAGAAGAAGGACGAGCTTTGCCATTTTGACGAAAGCCTGACTGAGCGCTCTTTCTTTATATGCGATTAGTCCTGTCAGCGATACACGGTGTCTGAGCGTCGCTTGATGCTCTCATTCCACTTTGTCACGATTGTCGCCTCGTCGTGAACCGTGAAGTGGTCATTACGGAAACATTGGTCTCGTTAAAGCAGCTATTTTGTCAGTGACGCTCTCGACTGAAAGTCAATAACAGGGAAAGTACGTGGCAAATCATTGTTCGTGGGATGTAGTATTGCGGTGCAGTGGATTTTTCTCGCTAAAATAGATATAGAATTCCTTCCTCTTTGTCACGTGACGTGTAATGTCGCAAGAGATTTAAGTGATCAGAATTTTTTCATAGTTACCAAGAGGAAATTCCGGAAAAAAAGGATCCATACATTGTTTTCATAACGAGTAGGAACAGGTTGTGCAAACTTTTCATGTCTTCAGCATACAGAAAATAAAGCACCACAAACTGAGAATGGCGTCGATCGGATGTCAGCGACCACTGCAGTTGCGTCAAGAGAGCATGTTTTTCTTTTTTGTTTGAAAGGTAATGACAGTAGATAAAAGTGTGCTCTGGAGTCTTATCAATTCTTGTCGAAATTCGTTTATTTTCGACCACCTCACACAGATGCCTGCAGATAACCAAAGGGTTGAAACAGAAGCTTTTCATTCAGCAACTTCTGAATTTGCTGAGTGCGAGACACGACTGGTGTTAGTCTGGAGCGTATCGTGCATCTCCTGCTGAAACTGCAACAGGATCACCATGTACGTGACCGTGGAGGAGATGACCTGCAGCAAAGTGAAGCAGGTGTTCATTGTAAAAGAAAATCGGCGGACTTTCTAGGTAAATGATTGACCAGACTTGCTCCGTACCCTTTTCCGCACCCATGCGGAGAGGGGTACGGACGGGTACGGATCGGCCCGTACCGATACGGAAAGGGGTACGGAACAAGCCGTCTCCTGCGTACATGTACCAAATAGGGTAAGGAATAAGTCATTGGTTTTTGGACAAAGGGGTGTAAGTCCATAAAATCGAAAAATTGAGTTAAGTGTATTTTCGGATGTATCACTCAAAACCGCACAACTTAGTGTTGTCAGAACGTCAAAATGACGACTCGATCTGACAACACCAAGTTGTGCGGTTTTGAGTGATACATCCGAAAATACACTTAACTCAATTTTTCGATTTTACGGACTTACACCC